TATATAGCTAAACTAAAGAAACTTACTAAAGCTTTTCTTTACTCTCTACTAAGCTCTAGCTACTTCTAGCTAAGCTTAGCAATACTTTCTAGGCTCTTTTAGCTTTCTTTTATAAGCTTAAGAGACCCTTACTAAAGTTTAGAAGGAGGCATATATAAGAGATACTAGGAGAGGTTTATATATAAGTTAAAGCATCTTCTGCTTTAACTTACTACTTTACTCTCTAACTTACTACCTACGCTCTAGTATATCTTACTTACTCTAGCTTTTTCTTCTCTTTCCTTTTACTTTAGCTAGTCTACTCTAGGCTAGCATATATGCTAGCCTAGCGCCTGCATATCTTATAGTATATATAGCTAGCTACTTTCTTCTCTTAGTAGACTCTTTATCTACTATTCTACCTTTTAGTTAAATATAAGTACTTCTCGTTAACCTAAGCCTTCTATGCCTGCAGTCTGCTTTATAAGAGCTTACTAGCAGTAAGAAGATAGTACCTCTAATTATTTATAGCTATAAATAGTATTAACTTAAGTAGAAGAGTAGCTAGTATAGTATATTACTAGTAAATTAGCTAAACTATTTTAGAATTAATTAATAATTAATTTAGCTTTAGTAATACTTATATTATTACGTAATTAGTTATTTGCTATTATTATAGTTTAGATTAGATATAGAGATAGAGAATAGAGATAAGAGAAAGGTAAATAGCTTTAATTTAGTATTAAAAACTCTTTATACTACTAGATTATTATAAGTTACTATATATCTAATCTGCTAAATAATTAATTTATAATTAATTAATAGTTAGTTACTTATAGGATCTATGCTCTTCTTTAATTAGAATTAAATATAAACTACTTTTAACTCTTCTACTTATCTATAGCCTACTTTTACTTTTATTATATAATTAACTTATATATATACCAAGTGACTAACTCTGCTTTCTTTTTTATAATTCTAAACTAATATTTCTCTTTATTAAGAATAGTTCTTTTTATACTCTATATTAAATTATTAGTGCTTAAGATTAACTATATTAAGTACTAAGCTATAATTAGTTAGTAATTAATTAGTAATTAATTTAGATCTAAATAATATCTTACTAGTAGAGAGAATCTATGCATAGATAAGCTCTTAAGAGATAATAACTAGTATAATCTTATATATACTACTTTCTTAGCTTTACTTATCTTTATATAAGAATATAAGTATCTTACTTTACTTAAACTAAAGTTCTTTAGGCTTTTAAGTATATCTTCTTTATTATCTAATATCTTAATAATTTTCTAAGTAGCTCTACTCTTATAATACTCTTAAATAAAGTTAGAATTTATTAATAACTTATTTAAGCAAAACTTACTACTTAGCTTTCTACTTATATTCTTAAGATATCTATCTCTTAACTTAAGTAGCTTATATAAGTTATAGTATATACTAGCTTAGTTATAAGCTTTCTACTTCTAAATATCTTATCTATCTATATATATTCCTCTGCTCTTTAATATTAATTAATTATTAATTAATTAACAATAAATTTAGATACTATATATATCTTTAACTCTATAAGAAGCATATAGTATTACTTAGTATAGTATCTCTTTAATGCTACTTACTTAATAGCATTAAAGTAAGAGATAAGAGTATTCTATATAGCTTAGCCTATATAACTATAATAAATATTTAAGCTAGCTATAATAACGTAGTTCTACTTATACTTTACTTACTCTTCTATAGTATTACTTAATACTATAACTAAATTAATTTAAAACTTATTCTAAATTAATTATTAATACTTATATATTAGAAGATTATATAATTCTATATACTCTATAGCGCTCTTAGTAGTTAAGAAAGTATGCATATGTTTCTACTTAAAGTTTTCTATATAAAGTATATAAAGTATAACTTTATTAATACTATAAAGAAAGTAAATCTTATAGAAGTATATATAGCTTATAAGCTATTTATACTACTCTATATAATTTAAGTTAATAGTAGAGAGGTATTACCTAAAGCTTATAAATATTAGTTAATTATAAATTAATTAATAATTAATTTATAAACTAGCTATCTATTTTATATCTATATTAATAGTAATTTATATATAGCTATTATAGTAGATATGCAGCTATTAGAACTTCTACTCTAAAAGCTCTTTAATAATCTTAAAGTAGACTATAAATGCTTTCTTATATATAGCTAAGGTCTAAATATTAGTAATAATATAACTATATATAAAAACTATACTCTAGTAAGATTACTTTATAATAAATTAGAAATAAATTTATACTTTTTTTATAATCTTTAAGAAATAAAGTAAAGAGAATCTTAAACTAGCTATCTCTAAACCTCTTAAATAATATATTAACTTAGAATATATTCTGCTTTATAAGCAGCTTTACTTAATCTTTAAATATATAAATAATAATATCTTCTATTAATTGCAGAGAGTATATATTAGATATAAGCCTAAAATAATTTAGAATTTATTATTAATTTATTTAGTACATATGCTTATATATTCTTTATTCTAATAGTTAGTTCTTTATTTAAATAATATACTCTTAAAGCTACTACTATATAAAAACTTTAGAAGCTTCTTATAGTAAATAAGGTATATAAGCTAGTCTTTATTAGTAAGCGTAGTGCTTAGTTATTTTATAAACTAATAGCTATGCTATATAAGATATACTTAGAAGAGAAAGAAGAATAGAAAGAAAGCTATAATAATTTAGTAATTAATTAGTAATTAATTACGCTAAAACGTACTTCTAGTAATTATAGAACTTAATATAAGCTAAAGAATACTAATAATTATATCTATCTTATCTCTATTAATCTTCTATAGTAGAGGTAAGATATAAGTATATATTCTAGTTAAGATAACTATAATATATAGAATATATATAGTATCTACTAAGATAATAATATTAAATATAATATTATATTTCTACTTAACTATTTAGCTCTAGCTCTAGATATAGTTTATGCTTAAATAAACTTAGAATTAATTAGTAATAAATTTATTAATTAACTTACTATACTTAGAGGTGTAATAGACTAGTAGCTTAACTATTATATAATACTCTTAAGAAAGCTTAGTAATACTACTAATTAGAGCATATAAGTACTTAAGATCTATATTCTTTAGAATATTTTAAATCTAGTATTTAGTTCTAAGTATCTAGGTATTATATATTAGTATAAGCTAGCATAAAGTACTAGTTAGCAGCTAAATTAATTAGTAATTAATTAATAATTAATTTAAGTAACTTACTATTCTCTTTAATATAGTAAGCTTAAAGTAGTATATCTTAGTTAGCATATTATAATATCTAGCAATAAAGCGCCTTATAAGTATATTAAAGAAGTTCTTAGCCTTATACTTTAATAGATTAAGCTTAAGCTAAGTAATAGTACTCTTATATTAGCAGATTTTATTATAAAGGTTTTTATTAACTTTAGCATAAGAATAAATCTATAATTTATTATTAATAAATTTATAAGTCTAAACTCTAGTATAGTATAGAACTTAGTAATAAGCCTAAGTATTTAATAGTAGATAAAAGGTAGTTTTCTTTCTTACTTTAATAGCCTTATTTATTTATTCTAGATATAAAACGCAAACTAGAGGTATTATTAAAAAACAAGCTAGACTAAAAGAGAATAGTAATTGCTCTCTACTATCAGCATAAAAAAGCGTTAAAAAAGTATAAAACACGTAATCTAGTGTTAGTTGATAGTCCTAAGCGAGGCTAGTGCAGGCACTATTAACTAACACTTAAACTTCTTAAAAATTGCCTTAGGCATAACAACGACTACCTCGCTCTAAGCTAAGCTCGATTAATAGCCTTATAGTACTAGAACTAGTAGAAAATTAATTAATAATTAATTAATAATTAATTTACGTAAATACTTATACTTTTAGTATGCTTTAATTATATCTTCTATTTCTAATACTATATAGCTAAGCTATTTAGTTAGATAATAGATATATAGCTATTAATGCTAGAGTAAGAGTAAGCAGAGATTATAGCTAAGAATTTAAGATAGTTAGCCTAGAGAGCGTTATTATTTCTATTATTAGATATTATTATATAATATTCTTAGACTAATTAGCTATAAATTAATTATTAATTAATTTAAAGTACTTATTATCTCTTTAACCTTCTCTAGTACTTCTATTATAGAGTTTTTAAGCTACTTAAAACCTTTAGTCTTATTAAAGTCTAGATTAAAAAAATTTATATTAATAATTAGAATATTAGTACTAATAATTAGAAAGAGAAAAAAAGAGATAGCTATAGTAGAGTAGCTTTTAAATTTAAGTTATTAAATTAATTATAAATAAACTATAAATTAATTAAGAATTAATTCTTAACTCTTTAAATATATACTATATACGCTAATTATGCTAAGAAAGTTTTTATATAAAGTATCTTAGAGAAGAAAATATACGTTGCCTATTAGCGTTAGGGCATGCTATGTCTAGGCACAGGCATGGTTAGATGACCTGCTACTACTCCGGGTGGCGGGCAGCGTATGCACGCAAATTCCTTGCAGCCGAATGGAAATGTCGGACTTTACATCCGTTGGAAGGCGGTGAGAGCTCCATCATGTGATGCCCGGGCAGCTGAGTGATGCCCGCCGACCTGCTGTACCGTATAAAGATAGGACTGGCGAAGAACCGGTATGCTAGGCCTAATATAGAGGCGGTGGTAGGCTCTAGCAATGAAGATGGTGCTGTTATCTTCTCCTGCCTCTAGAAGACAAAGGAAGAATTGAATTCTGTTGTAACACAAGCCCCTGCCTCTGCCTCTGCCTCTGCCTCTGCTCCTGCACTTCTGGGTTTTGCAAGAGTTCTTGCAGAGGGTGTTGCTTAATTAGGGCCTAGCATACCGCTTCTTCGCCAGCTTATACGGTATCCGGGCTTGGCTTCCAGAGCTTCAAGCGACCCCGCGGTACATGTGCCATGTCCACCACACCCACCAACAAATGCCATGGCCGACCGCAGCGCAGAGCAGGCCGAAAATGATTATTTCGCAAACGAGCCTGTGCCCAAGGACCTGAAGGCGAATACCACGCTCGCCCGCGAGTTTGTCGGCCGCCATGCCGAGAGCGGCCGGCGCGTCGTGCTCGTCACGTCGGGCGGCACCACGGTGCCCCTCGAGACACAGACGGTGCGCTACATCGACAACTTCTCGGCTGGAACTCGCGGGGCCACGAGTGCCGAGTACTTCCTCGCCAATGGCTACGCCGTCATCTTCCTGCACCGCCAGTTCTCGCTCCTGCCCTTCTCGCGCCACTACTCGCACAACACGCGCTCCTTCCTCGACTACATGCGCGAGAAGGACGGCCAGGTCGTCGTCGACGAGCAGCACCAGGCCGAGATGCTGCGCGTCCTGCGCCAGTACCACGACGTCAAGCGCGACAACAAGCTGCTGATTCTGTCCTATGTCACTATTACCGAGTACTTGTGGAACCTGCGCGAGGTCGCCAAACTGATGCGCCCTCTGGGCCCCAAGGCCATCTTCTACCTGGCCGCCGCTGTGTCCGACTTCTTTGTGCCTCAGGACCGCATGGTCGAGCACAAGATACAGTCCAACGAGGAGTTCCTAGGCACTGGCGGTGGCGGCAGCGCAAAGCCGCCAGCCGCCCGCACCGAGGGAAAGAGCCTGATCATCGACCTTGAGCCTGTGCCCAAGTTTCTCAAGCAGCTTGTCGATGGCTGGGCGCCAGAGGCCATGATTGTGAGTTTCAAACTCGAGACTGACCCTTCGCTGCTGGTCAAGAAGGCCCAGTACGCCCTGAACAAGTACTCGCACCACCTCGTCATCGGCAATCTGCTACACACGCGCAAATGGGAGGTTGTTTTTGTGTCTGAGTTGGACGGTGAAAAGTGGATACGAGTGCCACGAAACCGCAGAACGAAGAGCTTCTCTGGCGTGCAGTCCCTGGTCGGGTCTGCGGACCCACAAGCAAACCATGACTTCGAGGCTGATGAGTCTCTGAGTACGGACGGAAGCGGAGTGCCTCAGGGTGAACCAGCTCTAGAGATTGAGTCCGTTATTGTCCCTGAGATTGAGGTGATGCATACCAAGCTCATAGAGCAGGCTCTGCTGAGAGCTGGTAAAATGTAGCACTATTGCAGCAACGTCGTATGCACACAATGGTTTTCAAAAAGCACATGCCATATGGAACATTGACGCATCAACCTTTTGACGACAAGACATGATGTTCCAAGGTCGTGAAATTAGCCACATTGCCATATGATCTGGAGAAGGATACACAAGATGACCACTGCGTATCAACACGGTCGAACTACTCCAAGATTATCTTCCAACTGTTCGAAGCGTGCCGTACTCGTGCTCCAAACGCGATCAACAACACCGCGCCCACGCCCACAACGCCAACGAAGACCCCAGCCATGGTTCCGAAGATTTCCACAAACCCAGCTTCTTCCGCCCATGGAATGATGCCAAACAGGAATCCGAAAGCGACTGTTGCATGTTGTCAGCTTTGCTCTGATGTACGAGGAAGCACATAACATACCAATGTTTTTGAGTCCGCTTACCAACAGAAATGCATCACTGTTGACCGCCAACGCGCAATCACTAACATACGCTAAAGTGACAGTAGGGATCTAAGAGGTCCATGAGCGCACTGCACCTCGTCTTCTGGACTGAGAGTACTTACAGCTGTCAAAGCCACCGATATCATCCCGTATCCAAAGAACAGAGACACCCAGCCCAGGGTCTCGTCCACGCCATATCCGAACAAAATGCAACCCCCAGTCGTGAGTAAGAACGGTGTGATGAGAAGATGCAGCCGACTCTCGGGGTCGTAGATGCCATTGCCGATCTTGGTACGATGCTTGCACCACATGTCGGCCAGGTTGCCTGCAATAAGTCAGCGAAGGAAAGTGTATCGCGAAGTGGACGGATGCTTACCACCAGCCCATGCGCCAAAGACATTTCCGACAAGCCCAGGAATGTTGATCAAACCGTTGATCTCTGGTTTCCAGCTGTATGGTGGCTTTTGCAGCACAAATGGATTTAGGATGTTAACAGCAATAACAACCACGAGCGAGATGGAATAGGTCAGGAAAGAGTACATGACTGCCGGATATGCAATCATAGGGAAGGGGCTCCAGCAAGTCAGCAAAGGCCTGTAGATTTAAAGGAGGACGTACCGTAAAAACATCTTGAACAGATTTGTTTCAGGAGTTCCAGACCACAATTTGAGATCTTGAGCAAACGTCTTCTGGGGCATTTGTGTTGGAACTGAATCGTCGGACATTCGTCGAACAGATGTTACGTCTGGAGGGGCTGTCTTATCCTGCGAGTTCGAGCGAGATGTGTGACCCTTTTCTGTCTTTTCTGTGCGATCATACCTGGTCTCTGGCACAAAGAACACGACGCAAAGGAAGTTGATGCCAACTAGTATCGCCGCAATCGATTTGTGCCATCGCCAGCTCAAATTCGACACAATGAAGCCACATACCAAGGGTCCAATAGTGTTGCCGCCTGCAATCGAGTTCATGTAAATGCCCATCTTCGCGCCCCGTTCGTGGAGAAAAAAAAGGTCCTTGGATCTGATCAGCAGTGATTCCACTTCAACAATTACAAGAGAACAACACTCACGTTAACAATCGAGGCGCCCAGCGCCTCAATCGCAGATCCGGCAAATGCCGCGGTAATGTTACTCCACAGTAAACTCTTGAAGCTCTGCGCGGTCGCACCCCATACATAACATGCACATAGCAGCCCGCTTGAAAACACAAACACCGGTCGTTTCCCGAAATCTGTGGTAATTGTTCATTAGTATAGTCATTTCCATCCAGCTCAATCGTTTCGACTCACAATTCGCCATGGGCACCCAGAAAAAATTGAAAGCCCCCAGGACCAAAATAGGGTACAGTAGCAGTTGTGACGTCTCTGTCATCGATTTGTCAAATTGCTTGCTCAGGACATAGAATGCGGGTGCGAGACCGGCAATGGCGTAGTTTGTGAGAAACGTAAAGGCGCAGACGGAAACAAATGCAATGTTCTTCTTGTGTGTGGGCCAGCGGAGAGGGTCATTAGGGTCTAGAGATGAAGGGAATGGTACGAGGATAGAGGCATTGGTGTCGGCTAAAAATGCGTCAGTCGTGGTGTTTGGAGTGTTGTCGCGCTACAATTACCTTGCTGCATCACCACAGTCTCATCCGTCCAGTCGATTTCTCTCAAGCTTCGAAGACGCATTTCGAGTGTCCCAAAGGAAAGTTATTGCAAGCGATGCGTTTCTAATCGTTGTGCGATGGTGTCTATGTTGGTTATACAATGTGCGTAGCGCAGCTAGCAAGAGAGAATAACGAGAATCAAGTTGACCACGCAAACTGCAAAGGACCAAATCTATGAGTATATAAACATGTACAGTTTCTCCTTTCTTGAAGTTACAAAACCCTCAGACCTGAAAATGAAACAGACATCCACCTCCTCAACTCGCAATCAGATCTATGATGATTGGTGTGGCCGGGATGTGCGGGGCCGATAACGATGAGCAACCCAGATATCTTACTAGCACATGTTACAATACCAGCCAACCGCAACTGGGCAGGACCAGGCCAAAAAACTTTCAATCAGCCCGCGTTTCTTTCGACACGGCGGGCAGATTCTATTCCGCTGGCTGGCACTATTCTCGGCCGCTAGGGAAAGCTTAACGCACGTGTGGTGAAGTCTAAATAGCAGTGCAATGTCGCTGGACATAGAACACAGGCTGCATGCCTGGTGGAATGATTAGAAGCGTAAAGGTTGTGGAGGTGGTCTGCGAATTGTTGGGCACTCATGGTGGACTAGTTGCTTGGTAGGGCTTATCGCCCTGCTATGGTCAGCTTCATACTTTCTAGCATGAGTCTGTAGTGCCATGCACTCTCACATTGCAGAAGACATAGAAGTTGTGGAAGCGGCCAGCGTAGCTGCTGTCGTTTCTAGATGGCTGGGAAAGCGTCGAGCATGGAAGAAGCGCATTGTTGAACTTATCATCGACTTCTATGTTCCGTCAAGATGGCTGGGAAGAATCCCAAAACTGTAAGGACTGGCTATCATGTGTCGCGGTCGATATCGCAAGGCCTCTGGCCATGCTTTTCGGATGGCGGTATGATGTCCATCGGAAATGGGCATCCATGACTTTCGTATGTGCTCGAATCAGACTTTTGCGAAGTCGAGTTGTACGGACGACAAATCCTGCGAATTTTGGGCACGAGAAGCAGCGAAAAAAAGTTCAGTGAACAACAAACAAGCGTGCGCAGCGTGCCAGCGGGTCCGCAAGGACCTCTCGTAGGCGCAGGCTGCAGCAAGTGACCACATTTTCGATAGAAGGAAGGAAACTAGCCTCACGACCCGGGAGATGAGTGTGCGCGATGAAGGACACAAACTGGAAAAAACTTGCTTCACCCGAGAACTCTGTTCAAGAAGGACCGGTCGCAGACGTTCGCGGGCTATCGGGCTGAGGAAAGGGCTGCGCTATCGTTCATCCGACGCACCGCTTCGTCTCAACGTCTCAACGGTTCACCGACAGAAGACAGCTCGCCTCGAACGTTGTGGAGTGCCGCTGGAGGTCTCAGGGGTCTCAGGAAAGAACCGCCCTCTAGCGCTTGCCAAGCCTGTGTGAACCGCTGACCCGCCTCTCGCGAATCTTGCCCAGGTGCTGATCCCACCACGGACTTGTAGCTTCTTTTGCACTTTTGGGCAACGCGACACAATTACATCGACTCAGCCGTTATCGATACACGGATTCGACAAAGTGGCTCTCGAGGCACTCACCTCGTGATCGGCGGCTGAGACGCCTGACGAGGCGCCAAAAGTACGAGTCGTGATTCCGAGATGCAACGTCGGACGCTGAGTCCCCCACGGCCTGTACGGACGGGGCTCTTGGAGGCCTGGGAAGCGCTGCTTACGTGGCCGCACCCAAGCAAGGGTATGGAGTCTTCTTGTGCCCTTTCGTCGTTTTCACCGCAGTTCCGTGGCTGCGACTACTCAACTTTCACACGTCACGACAAGCATCTCCATCCCGGTAGCCCGTCTTGAGCAGTGGGGAAGCCTTGGTTTTTTCTTTCAGGTCTAAAGTTTTCCTAGACATGTTTCCTTTTTATTGTTTTCATTTGGTCAAAGAACAAGAACATCACAAGGATCAGTGCTGTCGTTACATTCCAGGATGCTGTACGACCGCCGCGCTCACCAATCCAATACCTCGCGTCTTTTTTCCACGCCGCACAGATGACCTTGCGTGACCGCGACTTTCCATTAGCTGCATCCTGCGGATGCACTGCAATTCTTCCGAAGTGGACGGCGTCCGGCACTCGTCACTAGCATCCTGACAACACTGCAGATGTAATAGCATGCTCCATAAACGGCCCCATGGCATCTCGTCAACGTTTGAGAGCGTCGTCCAACAGACGCCATATCGCGAACGATCCGCTGACAAGTCAGCTCTCCCTTGCTTGTCGTCTGCTCGCCTACGTTCCCCTGCACTGCCGGGCTACTAATGACGCCTTGTCGTTGCGTTGCGCGGCAATCATTGGGCAGGAGGTACACGACCCAGCGTAAATCAACAAGCCATTACACAACAAGACCACGGCTGCAGCTCATCGGACAACGTCAATACAGCGTTGCTGCCGCTATGGAAATCCGGGGCTGCGGTCCAATGTCACGCTATACCTTCTTATCCCTTGAACCCAGTAGCTCCAGATATCTCATTGCCCTGGCCCAGCCACCGATTGATGTTGGTTACTGTATTTGGCCAGACCGCAGTTGTTCATAAACAATGTGTCTCACCCCTTGAATCCAGCGTTGTGGACTTGTGCAATTATATATCGCGTGTAGTGCCGAGACTGTTATCAGGCTGTATCGTGCGCAGTAGAACCTGGGGGTCTCCCTTCCTCCTCTATCGATTGTACTATCGTCCCTAGCATTTCGTCACTACATTCATCAGCCTACGCGTAAGATGGCAACCACGACGTCCACCATGACATTCGCACCACATCAGCCATCACCACTCTCAAGGACACCATCACTCTTCAAGGATCCTCGAACACCACCGACTACACCCGGAAAGACGGCAAAGATTTGGGACGAGTACGAAAAGCAAGCTGTTGAGAACGCAAGGAGAAGAGAGGGGCAATCGCGAGGATCGCAACCACAGCGCGCCTCGGCTTCTGACATACCGCGCAGCTCCGCGACAGTGATTGCTTCTGCAAGGTCGAGCTTCGACTTCAAGTTCAAGAGTAGACTGTCAGCATCATCATCCTCGACAGTGGCGATTTGCAAGTCTTGCAAACAGCCCATCACCTACGCCTCTGGAATTTGTGAGCTTTGTAAAAAGAGCGTCGTCCTGTCTCCATCTGGCGAAGCTACGCCGCCACTCAGTCCCCTGTCTCGCAAGTTTGTTTCCTCGGACCTGCAAGAACTTCATCGAAAATTATCAAGATCAGATAATACGACGCCACACATCACATCACCAACACGTAAATCATTTTGCCCAATGCCTTCCCAAATGCTCGACCCACCGATTCGCCTCTCCTCTCTGCGTCCGCCACCAGGTCAGGAGCCGATTGTTGAAGCCAATCGTTCTCGAAAGACTTCCTTGACTGATCCTAATGAGCCTTTCCTACGTCTTCAGATAGTACCGACCACCTATCAACCCCGCGCAGGCTCCCATCCGGCATCACCAACATATCCGCCAACGACACCACCATCCACATCGCATTCCCGCGCCTCAACTCGTCCGTCAAGTGCCGCCAATACTGTCTCACCTCTTAGTCCTGCTGTACACATACCCACACACCCGTATGCTCGCCACAACAGTGCCACTCCATCTGAGCTGAGCAGCTTGTATCCCCACACATCGCGCATCACCAGTGTCGGCACGGGCTATGGACTACAGCACGCCACTAGCGCATGGGATGACTGGGACAGCGACGGCGAAGGCGAGAAGGCGGGTTTAGTAGGGCTAATGAAGAGCATTGGCAAGACGAAGAAGAAGGAAAGAGGCGACAGCATGGAGAGTGCGTCTGCAAGTCTACACTCTGCAAGGGAGGAAGAGAGGAAGAAGAGTCGCGATACTGCGAGACACAGTGAGGAGAGCGAAGTCAAGGAGGTCAAGAAGAAGAAGAGACCGAGTGGTTTTGTCAGGGCTATTAGTTGTGGAGCATGTCGTGAGGACTGAGCGAAGGGATATGGGCGTTGATTTACGATTGTGCTTTCTTCATTATGCATTGCTCTGGGCATTAAGATACCAAGGGAAGGTTTTCAAAAAAAGGGTGACGGATTGATGTCATTATGGTTATGGATATGTTTACGGAGATTACGATATTATGGTATTGACAAGTAGTTATCAAGGCATCATCAGGCCTGATGAGTCTAGCATCGCATTAATCTACGTCAAGTTTTTTGCACATCATCATTCCACGTCTTCACAGTTTCCCTCGCAATCCCCGTCAAACTACAACATCCTCACACTTACCAACCGCTCTGACCGCTCTTAGCCATGCCCGCAGGCGCCCGCGAAGAGAGATGACATAAAGGCGTAGGGATTCCGCCCCATGTGCGCTTTCGGGGACGCCATGCATGCAGCCGGCTTGTGCTCCGGCGCTTGCCTGCTCATAGGGCGGTAAGCCACTTGACTTGGAGGGCGCGTGGCCAACGGAAGCACTTGGCAAGAAGCATCATAGAGCATACCGCATGTGTAGCAGAACAACGCATTACTCGTTTCCGTGCAGACACATTCGCTAAAAACCGCCGGAGTACAGCATCGGCATTCGCATCGCATCGTTCTCCCCCCCCCCCCCCCCACTCCCATCGTACCTCATGCATATTCCGTGTACCCGTTTTGCGGTCCAAAGCCGCCCACGCCTGACCAATTTCGTCAAACACGAGATAGAGTTGTGATCTCGACCGTGTTCTCGAAGGCCCGGTTTTCTTCCCAAGCGAGAGTTGCACGAATGGAGACGCGTGATGATGGAGTTTGTTTGATCACCATGCTTATGGTGATGTTTCTGGTGTTGGGCGCAGGTCACACAACAGGCGGCGGGCGAGAGTGGCGGTGTGGAGAGGGCCAGATGGCAGTGCCCTTGTTTTTTTTTTGGCAGTGGACGCTTGGGGTTGACGACTTGTCATCTGTCATGAGGATGTGCCATGGCGGGTGGAGTGTTTCAAGTATATGGATTCAGCATGTTTGACTTGTGTATCTTGCTTGATGTTTCTGTCGAGAGCTGGCTTGAGTTGATATGAAGGAACACTGATTTTGATTAACTGTGGTAGAGCTTTCTACCACCTCGTTCAAACTCTCTCCAACTTACCTACCGCAGGGCCAGGCCGCGTATATAGTGTCGCGATGCTGAATGATGTCAATTACGACAGAAACGACCAGCATACAACAACAAACAGCGCACCCAATGACCTTAAGCTACACGCAGGGCCTTACTGTCATATGGGAAGCCTATCGATACTGTGGCTACCGGCTCGACGACGAGAACCCGTGTATTTTCCTTCGTAGCTGTCGACCTGCAATGTGCTAGTCCCACTCCTACATCACTCGACGTAGACTGCATTGAGGCTCGGTCTGGTACGCTGGGCCGACCGCAATAGGAGTGCGAGGTGTGCCTCGTCATCGCCTGAGCCCAAACCTTCATCACGCGTCAGGTGTCAACATGCATGTAGACGGCAGGCTGCATTTTGAGAGCATATCTCGAAGCAAGAATGCTTTTCAGATTCGAAGCGGTGAGGTGATGTCCGACTGGCAGCAACAAAGAAGAAAGAGATGATGTCCACTCCAACACCGGCACGATTCCTAGCGAGAGCGATCTCCCGTAATTATTGAAGATGTGCCACTGGGTCTTGAGAATCGTAAGCCGCCCACCCGTACCCTGTCTGCCGTCAATAAGCTAATGTTGGAACATAGTGGCAGTGCGGGGAGAGCTATTTCACGAAGCATTCTAGTTGCAGTTTCGATCGCGCAGCACACTGTCTAAACAATCCCTTGAACCCGTTGCATGCATCAATCACACCCCTTTCGCCGGACAAACTCGAGGCTCGATCATGCGCGGGCTTAAATCGGCCTCTGGAAGGACCGAAACAATTGCCGTACGCTGTCATCAAAAATGCACCGACGGAACCCCAAACACAAACCTACCAGCAAGCCACGGGGCGACACGGCACAGTTATACCCCACAATGCGAGCTTCGCGAAATCAGCTTCGCAGCTATCGGATGCGATTCTAGTAGCGCTACTATCCTCGTGTCAAGCGCGGAGGTAGTGATGGCACAATCTCCCCATAACACGAATCTGGAGGAGATGGTTCCGGGATTGTCGTTGTCCGACATTGGAAGGGCATCGCGTTGGGGTGACAACACGCTGGGGACCAGAGCTTGTTGTGATGTTTTCGAGGTGGTCCTGCAGCGCAGAGAATTAACAATCTGCCCAGCCTGCGCAAGGAGTCCAAGGAGGGCAAAGCTTCCAGCACGTAAGTTTCCAAGCAGACTCCACTCCACGCATGGTAATGCTGACCTCATACCTAACTTTAGATGCGAGAGGATGCTTTGCACCGAGCTAAACGCCGGGGATCCTGCGGAGTTGGGAAACGTGGTAGGGCTGTCCGCGAGCGGGGTCGGTCAATAAGCTGTCGGTCAAATCTTGTGCAGCTCGACCTGGCGCAGCCACAGCAGTGAAGGTGGCGCGGAAAATCCAGGCATCGTGGCTCTAGCGCATGAGATTGCAAAGCTTGCTGCGTGTAGCCGTATTTTAGCTGCTGCAATGCCAAAGCGATGATTTCAAGCCACAAGAGAGCAAAGTGATCGCCCGCCTTGCGTTCCGAAGGCTGTTGCTGGTCCAGTGCGCCTCTCGAACGTAGTGCTGACAGGTACCGCGCCTCGTTTATCCAAGTCACCAATGCTTGTGCCCTGCTCCAGGTCCGGATGATGCGGCAGCTTGGGGATGCGGGTGGAGTCGCGTTTGTGGCAGAATACGAACAGATGAAGAGATTTTGCCCCCCCTTCCAGACAGGGGCCGAAGTCATGTCCAGGCGGACTTGTTGTTCCTGAAAAGTTGCCGTGCAGCGGAGCGCGACCCGGCAGCGGATTGGTACACGTAGAATCATCGTGGATCCTCAGGCCGTCGTGTTTCCATGGCCTTGGTGGTGTTGCGGTTCGCTACGGTCGCGTCCTTCCCCTGGACCTCGGCGTGCTAATATCTTTTCGGCGACTTCTTGAGGGATGCCCCTGACATGCTTCCGCATCCGGACATGGCCTTCCTGCAAATAGCTAGGGCTGTGGCTTGCCTTGCAATCTCGGTAGAGACTACTGAAAATGTCCTAAATGCTTGACTTGACCAAGCTTCGCGCTCCAAGACGGGCGACAGGCCGAAGGCCAGCGCGTCTGGCGCTGACAGGCCGATCTGCGCGTTCCATCAACGGCTGTCGGCTGTGGGCTGTCGTTTTGCGCAAACCCCACGGCTCCAGCAGCATCTTAAGTGATGCGAAATGTGGCATTACCAAAGCAGCCGCCTCATTAGACACGCTCTGAGACCTTGCGTAGCCGCGAGACAGGCCGACTGCCGTCCACGGTGTTCATGGGCGCAGGACAACCACTCATCCCGCCCAGAAATAGACAGGCGACAAGCGTGACCCCAGTGCCGATCCCTCCTGCGCAAGGCCTAGCATTGGCGGCGCTCCAGAAGAAATTAGCGCCCATTGCCTGAACAGTCTGCCCTACAGACCACACCATTGGCCGTGCACCTCGAAACGTGTTTTCCTTCCAGCAGGGTGGCCAGGCCAGCGACTAGCAAGGATGGATACGATGGTGCCGTGAACGTTGGTATACTTGAGGCACTGAAGCCCGCCGTTTGCTCGCACTCCATCCTTCGATCTCTGTAGGCACACTTCAAGTCCTTGCCTTCAGGACAGCCTTTCGTTTGAAACATCTGAGTAGCCGTCACTCGTTCCGGCTATTCACCCAATAATACTCTGCGGTACACAAACCGCCTTAATACTGCCCTATCATTCTTAATAACTCGATTGGTCTACTGGTACGTTACTTCCCCATCACAGCCATCTGGACGATTTGCGACTTCCTACAAATCCAACCCCACGAAACTTTCTCCCGGCGAGGCGACACGTTAAGCAACCCTTCAAACACCTGATGAGAATCTCACATCTATCCCTCATTTCTTCACCTGCGCCCTTGTCGCTACGTTATCCTCCTATCCCTATCCTCTCGTTTTTCAAGGAAATGCCGAGTCTCTTTCTCTTCCAATACTTACAATTCGCCCTATAGATCTTTCACAATGAAGGCTTCTCTCTTCGGTATCGGCGCTCTTGCCGGTCTCGCCTCGGCGAACATCAACTTCGAATGGGTTCAGCCCATCTGCGAGTTCAGCTCGCTCCTCAGTAACCAGTGCTTGACCGGCCAACACTGTTCTGAGGTCAACGCCTGCGTGGCAGACCTGAAGAGCGATTTCTCCAAGATCTCTGCTAGGTCTCGTTCATCGATCAGGTTCCCAGAGAAGAGGCAGTCTGGTGCCAAGTACTCTACGGATGGCAAATGTGGACCCGCCAATGGCAACCTACTTTGCGACCCGAACAGCACTGCATACACTGGCTCATGCTGTTCCCAGTACGGATGGTGTGGAAACACCCCTGCCCACTGCGGAGATGGATGTCTCTCTGGCTGCAACAATGGCGCCGCATCGACTCCTACAAAGCAGACGACACCAACTCAACCTGCAACTGGAAACTCTGGAGCTGCTGCCCCCAGAGCTGACGGTCGATGCGGTAAAGACTTCGCTGGTGCGTCCTGTGATGCTAAAGGAGCCTACGGTGGCTGCTGCTCTTCATATGGATACTGCGGATCCACCGACGGCCACTGCCTCGTCGCCAACGGATGTCAGAACGGTTGCAAGGACAGTGCTCCTGCCAGCTCTGCTCCTGTCTCGTCTCCCTCCAACACACGCCCTCCTTCAGTGACCAGCACTGGCGAACCTGTTCTTGGTAAGCCATCGACTCCGGCGAGCACAAAGCCCACCGGCGTCCCCACTGTCGACGGTAGCTGTGGTGCCAAGTTCGGCGGCACTGTCTGCGGCAACTGGGCCCAAGGCTCCTGCTGTAGCATGTACGGATACTGTGGTAACACCACCTCTCACTGTGGTGAGGGATGTCAAAACGGCCCTTGCGCTAAAGCGCCTAGCCAGCCTGCTCCTGCTGCCAGCCCCGCTCCTGCAGCTCAGAAGCCCGGTACCCTCGTCAAGAAGGGCCGATCTGGTGTCCCCGCTATGCACGCTGGTCTCATGCCCAACGGCAAAGTTGTCTTCCTTGACAAGGTTGAGAACTACACTGAGCTCAAGCTTGGCAACGGCCAGTACGCCTACTCTTCCGAGTACGACCCTAACACCCAGAAGTTGACACCCCTTGCTTACAAGACCAATGCTTTCTGCTCTGGAGGCATTTTCCTTGCCGACGGCCGCTTCGTATCTCTTGGTGGCAATGCTCCTCTGGACTTCATCGACCCCACTGTTGGCGATGGCTTCAAGGGTATTCGTTTCCTTTCCCGAACCGCAGACGGCAAACTTGATGGCCAAGCATGGAACGAGCCAGGCACCCATCTTGACACACCCCGCTGGTATGCTTCCGTCCAGATCATGCCCGACAACAAGATCTTCGTGGCATCTGGTAGCTTGAACGGTCTCGACCCCAGCAAGCCAGAGAACAACAACCCTACTTACGAGATCCTCAATGCCGATGGTACTCCCCAGGGCAAGAGCATCAACATGGAGATCTTGAGCAAGAACCAGCCATACTACATGTACCCGTTCATGCACTTGATGAAGGATGGTAACCTGTTCGTTCAGGTCGCCAAGTCCGCTGAGATCTTCAACGTTGGTACTGGACAAGCTGTTCGCCAATTCCCTGACCTCCCAGGCTCTTACCGCACCTACCCCAACACTGGAGGCTCCGTCATGATGCCCTTGTCCAGTGCTAACGACTGGAACCCTGATATCATCATCTGCGGTGGTGGTCCTTACCAAGACATTACTGCCCCAGGTGACCCGTCTTGCGGTCGCATCAGGCCTCTTGACGCCAACCCTGAGTGGGAGATGGACTCTATGCCTGAAGGCCGTGGCATGGTTGAAGGTACTCTTCTTCCTGACGGTACCAGCGTCTGGGTCAACGGTGCTCAGGAGGGTGCTCAAGGCTTCGGTGTTGCCCAAGATCCCGCCCTTGAGGTCCTCCTTTACGACCCCAACCAGCCCAAGGGCAAGCGCTGGACCACCGGACCCAAGTCTGACATTGCACGCTTGTACCACAGTGTTGCTCTTCTCCTCCTTGACGGTACCCTTCTCATTTCTGGCTCCAACCCCGTCGAGCAGCCTATCCTTACGCCTAACGCGAAGAACCCATTTGTCACCGAGTTCCGCAACGAGATCTACACTCCTCCCTACCTTCAGGGCAACCCTACTCGTCCTTCCGATGTTGTTCTTTCCAGCAAGAACCTCAAGGCTGATGGCTCTAAGTTCACCATCAAGTTCACCGCCCCCGCCAACAACAAGGCTGTCAAGGTTTCCCTCTACTACGGTGGATTTGTTACCCACTCTGTTCATATGGGTCATCGCATGGCTTTCCTCGACAACACTGGGTTCAAAGCCGGCAGCACCACCCAGACCATCACCGTCACAATGCCTCCTAACAGGAACGTTGCCCCAGCCGGCCCATATGTTGTCTACGTCCTTGTCGACGGTGTCCCTGCCATGGGTCAATTCGTCATGGTCTCATAGACGTTTCCTTGAACTCTTTCTTCCTATGTCACTTTTGGATATAATGTATGGGATGGGACATGAGGAACGCCTAGCGGCGTACGTGTGACGTAGTTCCCAATAGAGCAATACTATAAAAACAATCAAACAAACTTCAAAACTTACCTTGATCATCAATTTGACGTGACTCCCAGACGTTGCGAATCACACCTCGTCGGCTCGTGTCCCGATCAACAGACGTCATAATGAGCTAACCATCCTAGGCCGAAGCACATGACTGGCAGCGCCATTGCCTACATATGTAAAATTGAAGACATTGAAGACACCAATTCCAAAGGATTCAACACCATTCGATTCACTATGGCACCCAACATCGAACTCCTGACCGCCGCCACTCCGAACGGACAAAAGATCTCCATCTTCCTCGAAGAGCTCGGCCTCGCATACACGACGACCGCAATCGACCTAGGTAAAGACGAGCAGAAGTCCAGTAGCTTTCTCAAGACCAACCCAAACGGTCGCATACCCGCCATCGTCGACCATTCGCGGAGCTCGTTCCCCGTGTTCGAATCCGGAGCGATTTTTCTCTACCTCGCCGAGCACTACGACAAGGACTTTCGCTTTAGTTTCCAAGACGCAGATGAAAAGAGTGAAATGATCCAATGGCTGTTTTTCCAGAATGCAGGCTTGGGTCCGATGCAAGGCCAGGCAAACCACTTCTTTCGCTACGCGCCCGAGAAGATTGAGTATGGAATCAAGCGCTACCAGAACGAGACGAAACGACTGTATTCGGTGTTGGAAGCGCGTCTGAAGGGGAGGAAGTGGCTCGTGGGCGAGAAGTATAGTGTCGCGGACATGAGCACGTTTACGTGGGTTAGGTGGGCGCCGTGGGCGGGTGTTGAGTTGGACGAGTTTCCGGGGCTGAAGGAGTGGGCGGAGAGGATTGAGGCGAGGGAGGCGGTGAAGAAGGGTTTGAAGGTGCCGGGTGGAGAGGATCAGATTGATCGGTTGAGGCGAGATCCGAATGTTGGTGATCCCTTCCAGGAATGGGTCATGAAGGGCCAGAATGAGATTGCGGAGAAGCATGGGAAATAAGTAAGGATACTGTGAGCGCAAATAGCAGTTGATCTTCATGCTGTTACTGCATCGCGGACGTAGCATTGATGAGGTATTGTAGTTATCTTCAATGTAGCTTTGGTTAATGAGTAGTTTCAAACAAGCTTTATGATCGTTGACGCGTCCGCGTTCCATCGTTTGCCGTACATCATCCCTTCTATGTAAGCAGGGCCAATGAGGCTATAGTGTTCGCCAGCCTTGCGCACAATGAATGGAACTTTCAGCCCTTGTATGAGAGCGACCATGTCACCTGAATTTACCCATCGCGGACACGTTCCCATGCAGCCATCTCTCGTTGTTATGAAGGTCTTATGGTATGAGTTCAAGAAGATCTCGTGCTGAAGCATTGCCACTTCTGGTTTGTATAAGCGCAAGACGAAGCGAATCTTCAATTCATCGGGCCATAATTCCGGGTCAGTGCCGTAGCCAAAGAGGTGCGCATAATCCTGCAACGTTGCATGATATTCGGGAGTGTCTCGAACAGTCCCGAGGAGGTTCCGAAGCACAGTAGGGTCGTCCGAGAAATTCGCAGTGATTATGTACATCCAGTCCTCAAGTGCGTTGTCCAGAAGTACCGGAGTATAGTACGGAAGTATTTTATGGAGCTCAGTGTTTTGCACGATGATGCTATGGAATGCTTCCCGTGCTAGAATGTTAGTCATGAGATCGCGACTTTTCCTGCGAAGCCTGACCCACGCCTGCAAGGTGCGGACAAGATTTAACACACCAGTGCGTCGATGTTCAGACTCAATTGTGTCTTGTCTAGCTTTATATCCGCGCCTGAAACTTGGCATAGCAATGGACGTAGATTGAGCGACTTCGTCTACCTCGTCCACCACGATTGCTCTAACCGACAAGTGCAGTCCGTTGAAAGAAAACCACGGCTGTGATGTCCCCGAGGCACAAGAGTCTCCAATAAGAATGGGCCGAAAATAAGACGTGTTGCTGTAATCCGGGACCCACGAGGGTAGATAGTTTACCAGATTTGGCAAGCACACTTGATACAATATGTCCAAAGACCGCTCAGACTCGATCACAGCACCTGTTACCTCGGTATATATAGTATGTACGGCGCGACCGTAGCTGACCCTGGGCAGTCCCTGAATTTGCATGTAGTCAAACATCCCGTAGAGACCATAAACCTTGTCTTCCGGGACTGTTGAGAGTTTTGGTCTTGTAACCCTAAAAATCTCAGAGAGAGAAATTTTACCGTTTGGAGTGCGTACCAAGCTAGCAGTAGCGCGATAGCATTCGGTGTCGTCATAGTAAGATGCGGGATTTGATCTTGACCGATCGTGGAGGTGTTCGTAGACTTGAACTGTCGAAAGCGCGTGGACAAAAGAGAACCATGGCAAATAAATGGAACCAAAGATTAAAACAGCGCTCTGTGATAATACCAGTTCCTGTATCGGCCATACTCGATGGAACCAAGGCAGATTAAGGAGATCGATAATGAAGTTGGTGTCAACTGCGTCATAGTACTGGCGAGTATCGCGAACTTCGTCTATAACATTCTAGTGAGCAAAACACTTTTGGGCTCTTTCGGGGCTGACATCCTCACCCTTGAAGCGCTCATACCACTCACTCAATAACGACTCCGATTCTGAAAAACTACGGATAGATGCTGAATTAGTAGCTACCTTCTTCAAAAAGCCCAAGGCAGTTTCCACCTCGTGAGATGCTTCGCCGAGCCAAATCCGCACCAGTCTGGCTTTGCTGTAGATTGAGCTCATCCTCGGTACTTGTGTATTCTTCTCGGACACACTTGACTGGTTGATACATATAGAATCAATCCAATAGGCTCCTGTCGAGTTCGCCTGGGATGATAACATGTGAAGGATTGCTTCTACATTTGGAGTAACATCGAGGTTTTTGTCATTGCACATAATCGTTGAGCTTGCAGGATCTCGACCCCAAGCATAGGAGACTGCTTCATATTCTGGATGGCCATCGAAGGTCGCCTCAAAGAGGCAGATTTCGACTTTGCTGAAAGTCCCGGTGGGGCAAGGCTGCGACTTTTGGATTCTGAATAGGCGAAATGCTGCAGTTTCACTCGACAGGTCGTCGTAATGGTAATGCGAGGAAGCCATACTGGCTACCTGTGAAGAGTGCAACTGTTTTGAGAAAGTCGTGCTGTATTTATGCTTCATGGCTGATGTTAGGCAGACGTTGGGTGTGGCGCTCTTGCTGCACCTGGGCACTGCAGTACACCCCGCACCAGGCGCGTTTCTCGTATGCGCAGCCTAAAAGGCTCACAGGTTGCAAAACCAGACAGTATAAATTTGCTTCTCCGAGACTGCCGCATTAGCCTATAGTGTTGCAAAACTGTCAAGCTTTCCTCTTGACGCCTTACGCGATCTATTAAAGGAGTTTACCAGATAGTAAAGATGAACAATAAAAGCCCATGAAGGACATGAGCATCTGGGTATTAAAGTGCGAAGACAGCATGTCAAGTTCTACCTACATAGGTACCTTGTAGCCTGAGAGGGGGATATATCCTCTCTCGACATAATAGACACATATCGGTGCACGAGTATGCAAAAACCTGTCACTGTATGATCGCAGCCTTGTAACAGCATCGAGCAGTAACGAGCCAGTACCTAGGTAGGATATTTTTCGTCTGTCTGCGAAGTTCTAATCGCAGCAACGCTAGCATTAGTGTCCCTGCTCTTTCCTTATTCAAAGCATCACGTGCATAGTGAATGTATGAAGATTGCCGCGTCTCGTCAATCCACGCACAAACCACAATTTCCGCCGCTCTTTCGAAAACGCAAAATCGATTGAGAAGCTATGGTGGGCTCATACAAACCCCGGACAGACGCACTGACTGGCCCCAGGGCCAACACAACATCAGACATAGGGAATGGGAGAAGAGGCAGAGGCGGCGGCGGCAGCTCGCGCCCATTGGGTGGGACAATTCAACACCACCTCAGCTACGACCAGTGGCTGCGCAATCAACGAGGTTGGGCCCCAAGCGGCAGCTCTTCAAGAGGTTTTGGCACGTCCTACACTGGCAGCAACAACAATGGGCGTGGTGATTGTGGATGACGACACAATCCAGATGACTACAACGGCCCAAGAGAATACGCAGGCCATATTGGGCAGATACGCGGTGGCTACGGCGGAATTGGGAGTCACTCTGGGTCGCGCGCAGCATCTGAAAATGGTGGCAACACCAGATTTAGAGGTCAACATGGGCTGCGAGATGAGTCTGAAGCTAAAATCAGCGACAAAACAGCGCCGCAGCGGTCCGAACTCAGCCTCTTGGAACATGAGCATGTCCACAATCAGAGGAATACATCGACCAAGATAAGCTACCTCCACACTGGGGCTATGGTCGCGCTGTCACCATGACACACTGTCTCGACCGTGGCGAGGCCAAGGCAGATGGGCATCTTGGTTCCGGTCATGGATGTCCACGATCCCGTGTCCGATGCAAAGTCCCGCACAAAGGCGAGCGCTGTCCCAAGCTCTACATGACGAGGAATCATTGGAAGAAGGGTCGGTATGGCAAGGCGCCAACCCTCGAGGACCGTCTGAACAGTCTTCGAGTGCAGCCGAACGAAAAAGATGAAGCTGAATTGATTCTTCGTGGGTACACGATTTTCGAACACATGCACAAGCGAGGCGGTTCTTCGCTCAAGCGACCTTTGGACGACGAAAGTGCCTTTACAGAATCTCAAAAGAGATTGAAGCTGACCAATCTTGCGCTTTTGAAGGAGTTGCGACAGGCTGCCGCGGAACAACGCAGTAGGCTGAAGCATGTATTTGACGAGCGCGCTTTGCTCCAGAAGGATAAAGCGGAAGCTCGGGAGAAGCAGGTAAAGGCCGATGCCGCATACGCAGACGCCTTGGCCGTGAGCAACTGATCAAGGAGTCGCCATAATAAAGAGAAGATGGGGGAAGGGCCTGGGTGAGTGTAGATAGAGCAATTGAAGAGTTTCATCATACTCAGTGTAAGCCTGGTGACTATCATTCATATTCGAACAATAAGCCCAGCTTCGGTCATTGACGTACTTTCCTGCCTCCTAAGACAACACAAGACCTCGCGCTTTGAGCTCTCTAACCCCCTTGAACACCTCCTGCATGATGCGATCCCTCTTGAAGAACGCCCCACCCACCAATGCTGCAAGCACAAGCCTCCTTATCCACCTCACTCCTGCCCCGGGAGAAACCCCCGCCCCACTCTTCTCATCCCTATACACAAAATCCGCCGTTTTCCAGAACACACTACGCCACCAATACTGAAACTGCCAATCGGGATACATCATATTATTCATGCCCGTCTTTGCGTCAACTGCCCAGTTTGTGCAACCAGATGCCCATACAAGTTTCTTTGCTTCTGATTGCGTCCATTCGGAATCAGCGATGGCGGCTTCAGGGCGGACTTCGATGGTGGTTGGAGCTGGAAGGAATAGAGATGGCATGAATGTATGCGATCGGTAGCTAGGAAGCGCCTGGAGGATGGGAGTGAGGAGGCGCAGGGTGAAGTTTATTTGGCATTCCACAGTGTAAATGACAGATAGATGGCCTGTTACTGTGTTCTGATGTATTGGGTCAGTAAATGACGAGCAGGAAGAGAAGAATGACGTACCGGACCCATGAGAATGAAGAAGTTGGGGAAGTGAGGGACTACGGTGCCGAAGTAGGCTTGTGCAACGCCTTGGGTTGTTGTATCCCACTATTCTGTTGTCAGCACATTGCATATCTGAAACGAGGTCCTGACTTACATAGTCGTTCAACTTCAATCCGTCCCGTCCTACGATCTCCATGGGGCATAGCATCTGTTGCGTCGCAAACCCAATCGCCAAGACAATTGCATCAGCCGTGATTTCCCTGCCACTCTTCGTCACCACCCCTGTCTCCGTGATTCTCTCTGCCGGATCGTTGCTGATAAGCTCGACGTTGTCCTTCCACAAGCTCTTCAAGTACTCAGTATCCAAAACTTTTCGCTTGCATCCAATCTCGGTCTTCGGAATAAGCGCATCCCAGTACTTCGGCGGTGCCGTCTTCTTCACATAAGCCTCGTTCTCCTGGGCGAGGGACTGGCGAATTGGCCGTCCGGTCTCAATGTTAAAGCCGGCGTAGTCGCGTTCCATGTCGTAGTAATGTTTGAAGCGGTACAGGCGCATAGCAAGTGGGACGTAGCGCATAGTAGCCTTGAATGCGGGGCTGTAGACAGGATTCTCGCGCTCAGATAAGTATTGGGCTTGTCGGGCAAACTGCGTGATTCGGCGGACAGGATTCGGTGGGCTGGCCATTATGGGCAGGAATTGGGTGGCTGAACATCCATTGCCTGCTTGGAATAAGTAGGATATAATTTGTACTGGGCCGTAGAAACATACCAAGGACAACTACATCTTTGTCTTTCCAATTAAAACTGTGATCCCACTGTGCGGAGTGGAACATCTTGCCCTTATAGGTATCTGCACCAGGTAGATCGCATGTCTTAGGCACAGAAAGTGACCCAACACCTGATATCAGCACTTTTGCTCTTCGAACCGTCTGTTGCTTGCTCTTCAGATCTAGCACAGTAACGATCCACACCTTTTCTCCATCGTTCCACTCTGCTTTCTCAACAATCGAGTGGAAGCGAACATGCTCAACAACGCGATATTGCTCGGCCACTGAGCGGAAGTAAGCCTGGATTTCTGGTCTCATAGAGTATTTGCGACTCCAATCCGGGTTCAAAGCAAAGCTGTAGGAGTAAAAGTGGGAAGCAACCTATAGCTTGTCAGTCCCGAGTCATCTTGAACGACGAAGAACTTCAAAATGAAATGGTACACACATCACATCCACACCCTGGGTATGTATTCGCCAGCCATGTTCCGCCAACGTCTTCGCTCTTCTCGACAAGTTCAAAGTTCCGTATTCCAAAGTTTCTGATGATTTGCACGGCAAGCCCGAGGCCGCTCATGCCAGCCCCTATAATTAGGACTTCTGTATCGAACGACATTGTGGGATTGTGGGCTTTTGTTCTCAGATTCGTGAGGAGAATAGAAGTCGGGGCAAGAATGCGCGTCGCCTGAAGTTGTCCAAGAATGCCGATGGTTTACTACTTATGCCATCGTCTAATCCTCGCCACATATTGTCCCGTCCATTCCGGCCCGCCCAGAAGTGGGTCGACCCCATTTCTGCGCGACCATTGACTTCATAAGGCGTGTTCTCGCCTTTCATTCTGGTGTTCGTGGAAGTCTTTTGGTACCTTTTGGTCTTGTTGAGGAAGGTTTGCCGAGGGAAGGTGTAGCGAGCACCAATCACGACTTCGGAAGAGCCGCAGCTCCTCCGTGGGGACCCCGCAAGGCGGAGGAAGTACACGCGTGTACTGCTCGTCTCGACCTGATGCTGAAAACGGTATCCCGAGCTGCTCGAGCAGCAAGATCCCGTGCTGACTGTTCCCGACGACGAAGACAAGGCTCACTTTACAACTAGAGCATGTGGATGCGAGAGATTCTTCGATTCATGCGACCCAATGATGCTCATCTGTCTGTTCTCACCAGGTGTCGAGCAGTCTGCCAACCACTGACACCTACCCCGACTACCAAAAGGAGTGCATTGAACGCAGCCATCATATAAAAAGGTGAACCTGGCCCGGTGCTATCAAACAAGGCCCCCCCTGCTTTGGTGAGAAGCAGAATACCAAAGCCACCTAGCAAGCTATATGTTCCTGCTATGGAGCCTTTGATATGGTTGTGTGACTGTGCCTCGGGAATTGAGGCACGGCGAGATTGACTTGATGGCAGAAGCAGTGGTGCGTTCTCATCTACAGGTGTGATTGGGGCGCTGGACGGCGGTGTCGCGCCTGCAGAAGGATGTGAGGTAGAGTTGGTCGCATCAGTAACGTGCGTCAGTTCTGTATGTTCCGCTTCGTCGTTGTTGATGCCACGTCCAAGTAAGGCCAGAGAGCAGACAATGGCACCGATCTGGCTGATGCCAAGAAGAGCGACGATGAAGAATATGGCCCCGGTCCCATCCTCACTGCGATAGTCCGGGCTGGTCAACGATCCGAACCAGGCGTATCCGACAATACCAGCGATAGCTGCGACAAGGAGCGGTATGTTGTATCTTGGGAATCGGCCGGACAGGTAGCCGAAGAATGGAGCGCAAATGAGCGCTATCAACTGACTGATGCCTGTGAGCATTGCTGCAAGTTTATATGCTTCCGGGCAGGCGCTCTTGATATTAGATGGATCCGAAGGGTCAACCTTGCACCTTCCAGTCTGTAAGAAGTAGTGGTTGGTGAAGAGCGGGATGAACAGTGATATTGCGACGGATGATGCTCGTGCGACAAAGCCTCCCATGTAGCCCAGTCCGATGTTGGACGAGGTGAAGCCGAGACGGACGCTTTGCCAGAATAGACGCGGGTATATCAACACGAGGTCTCGAGTGGAGCGAGTGTCCGTCGCTTTGGTCTCGTCCTTGCCGGCAAGGCGTCTCCAGCCTTTGCCCTCTTCTCCTGGCAGACTTCGAAGACCGAAGAAGCAGCCCAAAGCCACCAATATTGCGATTGCGCCGACAACATAAAATGCACTAGCAACAGCTTTCGCTGGGCTGTCGCCAGCTTCCTGGAAACGAGTCGGCAATGGCAAGAATAGCAGCAGAGCGACGAGGGCTCCACAACCTGTAAACATGCCGACTAGACCAGCAAGCTGTGACGTAGAAGCCCCCGTGTCTTTCTTGGTACGTGTGGCGGTAGTAGGCTCTCTCGAGCTCGAACGGAAGCGCGCAGGAGTGATGGTGAGTTCCGACGAGATGGAAGCTGCGACCGCATGCGATGTGCCATTTGTGCGTCGGGTCGGGGATCGTGGATCACGCTCCACTGGCTTGACAAAAGTCATGGCGGGCAGAACGGCAGTAACCATGGTCGCGCTGTTCGTATCAGCAAATGCATCGCCACGACCTCCCGATTGCACTTACGTCGCGCTCCCTCCCAGACTGAACAAAATACGCGCCAACAGAAGCTCTGGATATACATTCTTTGCCTGTACTAGAATCCATAGTGCGACTCCGACAATTGTATAGCCCACCACAGCAACACTTCTCACGCCTACGCGGTCGCTGAGGAGACCCCATGCTGGACAAGCTACCAGCGCGACCAGCTCGTCAACGAAGCCCAGTGTGCCCACAGCGTCGCCAACGTCGCGCGACTGTCCAATTCGTTGCGTGATGACGAAGGATATCGAGCTGTTCAGGAAAACCAGGAAACTGATACTGAAGAGCGCGACACCAAATAAATAAGAAGCCACCTGGGTCTTCGAAGCGGTGAACTGAAGGCCGAACATGGTTGCGATACGCCCGTGCGAGCTCAACGGCGTTGTCCTACGAGCATTGTGATGGAAGGTGATCGGCTGATGTTGCGACAGCTCGAGCTACCGACGATGACGCTGTGTGGCTTGTGCGCACGTGCTTTGCCTCGTTCACTGCTTATGTCATTACCGGACGTGGTCACGCATCCTCGGTACCCAAAATCTTCCCGATGCAGCATCATGTTCTGGGATACTGCCCTCGTTCAGTCTATAATTGCATTCGTGAATCATGAGCTGCCCTCCAACCAGTTGTATACGTGAGCAGCTATGTCGTCCGCTGATGTGCGCCTCTAGGAACCACCACTATAGCATTCTCTACTGCAAAGCATGATTCTCAGACTAACAAGAAAAAATGTATTGAGCTCTTAAACGTGTAAGAAGATTTCTTCGAGGAACAGCGTTGAAACCATTACGCTCGAAAATGGCACATAGCACATAGCACAGTATTGCCAAACTCCCTGCGCCATGCACAAGCCCTTTCACAACATGACCCTCCTTCGGATCCAGCGCACCGTTTCCAAATGAACACGGGCTGAAGAAAATCACTAACATCCACCAGCTACAGCTGCAGCTGCCATGACCAAGCCTGTATCGCCTGCATGTCCGGATCCCCACACCGGTTGTGCAACTCCATGCCTGCAGCTGCAGGGTCGGCGATCACAAGGTGCTTATTAAACCTTGCTCCAGCCTAAACGCTTATCACGACCCTGATTTGGACCCCAGTACTCGCGACTCTCGGTATACTCGCCACGCTCGACACCCTGCTTGAACAAACCACGGATCTTGTTGGTGCGCTCTGCATCACGAGGCCTGAGGCTGAATTTGAATGGGATCGGCTTCGCAATGAGGAGGATGGAGTAATCAAGAGTGGGATCTGACGGCTTTTGCGTTATGTCGCCCCATTCCAGGGGTTTGTATGCGGGCTCGGTCTTCTTGGCTGTCATCGTCTTTGTTGTCGCATCTTCGCTGATGGATACGCCTGTGTTGAGTTCTTCGTTCGAAATGGAGGCCTTCTCATTCAGGCCGATTCCGTCGAACTTGCTTGGCTGCGTCCAATCTGGTGCCAAAACATCGTCTGGCTTTTGTGAAATGTTGAACATCCATGCGATCGATCCAATACCGATCAAAAGGTCTTCATCTGTGACTGTTTGTCCTTGACACGTTCTTCTCCCATAGCCGAATTGTGTCGAGTTGATGATGGTAGGGAATTGCGTGAGAGGCTCTTGGTAAGTTGGGTATTCAGGCTCGACCCAACGAAGCGGGTTAAATGTTTCGGGGTCAGGGAACATATCAGGATCCCTTGAGATAGCCCTGGAGGACAATGTTAGCAGTAGTATCTCGTTGGTGGAGATGAAAACTCACCACTCGAGTGGATGTATCGTGCTACCCTTCGGGATATGATAGCCGTTGTACTCGTCGTCTTGAATCAGATAATGAGGGATGCCTGTCGGAACTGGAGGGCGCCACCGGAAGCACTCGCGGATGACTGCTCTCAGGAATGGCAGATTTGGTCTATCTTCAGATACAGGCGGTCGGTCTCCGCAAACACGATCCAACTCTTCGTGTAGCATTGGTAGGAATTGCGGATAGTGGGCCATAGCCAAACAGAATGTTTGCATAGGCGCCGCAATGGTAAGGGCACCAGCAATACCGTGCATGCCAACAGCATATGCACCTTCCATGTCCGACTTGAATCCCCACTTACTCCGGCCATCGAGAAAAATCTTCATCCAAGATGGAGATGCTGTCTTTTCATTAATTTCTTTCTGCACTTGCGACTGCATGGACTGAAACCATGTTCGTTCTGTGATTGCACGTCTCCTCTCCCATGCCTTGGCCGGCGACAACCAGTCAGGAAGCGCCATGAGGAAAGGTAGCTTGTTTGGTAACGCACCAGTGGGCGACACGCCGATGAGCAGCTCCCGAGCACGTTGCTTCAGCTCATCGCTGGCCTCACTGTGGCCCCAAGCTAAACGGCAAGTAATACGGGAGATGTACGACTCGAGCACGTGGTTGTAGCGATCCGGCTCGTCCAGCAACTCGACAAGCATGCGCTTTGCCTCCATCTCGGGGTACCTATGGAACAAAGCTTTCTCGGACTCTCGCATGATGATATTGGCAAACTTTCTTTGCCGTGTATGACCATCTAGATATGTCAGCAAGATCACATCAAGGGCTGGGAGCTTTTTCTTACCATTTCTACTGAGAAGTGGGAGGTATTGTGCACTTGTGCGGTTGTCGTCTATTAGGGCGGGAATATGTGGTCGATCAGAGTATATAGCGGCCTTCTTGGACAAAAGGTCTTTGGCTATTTCATCCGAGGAGATCCAAACGTGGTTATGTCCGGCCAAGTTGACCTGGTAGATGGGACCATATTCTTTACCCCAATCGGCGAATTTGATGAAGCCGTTCTTCTCAGGCACTTCAGGGATAGAGCCAATTATCGGATAGCCTAAGACAAGATACGTCAGTATTTATTGCGGAAAGCAATGCTACCAATGACTGAAAGCACCATACCCTTGGGACCTGGTAGAGGTTTGAGCCCTGTTGGAATTCTATGACGACGAGATGAGTCGCGGTACCTGTATAGTGCATATACAGCCAGGAACACGGCCACTAGTAATAAAAGAGGAACGGCCATAACGGCGAGGCGGGATTATGAGTATGTACAGGCGTGGAGTACAACAGCTACCTGAGCATTGGAAATGTCACAGGTGTCCAAAATTCTCTGTGGAAATTGTGGGTGTCTCGCATGCTACATATATGATCCGCGAGAATCAGAATGTCACAGCAAAGACGTACGTGTATGGTCAGCCCGTATCAACACTCCTGAGGCATGTGCTGTGCAAAGAGTTTCGCCTACAATACCCCGTCCCCGTGCTTAGCCGCCTAGTGATGCGTGTCAGAACCATAGAAGTGGATAAAACTTCTGACAATCCGTTAAGCGATGGCGTATGCGTTTCGCTCGCTCCGTGGATCCCTGGAGTCATGGTTTGTTTCCGTTTGGCTGATCTGAACGAATCGCTAGATCGGGATCACGACCACAGTACTCATGTACCAAATCTATCATGCAGCTGCTGCATATGGGGTTAATCAGGGGTAAGCAGGGACATGCACATAGACGGTCATTGCAGCTGCCGTAACTCAAGCTGTGCAGCATCCTCAATGGCTGACGCATGACGAAAGTCCTCGGGGCTGAAGCTCCCGAATGCAGACAAGCTGTTCAATGGACACAGAGCAATGATTGTAGCGAAAGATGACAAGCCGCTGACGACGATAATTGATACTCATACCGCAGTAAGACGCCGGGAGAAATGCTTCATCCCCGACCCTTCGCAAGAGACCCAAAGAAGCGCTTCTTCTCGTCGCTTGGATGCTACCCCGGAAAAGCGGCAAAGAGGAAGGCCTGTTTGTCAGATGGTATTTGATGAAGGAGAGCCGTCAGGGTGAAGATCAATTCAATGGTGATGGTGTGGTTGTCGGCGTGAGACCCCTTCTCACTAATCTATTTCGAGCGCCTGCATGCGCTAAATCCGGTTAGCAGCAGCCACGCTCGAAACGTCGATCGTGCCTGATTCGCAGAAATCCCTTGACCTGCCGTCTCAAGCGAGGATTATATGACGGTGGAGAGCCGGCCAACTGTCCGACATCTCAGGCCAAACACCGTTCTCGTGTCATTCCTCTCATCCGTCCATCCGTCTTGTTTCATTTGCAGGGTTGCGTCACTGCTCTCGCCGAACCGCTTTTAGCTCAGTCGTGCTTTCGTGCTGCCATGCAGCGCCATCGCGTACGGCAGTGACATCGGTGCTTGTAAGCTCCTTGATGCCGACCTTGCGAGACACGAGAAGCGCGTGGGATGCTGAGGTGATCTCGTAAACTGCAGTGCGGAAACTTGGGCAAGCTGCTCGGCTTACGCTGCGTATAGGAATGCGGTGTTCAGATCTCGGTGCGCGACGGATGAAACGCGATGCCAGCTATTCTTGGACGAACTAAAGCTTCAAACACGATCCACCATTGTTTGCGACGTCAATAGATCGTCCTCTTCAAACAAAAGTTCTGGAACTTGGGGTTGGTTGTTACGTAGCCTCGATCTTCTTCCATCTCAGCTTGCCGCGTCGTCAAGGTCTGTATCCATCTTCGCAGGGTCCAAGTCTGCAGCGAAATCCGCAGAGCAACCAGTGATCAGCAGCCATGCTTCGTCGGCTGACACTCTCTCCCGCTATTCTCGCGGGCGATTCAAGGTATATCGATATTGTTGGCTCTTATCGGTGTAGACATTGGCTCGTTGCGATAGGAACAAATTGTTAAGGTTACAATGTCCCAGCTACCAACTCAACATTTTAATAAGCCCCGATGGTAGAAAGCATTCCAGACGAAGTCATGTTAACTACCTCAACCGTGCTCATATTCAGGCTGATATTCGTAAGGCTTGACAGATAATCAATGCGTTGTCACTCCTTCCTTCGAACTCGCATACCATCGGGGCTTAAAGCATACAGACTTAGCAGGCAGACTTTCTATTTATGTGAGCATGTCTCTTGATTGGGTGTATCATCTTCCGACCAGGAAAGCCAGATCACTACCCCGACACACCACTCACGATTGCACTACCCTCATGCTTGTCATGCTGAGGAACTCGTGCTAGGAAATATCTGCATCGTTACCTAGCTCCCACAGCCAGACCTGGCGAGATTCTCCGCCAGTGGAAGGTCTTATGCACGCTGAGCCGATTAGGCAGTCACAGCATATGCAACACTGTTCTACAGCACCACATCATATCTGGGTTACAGCTGCTCACCTGTGACATTATACTAATATTCATTTGAAAGCGCCTCTCGCAGGCTTCGCCACTCCTGGCTCGTTTTTGCTGTGGAAACTCTTACATCGCCGTATCAATAGCTTAGCATCGGAATATGTTAAGCTAGAGTTGCGAGGATGCGGCCAGGGATCGTCAAAGTATGTCTTGACGAGCTCACAAATCAACCCCATGGGGCTATTGCAATCTTTCGTACGGTATGCCTGATGTGCTGTCACCAACATCTGTCCTTGTGGTTCAACCCACATATTAATATTCACGTAGTCTTGTTGGACTGGACTGCAGCGCATCAGGAGCGCTCATAAAACCGTGCATCCTCACCAGGTCTAACATCTGTGATCAGTGGGCTATTAAAATGGAGGATTTCGCAGCGTCTCGGAGCAACTTAGGCAGAATTATACTGCGTTGAAAGCTATCAAATTATGCTTTACTCTTCTGAATAGCTCCCTAGAATACAGTAAAGTGTTCCAGGCTGCTGCATACAAGGGCGCACTCGGGATTCGACCGGTGTTCGGAGTTGTACCAGCGCCGGCTGAACCTTAGGAGAGACATGCCAGCGCAGCAGCACCTAGTACTATTAAAGTATCGTGTCACTAGGGCAGGAACATGGAGACCCAGTTCATATAATACAGGACATAGACCTGGCTTTGAGTCACGTCGCACCGACCGCGTTGCCCACCATCATGTCAAAATCAACGACTAGTCACTCAGTACCCACTGCGGTAGCGGCCCATATCGATTCTGACAATTCTAGAACGACGGTTACAGAAGTATTGAAGGAAGCTACCAGGCGATTTGCGGAAAGGAATACAAAGAGCCTGGCATTGCATGAAGAGGCAGCGAAGAGTTTGCCAGGTGGCAACACCCGAAGCTTGCTGCATACTCCACCTTTCCCGATCTTCCTCAAAAGTGGAAAAGATTATCATGTCACTTCGGAAGATGGCGAAACCTATGTTGATTTGGTTGGAGAAATGACGGCGGGGCTTTACGGGCATTCGCAGTCACTCATTCAAGAGACTCTCATATCGACTATTCAGGAAGTCGGTCTGAACCTGGGCGGCACGACCACCTTGGAAACTCAGCATGCTGCGTTGATATGCTCGCGATACCAGCTCGATCGTGTGCGCTTCACGAACTCTGGCACAGAAGCAAATCTTCACGCGATACAAGGTGCGAGACGATACACAGGCAAACGTAAAGTCGTTGTCTTCACAGGCGGGTATCACGGCGGGTGTTTCACGTTCTCTGCAGACAAGCCAACGGAGGATTGCATAGACAAAGAAGACTGGATCATCGCCGAATTTAACGATGTCGCAGATACCAGAAAGAAGATCGAGGAGTCCGATGACGTGGCTGCAGTCTTAGTGGAAGGTATGCAAGGTCGTGGTCCATGTATTGTAGGCACACATGAGTTTTTACAGCAAGTGCAAGATTCGGCCAGGAAAGTGGGCGCGGTATTCATACTCGACGAAGTTCAGACCAGTCGACGTGCACCCGGGGGACTTCAAGAGTTCGAAGGCCTGGAGCCAGACATGACCACTCTTGGCAAGTTTCTCGGTGGTGGCATTACCTTTGGTGCTTTTGGCGGGCGCAAAGATGTTATGCGCGTGTATGATCCGCGAGAGTCGAAAGCCCTTGGACATTCTGGCACTTTCAACAATAACACGCTCGGTATGGCTGCCGGATATGTTGGACTGTCGAAGATCTACACGCCAGAAGTCTGCCGCGAGTTCAACACGATAGGTGGTAAGCTTCGACAAAAGCTTGAAGACCTTAGCCAAGGTACGCGTATGACCATCACGGGGTTGGGGACTATTATGGGCATACACTTCCTGAAGGACGGAAAGAAAGATCTCAAGAGCTTCAGGGACCGGCAAGAGGATGAAGATTTGAGAAGACTATTCTGGTTCGAGATCATGAAAGATGGGTTCTGGATGACCGAGAGAGGAAGCATCGCCGTCATTTTGGGCACACCCTGGGAGGCGTTGGAGCGGTTTGTTAACTGCGTGAAAGCATTCCTTGAGAGACATGAGGCGATTATGAGGCTTTAGTTTTATCATCTAGAAAACTTCGAGCAACTCCACGATGATACTCTATGCGGCCATTCGACCATTAGTTTCAATTTGTAGCTATCTTAATGCAGCGGGTATATCAACGGAGCAAAGCCAAAGTGCAAGCAGCAGAATCCATCCTCCAAGAGTCCAAACATTAAGTCGCAAAATATCCCGAGTCAAACACAAAAGTCTATGTAGGAGAAAAGACAAAGCGACAATCTGTTACGAAAGCGAAACAGCGCCAGAGGAAAATAAACCATGGATACCAGCAAAGAACTTCCAAAATATCTTAGATCCGGCGCCATCCTCGCAAAGGCGTCCACTCCTCTGTCTTCGTCCTCTTAATCTTGCGATACCTTGTCACTTTCTCATCATCACTCTCCCTCGCCTCCTCCCTCTCGCCCCAAAACCCGCCATCACCCCAGAAGCTGTCCCTCCGCCCGACAACCTCCCGCGATCTCGACCGCGAGCGAGACCTCTCGCGCGTCTCCCAGCCTTCATCAATCCACTTCTCCTTGCGGCGGAACATGTCGCCGGGCCAAGCATGAACTTCGTGGTGTTGATGGTGCGAAGAATATGGTCGGGGGCGAGACAAGGTCGCTGCAACTTTGAGGCGGAAGTCGTGTTCTTCAGCGTTGGGGGCTTCATCACGGTGTCTGTGGGAGCGTACACGCTCGTAGGTCTTATCTTCATCGCGCTCTTTGCTTTTGTTCCTGTCGCTCCAGATGTTGTAGCGCTCGAGTTGGGATGGTTGGTCGCGAATGGTGAGGGCACGAGACGGCTTCACTGGCCGGTGGCTTGCGGAGTATGGGTAGTCGTCGTGGCCATCGTCTTCGTCATCCGTAAGAGTGATGAAGCGAGACCGCTTGGTGTCGCGACGGATGATGGAGCGTCGTGGTGGAGAAGGAGAGCGCTCTCGTGTGCGCATGTGGGAGAGGTGAAGGTAAGACATGGTGTCAGAAGCTCTCAAAGGCGTGTCAAGTTCCTTAAGAGTGTGATAATATTCCAAAGTGAATGCGACTTGTATTGATGAGATGGTGCTTCAGTGTTAGAAACTTACAGGACTTTATACTGGTAGCAATGAAAGAACGAGCAAACTGTGCAAGTCCTTCATAGGTCACATATATAATCAGTCACAAAATGTTTCACTTGCCTACAAACTCCCAGAAAATCAATGTCATCCACCATACCACCATTTGGCACTGCCGCGTGAGCACATCCCTGCCTTAGCACTGCCTCAGGTGGCTGGTGAATTTTTCGATGCTTTGATTGGCTGGTCGTTGCGTAAACCGCCCGATTAAGTCGCACGCCTGAAAAGCCTCTGAGGCTTAAAACACCCACCTCTTGTGCAGGTGACGTATTACGCTCGTGGTGTATGACTGGAAGGCCGTGCAAGCTGGTGTTCGCATGTTCGCCACTAAGCGCGGCGATGTTCAGGGCGCCGTCAGACGGGTACCTGACAGTCACCTGGTAGCCGGTAAGCTGTTGCCTATAGGAAGGCGAATCCGCGATGCAACACGAACACGCGTCCAATTTTGCTACAGAGCCGCATACAGAAATGATTAGTCAGGGCAGATACTACTCTGTAAAGTCACTCCAAGGCATGAAGCGAGAAGAGGTTGGTAACTGTAGAGTTCGCTCATATTGCGTAGGTATAATAGATACATGGGGCTCACTGAGCATATACAAGAAGGTAAAAACACCGTTCGCTGACTGAGAAGAGGAAAAAAAGGTCATCTCAGGCTCGTCTCCTTTTTATCGTGCCATATCAAAGATAATAGTGATACAGAATGGCGTGTTTACAAGCCAATGAAGTTGGCGATGTCGCGGGCATGGCGGCGGACAAACATGCCACACTTTGAGGGGTCAGCGCTGGCCTGCGCAGCTGGTACCTCAGCAGGCTTGGAGGGAACATCGCCGGTGGGGTAGTCGTCAGTGGGGTAGTCGTCAGTGGGGTAGTCGTCAGTGGGGTAGTCGTCAGTGGGGTAGTCGTCGTCGGAGGGAGGTGCAGGTGCAGGTGCGGGTGCAGAAGGAGCCGGTGCAGAAGGAGCCGGTGCAGAAGGCGCCGGTGCAGAAGGAGCAGGCGCTGAAGGAGCAGGTGCTGAAGCGGCTGGCTTGGAGGGAACCGGTGCAGACGAAGGAGAAGACTCGGTAGGAGGGGTAGTAGAAGTACCAGGAGTGAAGACAGCAGGACCAGGACCCTTAGCAGGGTAGTCCTTCTTGCCGGACCAGACGCTGAAGTTTACCTCAGGGTCGGTTGACTTGTAGATTCCAGGAATCAACACGCCCTTCGGGAGCGTACCAGATCCACCGGAAACAGTGACCTGAGCACATCCGTAGTAGAACTCAGCCTGGCGGTCATGGGCGCCGTGGAGGCCAATGTGCTCAGAGCGGATGAGGTAGTCACCGTCAGGGATTCCCTGCGGGATCTTGAAGGAGATGCGGTCCTTGGCCCAAGTGCACCAAGCATCTTTCTTGATGTCGCCAGCTGGGTTGCAGATAGTCTCCTGATGGATCTTGAACCACTCACCGGAGCCGTCGTAGGCACCAGCAGTGGTAGGGGCCTTTGACATGTAGACCTGGCCAGGGCCAGGGTGTTCCATCTTTGCCTTCACACCAAGGATCATGTCGAGGGAGTCTCCAGGCTTCACCTTAGCAGTGCCCTTCGCTCCCTTGTTGGTAGCTCCAACATTGCACCTGAAGTCGATACTGTCAGGGGTGGTATTATCGAAGGAGTTTATCCATTTGGTAGGCATGTAGCTTATCGGTCGGGTGTTTGACCGGACGAAATCAGATGAAGCCACGCCGTTAACAGCAAGCGATTCGAAGAAGTAATGGGCAGAAGCCATGGGCATCATGCCCGCAAGGAGAGCGACGGTGGTGGTAGAGTAGAGCATCTTGATGAGGGATTGTTGGAGTTGTGGAAAACGAAGGTGTTTCTAAGCAAGGTTGATTCGAGCGAATGACTGGAATGAATGTAAAAGAATGACAGACCAAGCTGTAGAAAGGTTGAAGCGAAAGTGAACTGATGCAGTGATGGTCTCTCCGTGGTCGCGATGCTCTTTCTACTTATACCTTTGGTACCAACCGCTACTTCGGCCATCCTCAGTGTTGCCAAACGGCCAAGACGCCACACAGCGTCTAGCTCTGCTGTTGCACTGTTTTGAAACAGGTCCTCGATTGTTTGATTCCCCATCGTATCCTTGGTGGTCTCGAATGAGATTGCGCGGGACGAAGCGAGGTCCACGCCTCAGACATCCTGGGCTGCTGATACCCAAGTACCGAGCGCCTGGTCGCATGGTGTCATTGACCCTACCATCATACGGGTGCCTCGACCTTGCCGCTTCGACTGATCCGGTAATGTTCCTGTGGTTGGTGGATTATGGTACTCTATAGGCGACAATGGGCTGTTATGCATCGCGGAATCAGATCTTGGCACCCGATTCTGGCAATCCCACCGTGTTCAAGGACCCGCTGAGATCTCGGCCTCCGTTGCATCCCATTGGGGGTTGTTTGACATGCTATGTGCCTATTCCACATGTGGGTAGGCCGTGTTGTTGCTAGCTGGTGCTGTTCTGGCGCGGGACAATTCTGGCGGGAAAACTGTCAAACACTAGTTCCCGAGGTCTGCCAACTCCACATCAATCCCATGCTCACTGCCAAGAGGCGTGTCTCGAGCGTCTCGCTGCCTCAGAACACGGAACGGAGGTCTTGGCTTATGAAGCTCAATGCTGTCGAGATGGGTACGATGGCTTTCGCCTCCTTCGCTACCTAGACAAAAGTCCCGCTCCCAACCAGGACTTATCTGTGGAGACCTCCAAGTTTCAGAACAGCAGGACCGCATCAATTGCTAGCCCGAGGAACGCTCAGAAGTCAGACTGACATGACAAGACATCATAGTTCCCATTAAGCATGGGCCTTCGGCAGATGCAGATGCGATGGAGAGATTCAGCGAGACAGACCTCAGAGTATAGTCCGTGACTGTTTTCGAAGGATCGAGAGCGAACATCAAGTTTGCCAAGCTCATCCCCTTCGTGTTGGTAGTAGCGCAGACGTGGATACGATAGAGCTACCCACAGCTGTGGAACCCAGTCCGGTCGTATGTGGTCTCAGTTAATGCACCGTTTGCATGGGAATGTGAATATCATCATGCAGCCGATCAGCTCATCCGATCGAGCAGCATTACGCGAAGAAGTATCAGATCCAGAAGTGGGACTTTTACATCAAAGAGATTCCACGGTCACGTCTGCCATCGAAAGTGCCAGCCTAACAGCCCATCAAGTCCTGTTCATTACCTGAACCTAAGCGCGCAGACATCAAGCACAACTTCCGGTATGCAGCGCTCCTGGATTTCAGCGGCATAAATGTTTCAGCGGCAGTAAACCGGCAAGTGGAGTCAGAGTCAAAAAAAGCCCCCAGCGCTATTTCGAAACATCATCACGCCAATAGGGCGCGACCATCTGCGTAACGGCGCACGTCGATGCTCGGAGAGCGGCAAGAAACATGATCATAGTTGCAAGTGCATCGAGAAAGATTTACAATACGAAGCAATGATTCCTACGGGGTATTCTTTTCCTTCACTGCCCAGGTGGAAAAGCGCCGCGATAGCTCCGCGTCCTATGCGACTCGGAAGGAGCGGCTGTTGGACTTTTTAGATTCTGTATAGAGCTGCTCCTGGGGTTCCTTGTGCATCGTATTCCGTAAGGCAATTAAGTACAGCAAGGGCGAAAAGCCTTCCCCGCGACCTCATCGGCATTGGAGGAAGCGAGCAGATGGAAGTGCATGCCGTTACAGTAGCAGCATAATCCCGGCCTGTCAACATCCATCTAGTTCGACCCATCTTTCCACTCTCGTCTCTACTCACAAAAAACGCGCCGAAGACGAACCTCTCGCACGCGTCTGATCAGCCCATCGACGCGCGGAGCAACTCAACAAGGGCCGGCATGACCGCTACACCGCACCGATGCACTTTCATTATCAGAATACATGGCCCCTGTATTGCAACGGCACTGCAAACTAGCAGCAGAATCAAGAGTTGCGTACCTCGTGATGGCATCATCCACCTCGCCTGATCGACTTGCCAAACACGTCGTGGAATACCATCCACCATTCCACCAAGGCATTTGCTCCCGCCACCCACCTCCGTCTACCAGTGTACTTTCGTCCAATTCACACACTCCCCAAGACGTACCCACAAATCCCACTCCGCCGCACTATGCACCTTCTCGTACGACAACACTCATCTGCAATCCCTCCCTTCCCCTCCCCTCCTCCCAACCACGCCCACCCATACATGGACCCCCATGTACTCTACCCTCCCCTCCCCTCCCTTTCCCCGCAAACCACATCACACTCTACCCATCAGCCAGGGACTACACACTAGATTTCATTTCCCACATCGCTTGCCCCCGCGGTCTTGGTAATCTATACCTGAAACGCTCTTCCAAGACTTTGCAAAAGCAGGAAAATCTCCGGTTGGTATTAGATTGAGGTTTACTTTTTTATGCGCTGCGCGAGCGGCGGACGAAACGTAGAGCTAGGTAACTGTTGTTGGCATGTTGGTATGTTGGTGGTGGCCCTCGAACGTCGTCGATGCGAGAGATTGATTTTTTTTCCTTTCGCATAGGTGCATCAAGCATTCGTCCCACGCAAAACAATCATGGACGATATTAATGTTTATTGGAAATTACGCGCCCGATGCTGACGGACTGGTCTGGGAGAAAGACTATCGATAAAGTACCGTGGCTGCTCCCAAGATGCCTCTCGCGAGCAATTCTTTCCTGCAAAGTCCTCATCTCCCGCCCCGTTCATTATCCAGCAGCAGTCCCATCAATGCGTTTCCTGCAGCTCAGTTTAGATAGTGGAGCTCCGACCTCGAAAAAGAGAAAAAGAGAAAGTGTTTGCCCAACGAACGCCAGCGCAAAAGAACGGACCACTGATCTGCCTCGACGGTCAACCAAGGAAGTTCTGCGTTTGTTGTTGCTGTCCCGGCCGTGGGAAGATGTTTGTGGTTGGGACTTGGTTCAGATCCATCCCTCCAATAGTTCCTTGTCCAGTGCTTTGCCACCCTTGGCCCGTTTGCTGGTTTACAAACGCGCTCTGCCGGAAGGGGTTTGTGCTTCCAGTCGCGTTGACAGTCAAACCACCTTGTGACGATGTAGCGCTCTGAGGCGAAGGCTGCCTTGCGAAAGGGTTTGTACCTGTGGCCATGGGCTGCATGGGCTGCATAGGCTGTAATTGCGAAGGCTGTTGCATTGGCGCAAAAGGTGATGGTTGAGCATTAGGCTGAGCGAAAGGTGAAGAGTTGACGGGCGATTGTGATGGTGCAAACCCAGTGTTGGGCTTCGCGAATGGGTTAGTTGATTGCCTGTTCAATGAACTGGCACCAGTCGAGCTGTTCAAAAGATTGGTTTCGGCAGCGCCAGTTAGACTGGGTAGCATAGACTGGCGGAAGGGGTTCGTGGAAGTTTGTTGGGGCTGTAGTGGCTCAGCGATTGTGGGTATTTGCATGTGCTGCTGCACTTGTTGCTGTGAAAAGTCGGGCATGCCGCTCTGAGGTATCGGAGCCAGCGTATTTTGCGGACTGAAGGGCTGCGGTGTATATCCGCCAAAGCCAGCTCCAGTAAATTGTGTTTGGATGGGTTGTGGCGGCATCTGCATTTGTGGCGCTTGCGGTTGTTGCTGCATTTGGAAAGGGTTCGTCCCTTGGCCACCTGTAGGGCTGAAAGGTTGCTGCTGTTGTTGGAAGCCCATGTTAGCAGTCTGCTGGGGCACTTGGAAGCCCTGTTGTTGAAGACCAGTTTGTTGCGGATACTGCTGTTGCATCATGGGCTGAGTAGCCATGGTTTGCTGGTTGTCTTCGATGGACGCAAATAGATCAATCAAGGGCGCATTTGCATTTGGCGGCGGTTGCGCTGGTGCTGGCTGGCTTGCAGGCGTGGTCTGCGCCACAGGTTTCGATTCTTGTGGTCTGCTTCCTCCGTTTGTCGCCTTTCCGCCGTTCTTCTTCGCCTCCTTCTCCGCAAGGTACTGCCGGCGGTTGATCTCAAAGTCCTTGTCGTTCAAGTATTCTTCCAACGATGCCGCCAGACTAGTGGGTGCGTGCTTGATTTTCGGTATTTCCAACCTTGTCGAATGCTCATGCGATCGGGCCAAACTGAGGTATTGCACCACAGCGTCTGTCTGTTTTACGAATATCCGGTAGATTTGGAGGGCGCGAGTCGCATCGGGCTTCGAAAGTTCGAAGTAGCGCTCTAAGCACAGGATCAGTACCGGGGCGCTTGCAAGCGGGGGGCCTACTCACCCAGAATATTGATGGTGCCCTCGTTTGACACATGGAACAGCACCAGCAGATCCATGGTAAGCAGTCGGAAAGCCGTCAGGGTAATTTCGTTCTCGGGCTCATCATCGAAAGGCTGCATCACTCGGCGTCAGCGCTTGAAGTCTGCTTCATGCATGTCGGCTGTACCTGGCACCTGAGCAGATATCGGATCTGATCCTGGACGCTCTCTGCCTCGCGCAGGAGGCCTTTGTCGATGGTCAAGCGCTTGAGCCGCCCTTCTCCACCACGCACATAGTCCACCTTGGTCGTGCCATACTCGATTGCGCGCCTAAGCAGATAGTCCGAGTAGGTCTGGATGTTGTGGCCTTGGGTCTGGACTGTCGCACCGCATCAGCAGCCGACTCGGTGAATGAGGTGCATCATGACATACCCTGCGTGAAGGAATTGATTGCCAGTTTTCGCTGGGGGCTCTGCGACAGGTAGCGGAGCGTGACCTCGGGCTCGCCCTCCCGTATCATAAGATGCACAATGATCAAGCTCTTGAAGACAATGGTCCACGTCGAGTCGCGCAGGCGGTTGGTGAGGGCGCGAAATATCTCCGCGACGCCGGCTTCTCCCGCGTGCGTGGCGACCAAGATATGCTCGACGTATTTGGACTTTGGGGCGGCAAGCTACACGTGCGTGTCAGTCGGCCTGTCATGGACCCTTCCCAGAGTGTGCTGTGTAGCGTTGCGACGGGATCTGGAGAGGACAGCGCATGCCTACCTTGATCTTGGTGCCGCCTTTGACGCTCTTTTCGAATGAGCTCGCCATGTCTCCTTAAGGCTCTTTCTCGGGCAGTGCGCTGCGGAGGGGCGCTGCGGTTGGGTGTGGATGCCCCGGGGTGGTTGTTTCTGTGTAGCTGTTGCTGGAGCTTCGCGGCTTCTATCGCGGCATGGCGGTGAATAGCAATGAATAGGAGAGAGAGACGCTGTTCTGTTATCAATAGAGGTGAAGCTGTCGCGCAGAGGGCGGCAGGCCGGCACGTCGTCAATTAGCTGTAGATCCGGGCCGGAGAGGGTAATGAGGCGCAGAGTGGCAGTTGCGTATGATGATGATGCCCAGCGCGCCCACGCCAAACACCCCCTCCACGGCCCGAACATTCAAGGTGCAGGCTGCCAAACGAAACACCAAACATAAGCACATAAGCCCCCACCACCAACACCCGCCGTCTCCAACAAATCACGTGAACTAGACACGCACGCCATGGCAGGCTCACCTCCGCCCGAAGACAAGAAGAAGGCCGACGCCGAGGCACTCGCAAAGGAAAAGGCCGAGCAGGCGGCGCTGGCCGCTACAAATGGGACCAATGACCATCAGAGGATCCTCGACATCGACATCACCATTGGCATCGACGCCAAGTACAAGGGCAAGGACGCTCGACGTCAAGATTGGCAGGAACACGCTCAAGGTCGGCATCAAGGGCCAGGAGCCCTTCATTGATGTATGCGCCGCCATGCATGTGCAGCCGTGAACCTGACTGACGAGCTCACCTCACAGGGCGAACTCCCCCATGCCATCCGCGTCGACGACTCTACATGGACCCTCTCCCCCACCAACACGGGCAAAGACATTGAAATCCACCTGGACAAGCAGAACCAGCTGGAGTGGTGGGCGCATGTCATCACCTCGGCGCCCAAGATCGACACCAGCAAGATCCAGCCCGAGAACAGCAAGCTGGGAGATCTGGACGGCGAGACGCGGGGCATGGTCGAGAAGATGATGTTCGACCAGCGCCAGAAGGAGGCAGGCAAGCCCACCAGCGACGAGCAGAAGAAGCTGGACCTCTTGGAGAAGTTCAAGGCGCAGCATCCCGAGATGGACTTTTCCAATGTGAAGATGGAGTGAGCACAGGCGTGCACAGTGCGGTATATAACAAGATCAATGGAAAAGCGCATGTCGTGTCGCAGTGGGAAGCATAGACGAGCACGTGGACCGCCGTCTCCCAGCGCACTAGTGTCGCGCACCTGCCTCTGCCCACCGAGGATAAACACTGAGCGGCTGCCAGCTTGAACGAGGCAAGAGAGGCAGGAGAGACAGGAGAGGCCTGACGTAGGAAGATTCTCGAGCATCAGCCACTGTACTTTTGCTACTCCAATCCATCACTTCGTCCCTTCACCTTCGCTTCTGATGCGCCACATTCTTCCACGACAGCACTATCATTAATACCATCATGTCCACTCACGCTCATGCTCGGATCCGCCACACCGGGCCCGTCCGACCCCTCAATCGGCGAGAGAGGATCCAGGAGACATCAACAAACGGAAGACTGCTGCTCAAGTGGGGAAGAAATGAGAAGCTCAATGAAGTCGTCGTATGGGCAAGCCAAGTTGCCAATTCTTCTCCTTCAAGCGACACACCCTCTCTCCAAATGTTACCGGACCGTCAATCAAAGCAGCTTGGCACAGGCTTGGATGCATCTGATAGGGGTCTTCTCCCCAAGAGCGATGAGTACACCGTTAAGGAACAGTCACACACGCCTTCCACCCAACCAGATGTCTGTATAGATTTTGTCACGCAAACAGCACCTAGCGATATCGACAGCCACGGTCCGCTCGGCGGTGCGCATGCTATAAGCGTTTTGTACTACTGGCACCGTATCGCCCCCTATACGCCCGAAGCACGGTCACTGGCCCTCCGTTTACGCTTGCTATTCCCCGTAACCCAACGCAGTTCTCATCTTGTGAGCTTGGGCATAAAGTGTGTCCGCGCCCTTTCTCCCGTTGCATGCATGTACTAAACCTCCCCTCTCAGGTACCCTGTCTTCCGCCTCATCGCCACTGGCCAAGACACACCCGAAAACCTCGCCACACTCCTCGGACCGGACTAGAAAGCCGCCATCGCAGAAGACTACACGGTGTGGAGGCTCGAAGCTCTTGTGAGCCCGTCACCACGAGTGCATGATCACCCAGCTTTCGGAGAGCGCAAGCAGCTGGACCAGTATCTGCCATATTGGAGACCGAGAGAAGGCACTGATATGGAGAAATACTATGCATTGCGGTACCGAGCGTTGGCGCCGGTGGCATGGAGGAACCATACAGCTATGAGGGTCATGTGGGGGAAGAAACCGTAGCGGCAGCGTTTGCTTGCTATAATCAGGGTTGCGGAGTAGGTACTTCACGTGACAATCTCGGAAGCATGATCTCTGTTGAAACTCTCATGTCGTGTTCGATATTGGGTGCCTTCCTTGCAAGCCTCCAGCCAAACGCACCTTCCGCATTCCCTCACCCCTTCTCAACTCTTTGCACACTCATCGCACCTACTCCGATGGACTCATGCCAAGCGAACAGATCCTCTTCCCACCTGCAAACAAGCTTCACTCACCATACATCAAGATCATTCATCACAACAACGATTCTTTACCGCATAGTATTGACTATCGCTATCATCTACCGCCACTGCTAGCATCATGGCACGCCAAAACAAAAACAACAAGAAGAAAAATCTGTCCGCCACCGTAGCATCGAGCGCACGCGAAAGTAACGTCGGAACAGAGCGAATCACACACGCACACGAGACCGAGTCCAAACAGGATGGATCGAATGGCAAAGGGCAGAACTCGACATTACGCAGATTGTCCGCGAGGGTGCATCGGAGGAAGAGATGGCTAGAACGGTATTTGAACCAGGGGAGATGATAGTCGCGGAAGCCAAGCACGCTGCTGGGCTCGGTGCGGCGATTGGGAAGAGGACGCTCACTGAGAAGAAGGGGAAACAGCGGGCAAATGTTACTGAGCAGACAGACGAACCCACTGTACCGACGGAAAGGAGTGAGGAGCCTCAGGCGGAGTCACTGCCGGAACAACGCAGTATATTGACTGGTTGTCCTCCAACCTCGAATGCCGGACCATCGATCGAACCCATAGCGTATCGAGTACCGCCTGTGAGAAGACCGCCCCCGAATATACGAGTGCGCTGCAAGTGGCCAGAGCAGGCCTGCAAGCCCCATTCCATCGCAGAAGTCCAGAAGATGATAAACAGGATCTATACCTACTCATCACAAATGAAGGGAGTGCAAAGCTGGGGCGCTCTCGAACCCGACAAGTGGCTACCAATGCTGCAGAGCATATGCACAGGCGCAGAGGAATATGCCGAAAACGAGACCGCAACTATGGAAGCTGACTTGAAGTTTTATCGGTCTCTGTTCCCGGCCGAACAGGCCGCCGCGTTGCGCTGGCCGATGAGGAAGAAAGGCCACCACCATCGACACCAGCTCCGAAATATACTAGTGAAGTAGGAGTTCTAGGCCGAGAACAACGAGCTCTTCAACACTGCTGATGAAGTTCGACGCATGAATCCGCAGATGGTGCCTTGTGCGTTCATTCTGCCCATATCAACCCTGAGTATGCACTGATTTTGCACGATGCTCGACAGACTTCGAAGGCGTCACCAAACAAAAAGGATCCGAAGTTAATACCCTTCGTTTCCTTATGGACAAGATGGCCAGCTGGTGTCGTGAGGTCACAGAAAACATGCCCGAGTTGTAGAACGACCGGCACCATTGCGGCGTCATTGTGGCGACGATAAATGATTCCATGAACGACGTATACCAGGCGATGGAGCGGAGCATGTTAAAGCTCGCGAAAACCTTTGGTTAGTTCAGCTACGCACGCTGTGCCGTTTCACTCGGAGTTAATCGAAGCAGAAAAAGCTGCGCATGAAGCCGCCAAATCGATGCCCGTACGTTCCACCCACGTGCCTGAAGTGCTAGCGAATACTACGCCTTCCTTTTCGATGCTATCCGTAATCCAGAAATTAGATACGGCGGGGTGTACATACACATCCTCCGAGTTCAATCATGCGTTTCTCAAGGTTCGCAGAAAGCTACGCGACGCGCCGGGATCAGCGCTGACGCCGCACCAAAAGATAGGCATCGTTAAATCAGATCACCATGCGATGCAGGAGACGGCGAAAGAGCTGAAGAATAGGCCGGGGTTGACAGAGGCAAACCCGGCAGCTGGACAGCAAGCATCTGTGAAGAAAGCTGCAGACGCTGTGGCCAAGGGGGGCTGAAAAGATCGCTGGAACAGATCAAGGAACTGAGGGAGTTGACGGATAAGTTAGCTTTATTAATCCGCTTTATGGATTTAAAATACATTTGATAGCACTACCAAGACTCTGTTACTTCACAACCCCAACCTCCGCCCTATCCGAACTCGATTCCGACCTCAACGACGCTCTCGCACTCGCCCTATCACCATCACCATCAAACCTTCTTCTCGCCCCATCTTCAACCGGCGTCGATAGCACACTCCCCTCTGCAACCGGCGCCTCAACCACAAACACGCCTTCCCCCTCCCCTCCATCCTCACCACCCAGCGATATCTGGCTGCCCCGCCGCCTGTGCTGCAGACTCGGCTGTCTCTGCCTCCTCTTGGGCAACGGCGGAGGCGCCACCACTGAATTCGATGAGCTTAAGCTAGCAGCCTCCGACTTGCGACGCGGGACTTGCCTCGAGTCGTCCGACGTGCTGCGCGCCATGTCTGTACCCTCAGGGAAATACGCAGCCTGAGGCGTAGCGTTGGCGGAGTGCAAGTGTTCTTTGCTGCGCTTTTCGTTGAGGCCTGTGTTGCTGACGGGTCTGCGCTTGGCGATGTTGGCAAAGGTCGAGGCAGCGGCGGGGATGGCCCATGTTTGGCGCTTTTCGGGGCGTGGGAGAGGTGTGCCCGGTGGTGGAAGGGGTTGACCTCGGCCCATGGGTTCGGTGTGGGATTTGGAGAATGCAGTGTGGAGTTCTGGGCGGGAAGGGGGTGTGTCTGGTGTAGGTTCGATGTCGATTTTGGGGCCTTCAGCAGTCATGGGCCGGACGTCTGTACTGGTGTTTCTTTGGTGGTTGGAATTGATGGCTCTGCGAGCTGTTTGGGCGTTTTGTTTTGATGTTAGCCAGTTTCTTGCGGCTGCCGTTGCGGTGTTGAGAGACTGATTGAATGTCGTCTTCTTTGCCGACGCGTGTGCACTGGTCGCGGCCGCGGCAGCTGCTGCAGCGGATGCGATATCTTCTGCGGTCAGCTCTCTCGATTTTGCCCGTGCGTGGAGATTGTCCATGGCTGCAGTTGCGCGTGAAGGAGAATCAGAAGCTTCCGCAGACAACGAAGGTAGCGAAGCATCTTCTTCAGATGTGCTTGCGAAAGCTGCTATTGAATTAGCCCTATCGGATTGAAAAGGCGACTTCATCGGCGAGTTGAGTGGAAGTGACCTGACGCTCGTCGGTGTTAAGCTCTCACGTTCGAGAAGTATTTCAGCGGATGCATTTGCCGAATCCAAATGCACTTGTGCAGCTGATGAGCTTGATCGCATTGGCCGTGGTCTGGCAGATGATGTTCGGAATTCGGCAGATGACGATGTGCCTGTCGTAGAGCTTTCTGAGTGGATGCTTGATGGTATTGATAAATGTGAAGCAGCGTCTGCCTTCTCGTCAAGCCTCTCGGCATCTATAGTCGCGTTTTCCAGAGCGATGTCGTCTTGATGTGCCTTCTGCGTATCCTGTTCTTTTTCTTTCATATCATCCTCCCAAATGCCTCCTCTTATGACTTGCGCGAGGGTGTCAGTAAACGGCATGTCGTCCCAATTGGGTAGAACTAGGGTTTCATTGACGACTTCTCGAATACGACTTTCGATCGCGCGGAGTATGACGCCGTACGTGATCTGCCGTGAGCTCACAATCGGCTCGGCTGACACTTCCATTCGCGGTGGGGTTTCAAACGTTATCCAGAGTCTGTTGCTAGGCGGAGGTTTGATTCTGATGAGCAAATGCCCCTCGAGCCGCTTGAGGATAGTGGCCAGTACGAGAGTAACCTCCCGCGCCTTGAAGCGAGCACCAAGATCTATTCGTGCAATGGCTGCAATTTCGATGCGAAAGTTGCCCTTGTAACTAATGTCTGCCTCCACAACAAGTTCGCCGTCGACTGTGAGCTCTTTCAGTTTCGGATTCGTGAGGAAGGGTGGCAGAGTGCCCATGTCGATAGATCGCAAGGTGACGCTACTGATGAGCGCTGGCTTAGGCACACGGGCGATCTTCTTCGTGATTTTGTTAGCAATAAAGTCTTTGACCTGCGAGGTCTTATAAAGCCCAAGAAATACTCTGCCTATCAAGGCATTGATCCATCGAGTGTGCAGGTTCTCTTCCGAAGCATGTAACTGCTGGACCAGTTTTACGAGGTCCGGAGTATCGAACTTGAGGGGAGTCGGGTGGGTACCACGATCTGTGTGGTCAGGGTGGTGATCCTGGGCTTGCAGCATAGCGTGATAGAAGTCTTCCTTCTCCGAGCAGTTGTCGGAGAAGAGGTAGAAGGACTTGGTCTCATCGGCAATGTCGCCCTCATGGTCTTGAACCAGTCGAATGCCTGTAAATGTAAGTATTACAGCTTCAGTTGAATGCGCAACACAGTGTGAGCGTACAGTTTCGCTTGATCCACAGTTCTCCCTCAGGTATCTTTTCTCCCCCAGCGTATACATCGGTACGGTAGTGGGCGAGGGAAATGACGTGGCGGACTTCGATCTGGTCTTCGTTGTCGTAGAGCATGAGGTGGCCAAGTCTATTTTGTGTCAGAGTCTCTCTGGCTGCAGTGGAAGGGTTGGACAATACCGTAGCACTACATAGAAGACGTTTCGTGCTTTCTTGTTCCTGGCATTCGCTGCAGCATCAATAGAAGGGCTTGCAGCTTTGTTTCTGTCGAATATGCTCCTGTACATGGACTGATAAACACTGGGACTCTCCATTGATACAACTGCACCAGCGGGTGTGGTGCGGTCCGGGGGTTTGCCATTGACGCCGCCCGGAACATATTCGCGGCACACAGCAAAATAGCCAGCAAAGGTATCCGGCTCATCTGTCCGCCTCTTCAGCTTCTTCAGGATCTCCTCGTCCAGTCCCACTCCCAAACTGTTGTCGTTGCCATGCCTGCTGTGAGTCGAGCCATTGGACTGCCTCCGGTGGCCCGAAATGTCTCCAGTCTGTGGTTGCTCGAGGCCTTCATGCTTGACTTCTGCAGTGAACCAGAACCACGCCAGCGCGGCGACGGCCGGTAAGAGCGTCAGACCTCCTAGAAGATAGCCCCAAACAAATATCTTCAATAGAGTGCCATATCCCCAGTCCCCACTCATCTTGCCCTTATTGTATCGCTGTACTGATCATCCTTCACTCGCCCAATACTGTCCGTCCTCTATCTTATGCAACCGTGGGAGCGCGATCGTCGGCTAAGCGAATGTCGGGGAAGCGTGATGGTGACAAGTGAGACACAGCATCAACCGTGGCACCGCGTACACTTGGTCGAGCGACAAATGTCGTTATGGTCTCGGTGGGTAACTATGGAAAGTCTAGTGCTGAGCTCAGCTAGTGTTCGGCTTCTTGTTATTCCGAGAAGTGAATGAATGGCTGACTGTGTCGCGGTCATTCGACGCGTTGTAAGAGCAGGGCGGGGACGGAGATAACACGTGGGTAGCGGCGTGATCGACAAAACGGCCCGAGCTATGACGGCATCTTCGAGATCAGATTCACCAACACTCAACGACTGTCACACCAGCGACTTGTGACGCGTTCTAGACATGTTTGCGACTCACAGATCATGGCCAATTTGCATTTGTCCCGCGGCCGATTTGAGTTCAATGTTTCGTCATCTACATGTTTCGCGCCACGCGCAAGCAACTACAAGGAGTGTGTCACAGCCCAGCCCATTCATGACTTGCCAACTTCGTATTACTTCAGCCTCCCTTCCGCACCATTGAGTCCAACCTAATAGCCGTCGCCGTATCCTTCCTTGGTCGTGCAAGGCTTAGTCTCGCATGCCGTCTTTGTTTCGAAGTATAAAGATGTGATTGGCACCTTCGAGGTTTCCGTGTAAACGGCAGTGCTGGCTGTGCTAGTCACATGCGTTTTCTCGTAGTTCTTGACGGTCGTCGAATACTTGGTGTCGACAGAGCTGGAATCGGTGAGCAGAATCCACTGGGCCTCGAATGTGGACTTACGTGTACGGCACGGTCTTGAGCTCTGTCTTTGTCTTCACATCGCTCTGAACCTTGGTAGTGTAGATAGTGGTGGTGATGACGGAAACGGTCGAATAAGTCTTCGTTTCAACCTTGGTCTCATAGTCTGTGTAGGTCTGACATGCTGTCAGCTGATGCACGAACTGTACTGCAGTAATTCTCACCTTTGTGGAGTATCCCGTGCTTGTATACTCAACTGCAGTTGCAAAGGTCTCGGGGTACTCGGCAACGGTGGTGACAGGAATGGCGACAGTCTTCGTGGTTGTATAAGTAGTGGGCTTCTCGTAGACACTTGTCTTCGTTACAATCTCTGCGATACTGTCAATTGTGCACATAGCTTCCAGAGATGTTTGCCCTACCAGAAGAACAGGAAGTCACCTCAGCTGGATAGGTGTACGAAGGGGTTTCCTCAGAATGGTGAGTGTAGGATGGAGTCTCCTCAGAATGGTGAGTGTAGGATGGAGTCTCCTCGGAGTAGTGGTTGTAGGACGGTGTTTCCTCGGAATAATGAGTGTACGACGGGGTTTCCTCAGAATAATGGGTATATGACGGTTCCTCCTCAGAGTATTGGGTGTATGATGGTGTCTCCTTCTCAGAGCTCCTGTGGCCGGACCAATCACCTCCCGGTAGAGCTGCAGCAAAGGAGGCGAGAGCCGCGAGAGACACAAAAGCGTTGGTAAGAAGCATCTTGAGTGATTTTGTTGATAGCGAAAGACTGGATGTTGGGATAGCCAAATGTCAACGATTGTACTGGTGTGAATACTCAAGCTACCGATGTCGATAATCTTGTCAAGAGGACGGGATGGCTGTTGATTTTATAGCACACCACTTCCACCTCAAAGTGTGATGACATACTGGTGCCTCACGCTGGAAAGCTGACGCGGCATACAATGGATTGCTATCTGGCGCAGTCGATCTCCACTTCATCTCCAGGTACCCGGATATGTGGTCACTAGATCGTCTGCGAAGATACACTACTGAGCCAAGTAGGCAGTGCATGCAGATGGAGGTTCCTGAACATTATCCTAACATGACTTTGCATTTGAAGGTCGATAGTCATGACCTCAGAGGACTTCTTACAGAGGTGACGTAAAGCAACCATGCCATCGATCAAAGCCAGAAGAATGAGCCAGAAGTTGTCGCCATGCATAGTAACTGATAATTTCCCTCAGAGAGCAACATAGTCCCGTGGAACGATCGGCGGACTGATGTATCACATGTTAGTGCTCTAATTGTATCCATATCGTGAGCCGCACTAATTGACCGGAGAACCAGCATAACCATATTGCGAACGACTCTCTATGCACTGGAAATCTGTAGAAAAGGATAGTAGGAGTCGTGTCATCATGACTTTGCAGTCCACTCTTTGCGGAGCGGACTTGAGCATATGCACGTTGTAGTGTACCAGAACTTGTTGTGCACAATGATATCTGCAACAAACACAGTAGGCTGACTGAGTACATGCCTGCGAAACAAGCGTAGTTCTTCAGAGAGATTTGGGAAGACTGTTATTAGTTTTGATGATGATCACATCGAAAAATTGATGCTGATGGAGTGAAGTGGCAGATGGTTGCGATGAAAACAAAGGCCTGGCAACCAAATGGGTGCGGCCCGAAGTTCAGCCGTCGGGGAAGCTCTCATCCCAACTTTTTCGGTGCTCCACATGCGCGCGCAATCTACACGCCATTGCTGCATACCCTCAGCGAGATCGGCTTCATACATAACGTCACGAGAACTTTGGCGTCTGAAAATCGTCTGCGCAACAAGTTTGAGACACGGACTTAACCTCTCTACCAATTCACACCCGCTCGGGAGTCCGCATCTACCCACAGCATGGCAGTCTGATGGTGCAAACGTGCATCAGTTGACCCAAATCCCTCCAGTTTACTTCACATGAGCTCATGGAAAGCCTGCAAATCTTCCCAGCCTCTGTATAATGTCTCGCCCAGCGGCAACACCCGTCGATGCTCCACAACCACCGCGACCCGAAACGATTTACGAGCGCACACCCATCACGTCGGAACGATCGCTACGTCAGCTTTCCGTATTCTTGTTCGGGGGAGCTTGTCTACTAGCAACGACTGCGTTAACGCGCAAAGCTGTCTGGAGGAGACAACTCCGCGTGATGCCCAAATATTTCGAACCGAATACAAACCCCCACGAATTTTTCAGTCCGTTCTCGGACGCTATACAGGCTCTGAATCTCGCCACGATGAACTGCACCAGCGTCGGAATCATGGCCGTAGGTGGCGCCATGTGGACGTTCGACATTGCCAACTTGAAAGAGGCACAGGCGAGTCTACGGAGACGGCTGAACTACGACAGCATATACAAATCCGAAGACGATATACCAAGGACCCTCTCCGAGCTCATAGCAGCGTCTGGGCAAATGCACATAGAATACGACAAAAAGGATGGGAGTGACGACAAGTCCCAATAACGATACCTGACATGTATGATAATGGCTGTAAGAGTAGTGTACAAAAGACATAGCCGATGCATGAGAGGCAAATGATACCCAATTCAACAGCAGTCGCGTTCCTATCCCGTCCACTCAGACATTTGTGTCGGCAAAGACTTCGATGCGGCCTAGCAAGCCCGCAACTGCACTACGCACTACGCACTGCCCCCATCCACCCTCTCACCCACCTTGCCATCCCGATTCGCTCTCCAAACACCCTCACCACCCTCAAACCTCTCCAACTTCCAAATCTCTGCCTTATCCTTCGTTTCCTCGAGCGCCTCTTCGCCCGCCAACCACGCCGCCTTGCGGTGTGGCGCACTCACTGCAATAACAATGCTCTCCTCGCCAATGGGACACTCGCCGAGTTTGTGAATGATTGCGATCTTGGTACAAGCATGCTTTGTCAAAATATCTGGCTGGGTTAAGTCACGGCTACGAGGTGGTAGTCGGGCACTTACTACTGGCAATCTTGTACAGAGTGGATATGGCGAGGGGCGCGTAGGATGTGTAGGATAGCGAGGAGACGGCTTTGTCGTTGAATGAGTCGCGCGTGGTGCCGATGAAGAGGACGGTGGCGCCGGCGGAGGGAGAGCGGACGAAGCGTGTTGCGGCTAGTGAGTCGAGGTCGTTGGGCGTGAGCTCGATGTGGATGGTGTCTGTTGTTTTTGTGACTGGTTCGGAGGGGATGTCCGGAGTGTAGGATGATGTTTCGGAGGTCGACATTTTGTTTAGAATTCTAAGATTGGACGCAATAAAGTGTGCTGTGGCTTTGCCTTTTCTGATTGGGCGGAGAGGGGGTTTCTTTTGACTTGTTAGAACGGATACCTTGATCGATGTAATTGAGTGTAATGAAAAAAGATAGAGGAAGCGGATCATAACGAAAAAGAGAATTCATCAGGAAGATGCAAAACAAGATGACGCAACGCAAGTAGCGTATTACATCCAACATGGAGAGGCTGAATCAACCTCGTTCATTGTGCTGGCACTGCACGAAAAGCTGCACATACAATGCAGAAGAGTTGAACATTTTCTTTACGTACGAATTGATAAATACCTGACAGACTGGTGTAAACCGGCAGGATTTAGACGCGCCTCGAAGGGAACCTTGCTTTGGTCATGTTCAGCATGCCCCGCACTTGTACCTGGATAGACTCGCTAAGCTAGGTATACAACCTTGCCCTTGCAATTTGCAACCAGCGTAGCAAGTCTTATCACTCGATTCTACTAGATTGATAAGGCTTATTTGATGTCTTGCAAACGACCAATGTCCGCAAATTCGAATATATGGTGAATATGTCAGCCCTTGATTGAACCTTTGCTATTCATCAAATTTGAGGTCAGCTCGTTAAATCTAACTTAAGGCAAAAAGAAAGCCATGTTCACCGAGATATTCACTTGATTATGTATTGGAAAGTTACGCATGGATTGTGTGTCAATATCTACATTGATTGATTGATTAAACATTGTATATACAAGAAGCCGTGGGTCTAATGCTCAAAAACATCTAGTTCTGGCCTTCGAAGGGGCCGGAAGGAGTGAGGACGACAGTGTAGACATCAGGGATCTGAGCGCAGATGAAGTCGTCGGGGCCGTTACCGCCAGCGTGGCAGTAGTTGGCAGGAAGAGGAGCCTCCTGCCAGAGGCCAGAGGCCTGGCCAGTCTGGTGGTAGATAGCGAGGTCTGCGTCGGCAGTGGCGTCCTTGGGCTTGATGGCGACCACGCGGTAGTTGGACTTGCCGTCGTCGCAAGTGACCATCTCGCTGGGGAAGGTGGTGAACTTGGGGATAGAGCACTGGATTGGCTCCTGAGCCTCATCGCCGGTGAGCTTGAAGCTGATGGACTCGACGGCGCCGTTGTTCTTGCGCAGAGAGAAACCGGTGATGTTGATGTTCTCGTAGACGGTAGGGCTGGTCTCGCCGCAGTGAGCTGGGTTGGGGCAGTCGGCGGTCTGGGGAGTAGGAGCGGCAAGCGCAACAGCGAAGAGGGTGGCGGCGGTGATGAACTGCATGATGGATATAGAGGAGTTGAAGTTTGTGGTATTGGTGATGTTGTTGGAGTGAAGTGTTTGTGTGTGATGAGATGATGTTTGAATGGAGGGCCTGAAGATACTCTTATATATCCATCTCAGAGCACCTGCTGTCCCCTTAGCGACGTCACTCGGCGAAGATGCATAGCCAAATTTACGAGAAGTGGATGGAAACCTCGTGTTGCTACCCTGTCAGTGCAACGGTGGGGTGGTCTTCTTCGGGCTGCTTTCCGCGACCCTGGGCCGACGACTAGCGCCATGAGTGAGGTAATTTGGTGGCGATCGCTAATCTGCAGGAGAGTTTTTATCGTAGATGACAATAATGCTTAGGATACCGTGCAACACATTTGCAGTGCTCTGTTATTGTCTGATGTGTTATCGGCACGAATAATTTCTGCTCTACATCTCGAAATCTTTTTCTTCAGGGTCTCATTAAAATGCAAGAATAATTTGTCGGTCTGCTGTCGATATTACGATTCATGCAATCTGCTAGCACGGAATCCAAATTTAGCAATGCAAGGCTGTGCCAGCCTTACCCATTGGCTCCAGGAGTAGGTTCCGCTTTGCTCCATGGAGCCGCACGCCACTTCCGCATAACAGCGAAGGCTTGAACATGGAAAAGTCGTTGACGAATCGAGCCATTCGGTTAGTTTGTGGGGTGAAAGCTCCGAGTGCGCAATATTGGATCGTGTTCAACAGGGAAAGAGCTGCAGTGAAGCCTGCATCGCGCACATTTAGCCGACTTGGATCTGCGTTATCTCGTGAGCAGAAACACCATCCAGTCGTTTTGGGCGTGAACACGAGTTGTTGGCAAGTCGGTCAAAGTAACATCGTGCCATGACATGGTCAAAGTGCTCGATATTCTGGAAAGCGGAAGCGCGGCTCTTCCTCGGCATGATGTAAATGGCTTCGCGCTTTCCCATCCGGTGCAGTCCGCCCGAAGGCACTTTCACGCCGAGGTCTCGTACCGTGCCGAACAGCCACACACCGCATCGCATGTACGGTTTGGATACGAGCGACAACACAATGTGACGCATGATGGCAATACCCGTGCTTCTGGGGGGAACTTCGGCACTCGAAGCCTCGTTCTCTGACAAACTCTGTGATCTAAGAACAACCCTGCTGCTACGCCTTTGCAACTCCGACGGAGCAATATTTTGCCTTCTGTCCATTCGGCTCGGTAGATCTATAGGGTTTCGCAAAGACGACCATGCTCAGATTTATGTTTGGTGGTGGTTTGAAAGTAGAGCACTCGAAAGATACTGAGATGCACCCATGAATTGCTTTTTTGGATGTGCTAACGTACGGCGCATGTTGTCCTAGTCAACGAGTCTCTATGCCCGATATGTGACGGAGTACCTTCAAGTAGGCCTGGTTCGCTTCCAGACATGCAGTAGTTCATTGCCTGATGCTTCACAACACGACATACACCACACTAGCGAGAATAATAGAACATCGTTATAGCACAAACCCTGGTCTGGGTAGGCTCGCGAGTCGCGACCTGCATGTTTTCGAATATGGACAGATATCTGCTTCTCCCTTCAAGGAACATCTGCTCATGTGATACAGATACATATTTGCCGACTAAACTCTCTTGCATGCAACGGCGCCCCGAGCTCTTCCAATTTCGTTGCCTAGGCATATCTTAAGAAGCTCCATATGGAACGTTTTGGAAACTTCTGTTTTTTTAACTTCAAGGAGTCCCAGCGCACAGAAGAACACCATTTCAGGACAATCACGAAAGTGCGCGTTTGTACAACTTACTCTTTTCATCTCTATGCATCTTCGTACTATTCGCAATTGCTCAAGATTTGTCGTCGCAGACCTCTGGTACACATTCATCTACCTCCAGCGCCCCATGGACTCTATCATCCACATCTTATTAAGATGTAGCGTTGAGTTCACTCCACACAATAGTGTCCTCGGTATTTGCCAATCTCCAGAGTGCGAGGAGAGGATTCTTCTACTGCGATGAATCTACGACATACACAACCGTAAAACAACCCATCACACGGGATACATGTGTAAATATCGGCGAACAGCGCGTCAGTCGGAATCTGCCAAGCGGAAGAAGGCGCGCCATCATACGTTCGTAAGAAATCTACAAGCAGGTACTGGTATACGCCATACACCACATAAAGACCGTCGCAGGATTTCCGTAACTCGCGTGCTTCCGTTTGAAGCAACGGTTAAGCGCGCTCCAATCTGAGCGACCCGCACTAGTTTCGAACAGGAAAATGGCCAGGTTAGTGCTGCACGATGGCACACTTGGGGCGAGATGCAGCTATGTTGAGAGTTTGTCGTCGTGTAATTACTGTTTGCGGTATCTTTATGAGCGTGTGTTGATTGCTGCTCCCAGCATATTCCGTTTTAGTGAGTAGAGAGTAGTGTGGTGGTGTGGTGAGCAAGGCGCATGTGATAAGGCTGTACACAGAACTTGTAGTTATAGTATGGTGATAGCGTGTTGAAGTATACTAATACAGAAGTACTGAAGCCGAAACACAACACCATAAACCGCAATAGTTAAGAATGTCCATGCACATTTTCCAAGCAAAAGTGATCATGGAACAGCCATGTTACTTACAAATACCCATCATCTCGATCATACCCACGTCTACTCCTCCGGCCCCAACTGTTCGGCCCCAAACTAGCACTCCTCCGACTACCCCTCGACGTCGCATGGCCCAGACCACTATCTCTCCTGCGATCCGGCGCCAGCTCGACGACCTCGGTGATGTCCTCCTCATGCTTGAGTTCACCCACACCATGGTCTTCCCAAATATGCTTGATGAGCGCCTTCACGTCGCCACACACCGTGTCAACATCGGCGTGCCGGGAGCACAGCACACATGAGTACTGACCGTCTGCGCCGCCACGATGACACTTTACCACAAAGCGATTGCTGACTTGGAAGCAGCGCTCATATCCGTCGCCGCGTTTGACGACTTCCCAGGCTTTGCCGGGGGAGAGGTGGAGGTCTTGTTTACAATGGGGACAATAGGGCTTAGATTCAGATGTGATGGTATCGGAGAGCTGTTGGTCGCGGTGCCGCTGGAGATCAATCGCGTAGAGACAGTACAATTCATGGGGTGCGGTTCGCATCCCGTAGGAAGTTGGGCCGGTCATTGATGTTGTGTCTGTGTCGGTGCGTTCTGGTTTGGGACGGCCGCGCCATGTTTCAATGATGGTCGTATTGACTGGGCTGCCGCTACGAGGCTGGGTGGGCTCTTGATAGCGCACGAGAGAAGTCGAGGCTGAGCCTGATTCGTGGACTGTCGTTGGGTGGGGTACTGCTTGACTACCATGTGACCGACCTACGGGCGAGCGGGATGAGCGAGGTGTGTGTGGCAGGGCTGCTTGCTGTCGTTGTATCTGAGCAGCGAGTATGTCTACGGAAGACGTGCCTGCAGCTCGGGATGCCGCATTGAGATTCGACAGTTGATGTGAGATCGAGTCGTCGGAGGTGGGCCCATACAAGAAAGTTGTCACCAATACGTTTTGGAGCGCTATGATTTGTGCTTGGAGCGCGACATGTGACTGGACTAAAGAGCAGTCAGCGAATCGAGAGTTGGATATGTTGTCTCATGGAGCATACTGTCGCCTACGGCAAATAGCGCCCCGATCTTCTGGAAACCGATCTCGAATTGCCGTGTAACCGCAGCCTTGTCCATGACAAGATCCTCATCTCTGCCCAGATTCTCATCTTCGACATATTCGACCCTCCGCGATGCTGGATAGCCCTTGGACCGCAGACTTGATTCATAGTCCCTCTGCTCCTTTGCTTTCAACGTTTGGAAAAGGTCTCTTGTAGCATCGAACACGCCCAGTAGAGTATAGACGAGCGCTTGCACAACGTTGGCAGGATCTACGGCAGGAGTCTGCTTGTCGTTAGCATCCACCTCCGCTGCAGACCTCTTCTACCACGGCGTCTGCCACAATGTCAACACTCACAACAACGCCCATCGTGAGCCTTCTCCTGTTCACTTGGTATCAAATCGGTCCAAAATTCGGATAATCGGAGCGTTCCTGAACGCTTAAAGACCTCAAGCCCCAGATCGGGCTCCAAGCAACCCCACGACTTCCGCAGACGCTTCGCAGGCAACACAAGGCGCCACTCCACTAGATCGTGTTCCTGTAGATGGTCTCATGTTGGGTGATGCACTTGTACAGCTGGCAGCGCGCCATTGGTTTAGCGCCCCTGCTACAGGGTCTGATTGGCGTGAAGCGCGCTACGGGCCGGTCCAAAGTATGCTGTGTGACGTCAGTTCTGATGTGCGACTGCGGAGAAGGTGCAAAGTTCACTTGCATGACCCACTCAACATAGGCCGTTGATTGCTTATTTGGGAAGATAAGAGCTGCTTCCGGACAGTAAGACATCTTGTCACGACCTGAACAAGAAGCAGCATCCCACAAATGTGGATTTACATGCTTCGGAGGATGCGGGAAATTAATGTGCGGTGGAGTACCATAGCATTTGCGTAACTTAGAACCCAACACTCCTGCTGTCTGTGATGTGACCTCTCCCGCCACGATAATTTACACACGGCGTGGAATGCAAGACGTGGCTGGCGGTCAAGTTGGGGATGACGGCTTACGGTCAGATCATGCCACGACTACCCATGGGGGGGGGGGGGTGTCCGCTGGGATATCGACTGCAGTATGCCAGTGTCGCTGGTGACGTTAGGGCGTCGAGTACAGGCGATGGACGGCCCTCATCTCGGGCCAATCCATGGAATTTCGACATCTGTGGCGAGCACAGAACGGGAGAAGCAATAGAGATACGTGTGCGCGTGATAATTGCCCTCAATTGAGGCAGCTCTCGGGTGACCAGCGTTCTGACTCGCAGTAGCTCGCGGCCTACGTGTCAGATAGTGTATAGTAACGGAGGCTTACACCGCTTGACATGCCACGATGACCGGCAAGTAGCCCTTGCGGCTGGGCATCGATATTCGCGCAGTGGGTGCTTGGGCATGGGAGATCCACAGAATTGGAGATCGCATTGCAAGATGGACATCTGGACCCTGAAGACCCTGCCAATGCGGCTTGGCATTAGAGCAGTCATATACACAACTAGAATACAAATGTTCTAGCATACTTGCGGTCCATGTCCGCATATTCCTCCCTCAGCATGCGACTCCTTAGTTTGTTCAGACGCAGCGTGACACCTTCTTCCTCGCCTTCAAGGTCCTCGACGGCCTTGTCTAAGCTCTCAGTACCCTTGATCTTCCACAATAAACTCTGTAGCCCACCGTTTTTGGCGGCATCGCGCTTCTCTCTCGCCTCAGCTGCAAGATATGTCATGATCTTGCCCCATGATTCAAGTCCGACTTCTTCGCATTGTTCACACTTCTTGCGCAATGCGTCGTCACTTCGCATCGCGTCGAGGGATTGTGCAAATTTAGATGTAGAAACGCCGTCGCGAACCCACGAAAGACCTTGCTGGCGTTGTGTAGAAGAAGAGCCGGCGGTTGCGAAGAGGATCTCACCAATGTAAGTTTTCAGCACGGCTTCTTCGCAACGATCGGCTTCTTTGCGGAGAAGGGGTTCGTCGCCTGATGGGGGCACGGGTGGGTAATCAGGCTCAGCCAGAAGACTCAGAACGGTCCCTACCAGACTCGAGTCTTGCTGCTTTGGTTTGACTAGAGCAGCGGGGGCTTCATCTGCGTTGAGACGTGCGCGGAGGAGAGATATGAAGATGGGTAAAGCGGCGGTGACGCGGCCGTTGGCTGCGAAGAACGTGGCCAAGTTCGTAGTCGCGTAGACAATGTTAGGAGTAATGACCTCTTTCGGCGCCGTGGACAACACTCCGGTTTGGCGGTCAATGACAGCTTCAGCTTCTGGTGCGGGTAAACCGGAAACTGCAATGTCAAGAGCCCAGCGATACATCTCCTCTGCCGAATCGGGGAGCTGCTTGAAGCTGAGCCAGTCAGCGTACCCAAGCGCCGCGCTCAGTCGCTGATATGTTGTAAAGCCTTTTGATGTGATGATTTTGAGATAGAAAACCTCTGGCGCCTCCGCAGCGGGATTACGATGCTCCTCGTCAGGCACCTCTGGCATGCCTGGCAACACTGCTTTTGGCCTCTTGTTCGTTGGTGATGCCACAAACTCTGGCGCCCATACATTCCTCCGCCACTTGTCTGTGACCCAGCCTTCTAGACGCTCTGCAGCTGCAGCCATGCCCATGAGGACCTCGTAGTAACCCTGCCGCCACTCTTTGCTCTTTGCAGAAACATCGTAACCGGCCTTGCCAAGTCCGGGTACCGATATGCCACCCTCTTCTTGCTCGGCGATGCCGGCGCCATCCTTGTCCGGGTTTTCTAGCCGATTCAGTGTATACTGCAACTCTGAGTATACCCTGGCCCAATTTGGGAATCCCTCCTCTTCATTGTTCTCCGGTACCTGCCACCACTTTCCTCTCCTAAATCGCACTCTCGTGATCAGACTCCACTCGTGCGGCGATGGAAATGCTCGTTCTTGCTGCTCGCTCAAGATACCCAGACTGGCTATACTGAAGCATGATGTGATGGCGAAAATCACAAACGAGTACCAGACACTCAGCTTGGCCGTCTCCTTGATGAACTTCTTGTGGTTTACGCTTATTGAAAACAAACGCTGCAGCTGGCCATTGGAGAGGTGTTGGCCGGAGGGGTATAGGAACGGGAGCTGCGGGCGCGGAAAGCCCTGGTGCGCTACAAGGAATTGTCGCGGGTGTCTATTTGAGAATTGGCGGGGACATGGTCGCGTAGGGGTTCGTGGGCTCGACGATTTCGCGGCGGCTCGCGGAAGCTGTATTCGAGCAGCGGGAGGCCGCATTGTCGTTCGGCTTGAATCTTTGGCATTGCTCGCAATGATGCTTTCGACGTGTGGTACGCGCTAAAGTGATCTGCATTCACCGCCTCGGCAGAACACCAGAAAAAAGTTGGGAAGGTGCGACTGAACCCTCGCACTCGACACAAATTTTCTGAACATCATGTCGAAAACAAAGGACCACGCGCCCAAGGCGGACAAGGCCGAGAAGAAGCGCAAGCGACAGGAAGAAGGCGAGGATGCGCCTAAGAAGTCCAAGAAGTCGAGAAAATCCGATGCCGACCAAGATGCGCCCGCCGCCGATGCGCCGGTAATTGAGGAGCCCAAGCTCGACAAGAAGGCCGAGAAGGAAGAGAAGAAGAAGCGCAAGAAGGAGCGCAAGGAGAAGGAGGCCGCAGCCGCTGGTAAGGCAAAGGAAAAAGACGCCGTGAAGGAATCCGCAGACTTCGTCCCACTCGATGAAGACGTCTCAATGCCTGATGCGAGCGACGACAAGAAGAAGTCCAAGAAGGAGAAGAAGGAAAAGAAAGAAAAGAAGGACAAGAAAGACAAGAAGGAAAAGAAGTCGAAGAAATCTGAGGCCAACCCCGAGGCAGACAGCCCCGAAGAGCAGGATGCTGTCGCTGAGGAAGAGACGCCAGCCACCAACGGCGCAGAGACGGAAGCGAAGCTTTCCAAGGAGGAGAAGAAGAAGGCGAAGAAGGAAAAGAAGGAGAAGAAAGAGAAGAAGAAGTCCAAGAAGGAGGACGATAGCACCGCAGAGGCGGAGACCAATGGCGATGCACCTGTAGAGGAGGAAGGCGCTGAGGCTGGCGCTCAAGAGGATGGCGAAGAAGCTGCTGAGCCAGGCAAGAAGGGCCGCTTCATCGTGTTTGTTGGTAAGCATCTCTCTACTCCACACCACCCAATAGCCATGGCTGACCACTTCCTCCAGGCAACCTTCCCTACTCCGCAACCAAAGAATCCATCTCCGAGCATTTCGCCAAGCTACACCCAACCGACATCCGCCTGCGCACATACAAGGGCACTGAGAAGTTCATGGGCACCTGCTTCGTGGAATTCGACCGCTTTGACCTGCATGGAAACCTGCTTGAAGAAGTACCACCACTCCGTCTTCCCGGATGGCAAGAAGAAGGAAGGCCGCAAGATCAACGTTGAATTGAGGTAAGCCCCTATTGCCCCCATTTCTCCAGAATTTGGTCACTGACATACTATTCCAGCGCTGGCGGTGGCGGCAACAGCGAAGGCCGCAAGTCCAAAATCGTAGCCAAGAACGATAAGCTGCACGACGAGCGCGCCCGCGACCGCGAAAAGCGCGCCGAGCTCGAAATGAAGCAGAGCGAGCGCAAGGAGAAGAAGGAAGCCAAGGGGAAGAAGGGCGAGGATGTCGCTGAGCCAGAGCCTGACAATGGCGGCATACATCCTGCGCGTTTGGCCATGATGGCTGCGCCCGCGCGTCCGGCGCATTACCAGCGATACTAGACACTTCTGTCGCTGTTTGTCGCATCTGGTTGTCATGTAGGAGTCTCACATACGGCGAATTTTCTGGATTTGTCCTTTCATACCAAAAACTGTTCTCGCCTTGGGTAGAAGAGATTGTCACATTGAATTCACTGTAACGATACCCAATCTTACAAATCGTCTTGCATTCGATCTTATTTACATCAAATGGTTGAGAACGTTGTCTGAACGCTGTCATTTTTGCAGGGGCCACGCATTTGGCATCAGTTCTAACTTGGAAAGTCAAGGTCATGCACCAAGTGTGTGAAACCGGTTAACCTGAACTGCAAAAAAAGTACTCATTTCTACTCCAGCTCGTCTCGCGCTTGCTACTGCAGTAGAAACAGTCAAGAAGTATTATGCTGTTACTATGTGGTCGTGACACCCCGCTAAATCCAGTAATCAGGTTTACTTGCACCATTAGCTATTCCGCCAGGGTATAGGTTTTGAGATCGGGAGAAAATTACTAAAGATCTGGGTGATTTTGTTAAAGTCATCCTAGTTTCATGGATATACCCGTAGTAAACAAGTTCACCCGCCAATGAGACACCAGAGCGAGCGAGGTCTGCACGTGACACACCTTACTCGTTGTCGTCAAACTAACTTCCTTTACAGGCATCGCCCATGGAAAATGCATAGAATGGAGTAACTTAGAAGGCCTAACACTGGCAGGTTTGATTCGTATGCGAGATATACATTCGACTGTGCCTCCCATGGCTCACTTCATTCACTCCCATCGAAGTGAGGGTCGATTTTCGTCTTGTTCAGGATCGAATCAAAGCAGTCTCATACAGTCTTAACGCAACTACTTCACGCCATACTATGTGGAGCTCAAGATTCATTAACATCGACAGAGTCACTGGATTCACTTTTGCGGCCGTGCTATGCACGCTCTCGGTGCAACGATCGGCTTCTCGACAGTCAGAGTTGTACTCTGAGATACTCAGCTGGATTTTACTCCCGATTTTGTTCAAATTAGCACGGCGACCGGCACAAAACTCCAAGGAGACATCCTTTATTTCTGAAGCACGATTTACAGACTCACCATCATTATGGATCGTTGCTACGAGCCTTGTTGTTTCTTGTTGGTGTCAAGCAGAAAGTAACATGATCTCGATGCTGGTGAGTATGGTACTCGAACTAAAAGTCTTAATTTGAGACTGACAGTAGTCAGCCATTGTTACCCCCAGCCTTGCTATTGACCCTAAAGCTTCTGAGCCTGGAACTGCCTGCTTCGAGTCTACATTACTCTTGGCTCTTGTCCACATCTACCTGGACAACTATCTCACTTGCAGTATTCTGCACTCTCACTCTGTCTGGCGGGCATGTTGGCTCTATACTAGCGGCCATTGCAGTGTCAGCTCAGTTCATCATCTACCTCGCCTTCATGCCCAGGTCTACAACAAGTTCACGACTTATTCCATACATCAGCAACCTTGAGGATGCCATAGTGCCTATTTCTTTCCGAACGTTAGTCTGTCTGGCAATCTATACTGGTATCCATACTTTTCTTTATGGGTTCACCGGGATAGAGGTTGTGAATACCTTGTTGTTAGGAGTAAGCAAAGCCTTGTCTTGGTACTTCGTCGCAGGAACAGTATTTTGATCTTCCTCTGAAAATTTTATGTCATACTGATTTATTTTCAGGCCCGATACAGTTCATGGTGTATAGCACCAGCTATCAACACATTCAGTCTTCTCTCCACCTGCAACCCATCCATGCAGACTTCAGAAAGTCAGGCTGTTTCCACTGTAGTAGCATCTTTCCTCGCGCTACTACAAGTCTTTCGTTTACTGCCAGATCAAGCAAAAGGTAGACATAGCCTTTGGGCCTTTTCGCTAGTCTTCCTCATTCCGTACGCTGCAAATCAATGGAAGATACAAAACGCGCAATCTCTAGCACGACTTGGATCGAGTATTGTTAGCCCGCATCCAGTAGAAGTTCTGGCAAACACTGCCAAGGCCAAATATCATGCCCTGCTGCAAAGGCAGTCTATAAGTTACTCCGCTGCCCATGGCGAATATCGACGTAGATACGGTGCAGAGCCACCAGATGGCTTTGAGGCTTGGTATGAGTTTGCGGCATCTCATCAATCGCCTATTATCGACGACTTCGATGTCACATTCGATCTCCTTTCTCCTTTCTGGGAGTTGAGTGGTGACGAGGTGCTTGAAAGGATGAGGGCTGCACAAGCTACGCCAAACAGTGAGCTGTGGCGTTGCAATCACTCGGGCGATGATGGTACAACCCACTGCAGTCATCCTTCGCGAAGTGATGATCGCCATCTCAGTCTTTTGTTCGACACTCTGTTGAAGGGATTGCCTGCGAAAATTCCCAGCGTCACTTTCCTGGTGAACCATCTCGATGAGCCAAGGGTTTTGATCCCGTCACGGCGGTCAGAAGCTAGAGGAAACTCGACCGAACAACAATTCAACATGACGGATCTATCGCATCAGCCTACATGGGACACATTGACGAAGTTCTGTCCATATTCCACGCCCTATAAAACACAGCCAACCCCCTTTCCTCTTCCGTTCGTCACAAACCCCACAGCGGCGAAAGATCTATGCCAGCACCCCGAGTACCAGGAAATGCACGGCCTCTTCCTATCCCCAGCATCACTGCCTCTAATCCAAGGCCTTGTACCAATCCTCTCCACCAGCTCTCTCTCAACAACCAGCGACATCCTATTCCCCAGCCCCGCCTACATCGAGCCAGAATTCCAGTACGAAGCCACCCACGACATAGCCTGGGACAAGAAACGCAACAACCTCTACTGGGCCGGCTCCACCACCGGCGCGCACGCGTCGAACGATCAATGGCCTTTTTTCCACCGCCAGAGATTCGTCGCTCTGGCACAGAACCTGCTGCGAAAGAACTACACCTACACTTACCTACGTAATTACAACGGCGTGCTCGCGCGCGTGCACTCTGCATTTCTAAACACCCGATTATTCGACGTAGCGTTTACGCGCATATCCCAATGCGCGCGGAGATACTGCGCCGCACAAGACGCGTACTTCCGTGTCAAGTCGTGGGCTAACAAGAACCGCGCACTGCATTCGAAGCTTGTCTTTGATCTCGACGGGAATGGCATCAGCGGGCGGTATTATCAATTGCTGGCCTCGAATTCCGCGCCGTTGAAGCAGACGCTCTTGCGAGAGTGGCATGATGAGCGCCTCGTGCCGTGGGTGCATTACATACCTGTGAGTATGGGCATGGAGGAACTGCCGGAGTTGGTGACGCATCTTACGGCGAATGAGGCGGGGATGAGGACGGCGAGGGATGTAGCCGAGGCGGGGAAGGAGTGGTTTGGGAAGGCGTTGAGGGAAGTCGATAGGAGTGTTTACGTCTATAGGTTGTCGTTGGAATTGGCGAGGATCCAGGATCCAGAAAGAGAGGCAGGTTTTCCGCTCGAAGGAAGACGAGAGAGCGCAAGGTAGAATGTGAACGAACTCGAGTGAAGACATGCTGGCAGCATCTGTGCTTCTAACATATTATATATTTCTTCCTGGCAAATGTATTTGTAAGATACTTCAACTTGATAAAGTGTCCCAGCCATACAAAGTGTTTCGTATCATACAATAACATGTTCTCCCATCCAAAGTCCGTGTCCACCGTGATTATCTCGTACTGCGCCGCCAAATGTACGATATCTTACAATATGTATATCCGAGAAATCATGTTGAGGTGGAAGTTGGCAGTGCATTCCAGATTCCAGTTTGACCGCAGCTTCTTCGTGACGTCTCCGAGGCTCAAGTCTCCGACTTAGGCAGTTCGAAAACGTCGCACGCGCGACCCGCGTCGCTGGCTCCAATATGCAAGGCGTGCGACGCCTTCTTCGACGCCCTTTACAAACGCACTGGCGACATCTCGAGTGGAGTTTTTGCTAGACCGCAATTTCCTAGCAAACAGAACTCCAGCTAATTCAATGTCCAACGATGTTGAAACAGTGATGCTCCAGCCATCTACGAGGCGAGCCACAAGGTTTTCGATATGTCTGAGTTGCACCAGACCGAACTGCTCGGCGATGGTGGCCATTGCTTCAGCGCATTCGGCATCTAACCTCGTGTTCTTTGTGACTAAACTTGTAGCGACGAGAGAGGTCCTTCTGCCAACCTGAAATTGATGTAGTTGTAGCAGATCTGCTATGCTATGGTGGGCGTCTGCGAGTAATATCAATTCACGCAGCGAGAACTCCCGGATAATGGCTTCGCGTTTTATCTGACCCCAGACAAGGAGCTATATAAAGTCAGCATGTATTGAATATGAACGTTGCTTGTCATTGACTTGCCTCAGCATAATGCTTTGTGTTCGCCCAATATGCTAAACCTTCTTTTTTTAGGTCTCTGATGACCTCGTGTGCTCGTAGCGTATTGCCCTTGTCAATCTTAGATAAGTCGATAAGCGCAATCCGTGGTTGCGTCAAATTTGCGGCTTTCGTCAGACTTTCCAAGAAGCTGAAAGAGTGTTAGAATAACGCGTGCTCAGAACTGCTGATAGGAATCTTTTCATACCTCGTGAACACAGAGATCCAGCAACTGGGTCCTCCACTATTGTTAAAATGAGCGCTGCTGGTGATTTTGATTGCTTTTTGCCCATCTTCAGTAGTAGGATCAAATGGATGTGGCAGCTGACCACCGGATTTCGCAGCCACTCCTACAAAGGCACCAGCCACGAATTGACCGTCTTTGAATGATGTACCTGAGAATTGGTGTACGAAGTTAGTGTATGTCTCACATACAATCAATCCGTGTATTGAGGTTTGCTTACCGCTGTACTCGTCGAAGACTCGAAACGCTAGCTGAACTGCGCTATTGCTCGTCTCAGCTATGCGCCCAAGAGCAAGTGGAGCAGGCTCGAGCGCGTCCTCTGCGTCGACTAGGTATTCCAAGTCTTGGAAGCTGGTATTGTTGTTCAAAGTTACGCCGCCATTTCTCAGAGGTGGCACGGACGTTTCTTCTGATGTCGGGGCTCGAACAGCCATAAACTGCTCTTCCTGAGATGCTCGTCTGACAAGAGTTCGGAACAATTTCCTCGTCTTCGGGCATCTCGCCTTCTTTGCCCTTCCTGATGGCGAATTAACCTCTTTCTGCAAGCGATGTAGCTCAATGTTTAAGTTTGCCGCTGTAGTCTCGATCAGATTTCGCTGTGTACTGTACACGTTGTTTGGATCGCCGAAGGGCACAGAGAAAACGGCTCTATATATTGGGAAGGCTTCCGGGCCGTGGGAGCCGGAGGTAGTTCTCAAAGTGTGCCTTGACCTTTGCAGTTTTCAAGTCCAGTCTGAAAATCTTGTTGAAGACGCTCGTGAATGAGACCGGGTCTCTAGAATACCAGCGATAGATGATACACAAGATCCTAGAGAAAATGATCAGTCTAATGGGCATGACCATCCTGTGTAAGTCTGCTTACTCTCGTTCTTGATATGTCCAACGATGAGAAGGCGAATACTCAGGCGCGACTAAACCCATTTTCCCCAGCTTATGTGGTGATCTAGGCCTTGCAGTCGCTGAAGTTGTGCCGAAACGCAATTTCCGCCTGACAGGAAGCGTTGTCTTTTTCTGTTTGGTCGTATGGAAGAAATGACTCGTGGCACCAGTGCTGCGGCGCGAGGATTCGACGTGCTTTACAGGGCAAGGTGTGTCCGGTGTGTCAACAAAGTCTGTGCGGTCTGAGTCGTAGGCTGTAGTACTCGTGTCCTCAAAGTCCAAGTTCGAGATAGAGATATCGGAACCTAATCGTGATGATTCTAGGGGAGCAGAGGTATCGGCTACTGGAGTGAGTGTAATGAGCGTTGGCTCTGAGGATTCGGATGGTGTGTGGCTGCTGAGCAAAGTTGAGCTAAACGAAGGCGTTGCTGGAAGTATGTGACGCTGGGTAGGTATTGAATTTTGCGATGTTCCAAGTAATTCCTGGAAGAAGGACTGTTCAATTCGTGAGCTGCACGCGGAAGAAAGTAGGATCACTGCAGTGTTACCTCCATCGCATCGATCTTGCCATCTTGAGCATCTGTAGAATTGTGAGTCGCGATGCTATGAGTGCGAGAAGCAAGTACGATACCAACCATACCTTCTGCTACAAGTGTTTCTATGCTCATGTCATCGACTTCAGGGTCCGCGGTAGGTTGCCACATCATGATGCCGGAGCCCAGGTCTTTCCACTTCGACATAATTCAGTCTCCAAGTATTGGTACAAGATGACACAAATCTCAGGCGCAATAGAACAGACTGGAAGACAACAAGCTGTTGTTGACAGAGCGACGTTGGTCGCGCTGTGGTGTTGCAAGGACAAGTCAAGATGTTCGAATCCAGGGAGGATGATAGCACCCGTCGCGACAAACTTCAGCGACGCGAAAGCAAAACGCAGTGATAGTGAGAGCTCTTGTGAGCTCGGATGCCGTGATAACGCGCCTGTGTCGCCTCCAACGCGCGGTGAGAGTGAAGGATACCAGGGACATTGGTAGTGAGGTGAGAATTCCACGCATGAAGACGGTGTATAGGCTTGCTTTTGATGCTGATGCGCTCATGAAGCCATGTGATATCCATCGACAGTGGCAAAACAGGCTCTGCCAGAAGGCTACATGGACACATCTTGTTGTTGGTTGCTTCCAGATAGCCTGCCGTCTGGCTGAAGCACTGGCTGGGGTAGTGTGCAGTCTTCTGAACTACAGGCCACGACCTAGTCCCGCGAACACTACCCATGCTGGGACAAGACAGAAGAATGTAAAAGCCGTGGTCGGTGCAGCGGGGACTATCAAGTGTAGCGCGAGGCTTCACGTGCTTAGCGTCAGGGTCGTGGTTGCCGTTTGCTGATCCCTGTCTGTTGTTCGCTGGTCCGTGCTCCCCAAACATTGAGCCTCCCGAATGTAATGCATCGTCATCCAGCACCGCCGACAGCAACGACATACCTTCGCTTCGACGCTCTGTTTTTGGCCCTGCAGAGCTTGCGTCGTGCGTCCACTAACCTCTTTACTTTCAATACAGCGCAATTATGGCCACCGATGGCGCGTCGTCCATTTCCGTCACTGTGCGAGTCCGCCCGTTTACCATAAGAGAGGCGGCGCAGCTGTCGAAATGCGACGATCAGGCGCTGTTTCTGGGAGATGGCTCCCTGGCCGCGGTGCCGACCCCCAAGTTGAGCTCAAAGGGCATCCGGCCTGTTATCAAGGTCTTGGACGAGAAGTGCTTGTGAGGAGACTTACCACTTCGTCTCCCGCAATGGGATGACTGACTTGCTCAGGATCTTCGACCCTCCGGAAGACAGCCAAGTATCGCGCATGGGCCGGTCGACAATTGGCCCCCAGGGAAAGCGGGTCAAGGACCAGACCTTTGCATTCGACCGAGTCTTCGATGAGACGACCACACAAGGCGACGTGTACGAGGCCACGACCAAGCCCCTGCTGGACAGTGTGCTGGACGGATACAATGCGACCGTGTTTGCATACGGCGCAACTGGATGTGGAAAGACGCATACCATCACGTGCGTCACAATGGACACGGAGGGGTAGCATGCGCTGACAAGCTTAGGGGAACGTCGCAACAACCCGGCATAATCTTCATGACCATGCAGGAGCTCTTCGAGAAGATCCAGGAGCTGCAGGAAACAAAGGTCACCGAGATCACGCTGTCGTACCTGGAGATCTACAATGAGACGATCCGCGATCTGCTGGTCGAGGGCGGAAGCACCACATCGCTGATGCTACGCGAAGACGCCAATCAGGCCGTCTCAGTAGCAGGCCTCTCTAGCCACCGTCCTCAGAATGTAAGTACACCTTCCAACGCATTCGACCAACAAGCTGATGTTCTCCAGGTCCAAGAAGTCATGGACATCATCGTCCGCGGCAACGAGTACCGAACCATGTCGCCGACTGAAGCCAACGCAACCTCGTCTCGATCACACGCCGTCCTGCAAATCAACGTCTCTTCCAAAGACCGAAACGCCTCCGTAAACGAGCCCCACACCATGGCTACTCTCAGCATCATCGACCTCGCGGGAAGTGAGCGAGCAAGCGCAACCAAGAACCGAGGAGCGCGATTGACCGAAGGCGCCAACATCAACAAGTCGCTGCTCGCCTTGGGCAGCTGCATCAACGCTCTATGCGATAGCCGGAAACGGAACCACGTGCCGTACCGTAATTCGAAGCTCACGCGACTGCTCAAATTCTCGCTTGGTGGCAATTGCAAGACGGTCATGATCGTGTGTGTCAGCCCTTCCAGCGCTCACTTTGACGAAACGCAAAACACCCTACGATATGCGAACCGAGCGAAGAACATCCAGACCAAGGTCACGAGGAACACTTTCAACGTGAATCGCCACGTCAAGGATTATTTGAAGAAGATTGATGAGCAGCGAGCTCTGATCGACGAGCTGATGAAGAAGCAGACGGACTTCGAGGGTAGTGCGCTCGTCAAGTTCCAGAAACAGACCGAGAGGAAGGATAGCGTCATCCGCGACGCCATGATACGTTTGCGCCAGTCCTACGCAGATTCGGAGCCTGAACGCAAAGATCGACTGAACATGATGCGGACATTGAAGCAAGCAGAGAAGCGCATTTCGCTCATCTCATCATGGATTGCGGCATTCGACAACGTTAAGGACGTTCGCGAAAGCGAAGACATGCCCTCGCAGATCACAGCGATGAGGGACACAGCGGTGGGCATATCGGCAGAACTTGAGCAAACCCGCCAGCACTGCCACCGACGCATAGAACGGACAAATTGGACAAGCAAGATGGACACTGCGCTAGGTGTCGGACTAAAAGGCTTGTCTGACATTGACGGGTCAAACGATAGCCAAGATGGCGCAAATCTCACAAGAGAGTACGAACTGCTCAAAGCGAACGCCGACCGAGAGGCGTTGAACGCGCTATTAGAGCAAGAAAAGGGTGCAGATGCAGCAATCGTACAAGTGCTTGTTCAGGCACATATCGAAACAGTTACCATATTGAGCCAGATCACACAGCTGAGCGAGGAGGAGGCCGTTGAGCAGGCAAGGAAACTGATCACCAAGATCATGAACTCCTGCACGAACGCAACCTCCCAAGCGATACGACCAGACGGAGGGCTCCCCGTAACTGAGTTCTTCGCCCCAACACATCGAGGCACACCAAAGAGGCGGAAACCAGTGAAGATTGTGGAGCCTTCACAGTCCTCACCTATGCGACCTATTGCCATGCCGATGCCAATGCCGGCATTTGCTGATGCACCACATCTCACATCGTCGCCAATGAAGGCTTCACCGCGTCGTAGGAAGATGGGTCTTGTGAAGAAGGGAGTACAGTTCTCTCCAATGAAGAAGAAGTCACCATCCAAGACCAAGCGTGGAGTTCGATGGCGTGACGATACGGAGAATGGTACTCTCGCAGAATTTCAAAAGACACCAGAGCATGTCGAGACTACACCAATCGCCTCGTCGGCCGGGATGCCCACACCAACATACACCATTCCCATTGGTGCACCAGCCCTCGATCAGAACGGCTCTTCGCCAATACCATCACCCCCCAAGGCATCGGTAGACCTCAAACGAGCAGGCCGCTTTGCTCTTGGTGCGTTATCCAAGAAGTCGGATGGCTCGCCAGCTCCTCCCACGATGCATACCTTCAGCTCAGACTCCGATAACACATCACCTCTCAGGGAGATTGGCGCCAACAGCCTTCGCAAAACATCACTCAAAATGGTTGAGAACGCAGCATCTCCTGACAAGGCAGGCAACTCTTCAGGCTCCGAATCAGAGAAGTGGTCAGGATCCGATGCCCGTAAAATAGGATCGGTTCTCAAACGCCGCTCCTCCACGAACGGAGGCTCCATCCCTGCCAGCCGTGCTCACCGCCGCCGCAGTCCAACAGCGGCAACGGCATCGTGCAGTCCGCCAAACGAGAACTCGATGTTCTCAGCCAGCGCGGCACGTCGCATGGTGCCCAAGAATCCCGACGCTGAGTGGAAGAACAATGTGCTAAGCCCACGAACCACCCCAATCATGAAAGGTCCCGCACGACGCACGACCATGGCTATCACAGGAGAGGACAGACCACGAGAACCTACAAGCTTAAGTCGAGCGCCTGTAAGAATTAGTAGCAATGGTTCTTCAGGCAGCAGAGGTAGTCTCGCGCCTGGGACTAAGAGTGTTTGGCGTTGATGAAGCTTTTACTGACGACCGTTTCCTTTAGTACGTCGGGGCGTTTGAGATGAAGTTGCGAGCAAGGTTGAGGGTTTATCGAGCTTCGGCGTTTGGATGTTGAGCGAGTGGACAATCTGAAGGCCGGCGGTGTTTGGAGTTTTTGAGCTTTGCTACAAATTATCTCCTGGAAAATCCCTTATAGTATGCAACGGCCGCACAAGTTTTCGCATTGATCTGCCTATGGCAGTCATCTTTTGGCGTTGCGCATGGTTGGATACTGGCTTTTCGAATTGGTCAGGGCTTTGGTGTATCAATAATGTCTTTTCGAGTAACATACTTTTCGTAACGATTGATCTGTGGTTCAACATTTTCTCCGCTCTTCATGCTTCGTTCTCCTATCATCGAGCGGTCTCCTAATTGAACTCATTCGTCCGTCGTTTGTTGCCGTCCGTCTCGGTCAAATTCGGCTACTTGTCTCCCCGCCCAATGTTACCGAGCATCGAACAAGATCGAAGAGTCGAATCGTACTGTAGCATACTCCACTACCCCACATTCGTCATTGGTAATCTGGTGTATGGGTGACGTGCGAGGGGTCCAGACATGCCGCGGGAGCAGTCTAGCAGTTTATATAAGTTTGTGGACTGACCCCGCGGCGTGGCTAGCAAACGTCATTGAACCCTGAAGGAATCCGAGTTGAAATCGTCGACATTTTTTGAACAACTGAACATTACAAACTGAAGACCCAAGAGATATTAGTAAAGATGAAAGAAGCCATCGTTTCAAAAGGACCAAAGGTCACGATTAAAGATTCGCCCATCCCTGAACCACAGGCGGATCAGGTTGTCATTGAGGTTGTAGTCAGTGGAAGTAATCCCAAGGACTGGTATGTATCACTCTCCCATCGAATTGCAATCGATGTACCTTCAACTCATATACAACGAGAACTAATATATAATCAGGAAAATTCCAGACCTCGTACCCGACTACAATGCCAACTCTGGCGACGACATAGCAGGCTACGTCCACGCCGTCGGCTCCAACGTCTGGGAATTCAAACCTGGCGACCGCGTCGCTTCGTTCCATGAGATGATGACACCAGGCGGCTCCTTCGCAGAATACGCTGTAGGCTGGTCTTGGACAACCTTCCACATCCCCACAACCACCTCCTTCGAAGAAGCCGCCACGCTCCCCCTCGCGGCCATGACCGCCGCCATCGGCCTGCACCAACGCCTTGGCCTCCCCACACCCTGGAAGCCTGCCTCTGAACCCACCCCACTCGTCGTCTACGGCGGTGCCGCCGCCGTCGGCGCATACGTGATCAAGCTCGCCCGCCTCGCCAACATCCACCCGATCATCGCCGTCGCCGGGCGCGCCGAGAAGTTTGTAGAAACGCTCATCGACCGCTCGAAAGGCGATACCATCGTCGACTACCGCAAAGGCGACGAGGCAGTCGTAAAGGGCATCAAAGAAGCGCTCAACGGCCAGAAACTGCACTACGCTTACGATGCTACCAGCGAGCATGGCTCGTACACGAACATTGTCCAGGCCCTTGAACCCACGGGTCATTTGACGCTCGTTCTGCCTGGGAAGAAGTACGAGGGTATTCCGGAGAGCGTGAACATGACGGTTACGACAGTGGGCGAGGCGCACAAAGGCGATAAGGACTTTGCGTATATCTACTTCAGGTATCTTGCGAGGGGGTTGGCGGAGGGATTCTTCACACCACATCCGCATGAGGTTGTGCCCGGCGGGTTGGAGGGTGTGGAGACGGCGTTGAGGAATTTGAAGGAGGGGAAGGCGAGTGGAGTCAAGTATGTGTTTAAGATTGGGGAGGATGGGAAGGAGAAGTTGTAGGAGTTTAGAGATAGAGATGAGTTATTAGGAGGTTAGCTAAAGATTCATTCTTAGGGTTAATGATAAATTATGTAACTGTGCGCATAATATTGCAAAAAATGCTCATGTGCAATCACTCTTGATGCACTGTCATTGCTTGTTCTTGCGGGCCGGGGTATATACACTCATTAACCATGAAACAATTCCAAACTCATCACGTCATTGTTATAGAACATATCAAAAGTTGATTGTTTTTAATTGCTCATAACTAATCCCTACGCAGAATCATTTCCCACGCAATAGGACCATGTCCATGTCATGGTACAAGTATCTACGAGTTTCCTCCCTTCTTGCCAGCCTCGACGGGATCAACCTTGCCGTGAGCGAATTCTACAATGAATTTTAGCAATGTTCATGATTGAAAGGGAAGCAACACTTACGACCCTTGGCGCTACCGCCAGAGTTGCCGCTGGACGAATCATCAGAGGCAGATCCGGAGCCAGAGGTGTGTCCACCCTGCTTTCCGGCCTCATGGGGGTCGACCTTGCCTTGGGCAAACTCGCCAGTGCCCACACGTTTGTCAGGCGTCCCATCTTGCTTCAGACCGCCGTGCTCTAGTTGAAGGTCAGTTGACTGCCTGAGTTACTTCGGATGAGGTACTCACCAGTGGGCTTGTACTGGTCCGCCATTGTGATGGTATGTGATTGGAATTGAGATTGAGGTTGAAGTTGGTAGTTGAAGTAGAAGTTGCAGATGCTGATGAGATTGAGTTGATGAGTTGTTGTTGTTGAAGGGAAACCTGCCCCCTTCTTATACTTCACCCACCCTCATACAGCTCTCCCCCTCGACTTCTCAGGTACGTCAATTCATTTCTTTGCTACGTCAAGACAAGACCGCAACGTGTAAGCGCGTCTTTCGTGATTCACGCGTGGATCTCGCGTCAGCACTACGTCCGCGCCCTGGATGAATAAGGTTCAGGAACATGATGTAACGGCGATCTAGGGATCTCGTTAATCGTACTAGCCCGCGTCAAACCACACTCTAGATGGCAATGATCGATGCGAGATCATGATGGGTATCGTAAACTTGAGATCCCCATGGGAACCCTGGAGGTCCACTTGTGGTCTTGATGTCATGATATAATCATTCTTGTCGCGAGCCGCTTGTGCTAGAAACTCGTACTACATAGCGGCCCAGGTACACCAATTCTGTCAAAGCCGAGAGATCGATCGATCGTGAATTGCATCAAAGCTTATGCAGGTCGCATACATCAAAGGTATTGTTCTCCACGCGGAGAAGTTGTGCGATGACGGGTCTTGAGGCGGCACATATGTCAGGGACCTGCCGGTCGCGAGAACAACACATATGCCACATACGTCAAGGGATGAACCAATGTGTAGACAGTCCAAGGAGCGAAGCAGGTCCATGTTGTTCCTGTTTGTTCTGAGCGTAGCAAACCTACTATATGGAGGACATGCGCAGTGCTCTACACTGATGATGGGCTTTCGCGCTGGGTCGATGGTCAATTGCAGATCGACATTGGGAACCATGTGTTCTTATCTCAGATATATGTGCTTTACCTGTTCAACTCCTGGTGCAAGTGTTGCCATCATGTATCGATCGCTTCCAATGGTACGCGGCACTTAAATCAGTCCATGCACGTCAGAACAGCGGCATAGCGGTGTAGTGTTACAATTGAGTTATATTCGAATGACCTTCACGATAATGCGATTCTGGCCTCGTTCTGGACTAGACGGCAAGATGTGAAGTTGCGTGGCAACTCTGTGGTGTGGCAAATTATAGCTATCCTAGAAGTCGTTAGCGTCGGCAAAAGCTCGGTGGTGTGTTCGCATGCGGAACAGCTCGATCTTCGGACATCAATCATTTCCCTGTCCTAACGAGACCTACAGAATGGATGAAAAGATATGAGCATCTAGCGAAGAGCGATTTGACGCAATCATATCGCACGCAGCATCGACGGAATACGGCACATCGTCCATCGCCTCAGGGGCAGCGTGGATGCAAGCAACCTCACAACTATTTAATGTAACTGAAGCAGAGGTACGGCAAATCTGTGCTCGTTTCGTGCAGCCATCTCAAACATACTTTTTGTGAGTTCAAAAGAATAACGTATTTCTGTAAATGATTTCGATCAGCGCATAAAGAGCGAAGGTTATCAAAAAGTAAAACAAAAAAGGATGCCCACTAGCTGAGTCGAACAACTGCTCTTCGCATGACATTGCTGTACAAGTGCGACGCCTTACCACTTGGCCAAGCAGGCTGGGATTTGTGTATGACTAAGCAATTTTAATTTTCAAATATATATGCTATCAGTGAGGATATTTTGGGTTGGTGAAACAGCTTCGGAGTACAACACCAAGTTCGAGTGTTAATTATTGAGTGGGTCCTGCTGCGGGCGCGATTGCGTTTGCTGTGGGGCGGACAGAACTTCAACCCTCGAAGTGAGTTCACCAGGTTTGCAAATGTGGCAGATTTATACTGTTGGGAAGCTTGTTTATCTATCATGATCACGGAACATGGGGATGCCGGGGATGTGCAGCTGGGCAGACAAAAAGCATCTACTGTCCTTGTGGGCATGTTCAAGAGACGTGGGAAGTGACAAGAAAGCATTGCGGTCTTACGATAAGGAAGACATATTTGCGGTAGAATCTGAGAAAGGCAGTCTGAAATAATACTACGAGTCTAAAAAGCAGTGCTTTACTGCCTCCTATATTACAAGGAGCTTTACTGAGTCCACCCCAAACACAGCAAGCAAGTTCTTCCTCCAACATCTCCCCACGCAATAGTTAGGGGTGAGCAGGCGGACATGGCGATTGCAGGGCCGATGTAACATTTGTTGAATACGTTCGTTGTATAGAAGCGACACGTTTGATGCTGTATTGGTAAGGGAGGAGAGATAGCATTAGAATTTACCTCGACACGATCAAACATACCAACTTCCTAGGTTCTTCTTCTAGTGCTTTATCCGCATCGGTAAGTCTCAAGAATGGAAATAGCACATATGGAACCTGACTCTCAAAGTGTTGACTTGCTTGCAGAATTTGGAGAGGAACTTCCGTCACATCACAAACTGCGTAACCGTGCTTCACCTTCACTCATGGTCTCCACTGCACCTTCACTTATACAGTGCGACAGCCACTCAGAGGAGGGATTAGCCCCACAGTACCTCAACGAACACACAGCATCTTGCTTTTTCCCTCACTCAACATCTTCCTACAACTGAGCTCTGGCGTCGCGATACAGCGCCAATCATGCACGAGATCAAGCCACATCCCAGGTATCACGTACTATGTCCGTGAACTCAATGGCACGCTCACCTACACTTTCAAGCTAGGCGACAAGCCGACGAGAACCTTCGAACTCGATGGAGCCGACTTTGAAGCTTCCACTTCCGAGCCAGCAGACGATGTTGACTTCAACATGGCTGGCACAGCCGTTAGCGCCGTGGGCTTAGACATTAAGCTTGTCAAGAATGACGGCATTATTGAAATGCAGTACCAAGGCGAAGGCGGAAACACCGCAGAGTGGGCATTCGATGGGCTGCAAGAGACGAGCAGGCAGTCTGGAATGTATGCATCGGCCACTACGCAGACATGCTTGACGATTCTCGACCTCAAGCCCACACCCAAGAATATGAATTCGCTCATCGATGCGGAGAGTGTAACAGTTCTACGACAGAAGGATATCCAAATCAAGTCAGTTATTGGCAAAGACAAAGATGGCACGCTGTGGAAGATCAGTTGTGGTGGCGCCGCAGAGCGTATACCTGGTTCGTCGTGTCTCCGGATTCATTGTATATCCCTGACTCATTCTTGTAGACCAAGATATGGCAGTGACACAACTGACAGCTGTTGAGGCGCCAACTGTGGCACGACGAGTCTCAAATCGGAAACGAGCCGAAATCTCAGTGCCGCATCCAACACCTGAGTCACTGCCCTACTATATATATCTACCGGGACAAATAAAAATTGAGAAAGGACATCTCGTTGATGGGATATTGATGTTGGACCAAGCTACTTCTAGTATCACCTTTGAAACGAAGGGCGAACTCATACAACCAGAAATGGTACCAGATGTCTCCAGTAAGTCTCGTCTCTCGGTATTCGCGCAGATTGCCTGACTAGTCAAGACGAGGTGCTATGGAAGCCGTATCAAGGTATGCACCGGCTGCAAGTCTTCTTTGAGGGCGATCCCGAATTCACCTCGTACCACAATTCGGAGCAGGCTGATCAAATAGTTGGGCGCAACAAGGACTATAACGAGTATACTCATCGAATTCACCTGGAGGACTTTCTTTCTGAACTCAAGTCTTGCCTCATTTCAGAAGATATGGTGAATAAGAAAAAGAAGAGGAAGATAATTCTGAAGCGGCGCAGGATCGTGAGTGGCTCAGAGGAAGAATGAATCTGGAGACGCGGCGGAAAAGCTCGTGGTGGAATTTCTCAACAGCATGGTACCTCCGGAAAGAGCTGAAGAGTCGGATCAAAGTAACATTGCTGTTTGCTGTGAAAAAACATAACACTGCGAGATTGGTTGTGATATGGGGCAAACCCACTGGGCACATGACAACCGAACATGGAGTTTCATTCTCGGCACACTTGCTTTTCTTCATTGTACAACTCATCAAGCACGACCTGGCGCTTGCACCAACAAAAAAATCTTTACAGCATTAAGAAAATATGGGAAGTCTTCTTGCACACGCAAGTGGACCGACCGGTTGTCTCGAGGTGTGACCCGAGCTAGCCGCCAGCCACCGGACCTTACAGGCAGCATTGCTTTGAGCAAAAGTATGTATCGATACATGATACGTGATACATGATGGAAATGCAATAGGGACATTTTGCCTCCATTGATGCAAACCAAAACTGTGCGTCGTGTCCTGCACTTTCGATAAGATAGTCCTAGTTCGTGTTTGAGAAGAATTCCCGAGGTCCCCGGGAAATGAAAACGAAGCTGCGCCAGAATCTCCCTCACGTCTCTTCTTCCTCAACCCATCTGCACGTCGTCATCTTCTCCGCCATTCTCCATGTCTGCGTCGTTATTGTGGCCGTTGGTGCGATATTCGCCACCTTGATTCCACTTGTCGCTTCCCTCGCTTTCATCTTCGGAATCCTCATCCACCATTTTGCTTTCGACTTGGCATTTGCGCGCATAGCAGCTGCCATACCCGCCGTCGCCTTTGCCTCCGATACCGATTCCAGTAAAGAGGCCCGTTTTGGTTTCTTCTATAATCTTGTCTAGGTCGACTTTGTACTGGCTTCCGTCGACTTGGCCGCCGTCGTAGATGATCTTCTTTGCGCGCGCATTGGCGGTCCGTTTGCTGCTGTGCACCGAGTCGATGCGGAAGTTGCCCTTGCTGTGGTTGAAGTCCGTAGATGTTGGGTAGATGACATCCGTGACGATGTACACGACGAGGATGTTGCCACCGCCGGAGTCGTTGAAGGAGTGTGCGCCCGCGCGTACTGATTCCAAGGAAGACCGCGTTGAATGTGTGCGTGGCGTCGGCGTGCGGTTCATATCAAGAGCATTGGTATGTGTAGGGGCCATTGTGGTTTAGAGAGCAAACGTTGCTGCGAGCCGTGCTTCTACAGAGCTTCAATCGTGCCATAGAGGGGTTGGGCAGAATATGCATGCAGCAGTGGCGTTACGGGCAGGAAACCCATGTGCACGAAGAGCAACAGCCACCTGGGCATGTCTAGAGCTCGCGAATACTTGTCAGTGCTTCCGAGCGGGATCGCTATCGTTACTGCCTTCCGCGGAGCAACTGTGGCGTTCGTTACCATTACAGAATAACTGCATATGGTATGGCCGCTCTGAAGTATGTAAAAAGATTTGTTAGACTGCGATTGGCTTCGGCCCAATATTGCGTACGCTCGATGGGTTGGACCCTGGAATTCAATTTGACACGTGATGGGCCATTTCTGAGAGATGCTCGATAATATGACGTCATGCGGGCTGGTCGAAGATGAAAGCGGCGTTGAACACGAGTATGTACGGCCGGCCAAGCGATACTCATACAAATTTCCAGATAGGACAATGCACGTGAACAAGGGTCTGCGAATTGCATCATGGCTTCAATATCAGAACCTTGGAAGGGTCCAAGCTACTGTGCGACTAAGCCGGCAAACCACTTGGACGCGATCCGAGCAGTCCACATGCATGGCTCAAAATGTGGGACGATCGGCCCATGCAAGGTACCTCCTTGTCTGCCGTGATCTGACGCCCTGCATGAGTGCATCATTCTAGAACATGTTGCTGTCGAGTCTAGATGGCCTGGAGCCTCTATTGTGACCAAAAACTTGTGGTTCTTAGACATCTACTAAACGTCGCGGCATGCACGTCCGACAACGATAGACCGGCATGTCACATCAAGGATCTAGATCTGTATTTTCAAAGTTACCACAAGGAACAGGACCCACTCCTTCTACGGTGCTTCTCATTGGTTTCGACATACGTCATGTCATGGAACACTCGGCAATCATGTTCTTTTCGGGCTGACTTCAGTGTGGGTCAGTTATAAGAGTAAAAACACCCGATTTCGCGTTACGTTGCCGGACCGATACAGTCTCATGGTTCATGTCTTGGCACCGGAACACGACTCGATGACCTGACCCCACTCAACTCACTGTGACAAGAGCCCAAGTACTTTTGCTCGAGATGGCATCGCGAAGAGGTCGCAGCCTACAGCAGGACACACATGTTGCTTAAAGAAGGAAGATGTATTCCGGTTGTACAAGCAGCACATGTCTTCGACAGTCAATGTACCTTTCCACCTGAGCGCCACTGCTAACGATGTATGCCTATGTTACAAAAGAGAAGGAACCGCAAACCCGACATGCCCATGCCCGTCATTTTCGTGGATTGTAGAAAAGAGAATGCTTATCCATGCAAACCCATGACAATTACTCTGCCGTGGCAGCCTGAGCTTCGCTAGCCGGCTTAGCCTCCCCAGCCTGGTTCTCCAGCTCAACGCTCCTCTCCTTTTGCTGATCCTCCTTGACCTCAACTGTGGGCGGCAATTCGCTGACTTCCGCCGCATCGCTGTCGACCTGGGTCTCGGGGTTTCGGCCGTCAACATCTGGGTGCGGGGGTGCAACGCCAGCTTGTTCAGCTGGTGGAGCTGGGTCATCGCCATGTGCGTCGACAAGCCCCTCGTATATCTCATTACCTTGCGCATCGACGACACGAGTGCGGGTCTCGTAACGGGTCTTGAAGCTGACTTTTCCGGCGAGTGCTGCCACCTCTTCGTCATCGAGGACGCGGCCGTTCTCGTCTCGGTATTCGATGCGTTCTTCTTTTGAAACGACCGGCAGGTCTTTCGGGATGCCTTGGGGCGGGCCTGAAACAGCAGGCTGCTCAGACACGATCTCCTCTTGCTTTGCCACGATGGGCTCCTGCTGCTGCTGCTGCTGCTGCTCGCCCGGGGGAATAACTGGCGGGGCAGGTGGCGGAGGAGCTACAGATGATGGTGTAGCAACGGCGGCGACATCGGTGTTGATTGCACTGTATGCTTCGTACTGAGAGTCAAGTTAGCTGACGGCATTCAGGATATACCAAGCGAGCTTACCGAGTCTAGAAAGTTGTTGCAATCCCAGTCCCAGGTGCTGAACAGCTTGACAGTATTGCACTGGCTCTTGGTCCATGCGTTTCCGTATGCGAGAGGTGCATAGAGGGTGAATACTGTGATGGAAAGAGCGAGGAAACCGACGGCAACAGCCTGACCGATGGCAGGGTACTTCTTCAGGCCCAGGCCGTTGAATCGATAGCTTGCAAAATCGTACATCTGGCATAGTGCGAGAATGGCAAAATAGAGCGCTGGTAAGTAGTGATGGAGGAACAGTTGCCTCGCCATCAGGTAGAATGGGAAGTAGTGGAATGCCCAACCAAGAATACTCATGCCGACTTCGTAATCGAAACGCTTGAAGGTGACATTATCATAGTCGCGGAACCCACGCTGCCATCTGATAATTGCGAGACCTTTGATGGCGATAAAGAGGCCAATGAGCGCTGTTGTACTCCACCAAATAACTACGCAAGGTTAGCAACTTTCATGGATACAGGGGCATAGGGCATGCTCACTTGGATTGCCCAGTAAATAGATCTGTCGGTTGTGTTTGCCCCAGAAATTGATTCCGCGACCAAGAATAGGCCAGGAGGGTGGGCGGGAGTCCCAGGCGTGAGATTCTGTAAGTCCAGCGTTTGTCTTCCACATAACCTTTTGCAACTCCCAGAACTTGCCAAAGAAGCCTGGGTTACGGTAGTTGACCTTTTCAGCGGATGCGTCCATCTTTGGATGGATGTTGCCTTCGATGTACCAAATACTGTTCGGGAGTGTGCCGCCACGCGCGCACGTGACTTCTTGTTGCTCGAAACCCCAGTCGGGCAACTTGACTTTGTGCGAAAATAAGACACAGCCAGTCATGATATGTACAAGCCTGAACTTAGTCTGAATGGTGCGGACACGCTTCTTGGCCTCTGCGCCATCGGAGTGGGATTTGACAATTTCAATTTTGAACATGTCATTGGCGTCACCTTCGAAGCCATCGTAACCGTAGGCGGACACCTCATTCTGCCAATCGGCTTCTGTGACAGGAGCGCGGACATCGTGAGAATGAAGACGGCGGTCAGTGGTGATGTGGTAGAGCTTGACGACGGCACCATCCTCGATGAAGAGAGGACCCATGTCGTCCCAGGCCTTGGGGCTAGTCAGGTTAGGGCCATTGTAGTCTTCCGGCATGATCGGCAGGGTCTGGTTCTCCATGATCCAAATGTTGTTCTCGTCCTTGTGCGGGTAAAGGGTGATCTGCTGCTGCTTGCTGCCTCCGGGATACATGTGGCTGTGAGAGTGGAGGTAACCACCTTGGGTGTTCCAGTGGCGAAGGGAAACGCGGCTGCCAAAAGCGACATCGGCTGGGACATCCTGCATGCCCTTGGAGTTGAGTGTGGCCTGGAACTCGGAAGACATGAAGCCATCGCCGTCGCCAGGGTTAACGAGACAAACGAAGTGGATCGCGAACATGGCCATGTAGAAAGTGACTGGAATGACAACGAGGCAAAACAAGCGCGCGAAGAAGTGCTTGAACCAGATGCGAGGGGTAACGTTCCTGGTGTCTCCAAGCAAGACCCAGAGTTGCACCAACGTCAAGCTGCCAACCCAGGCAATCGTGAACAGACCGACCCATTTAACACTGACTGTTGCACCAAGTCCAACACCAGTGGCTGCCAGCCAAAACCACCAGGACGGCTGGAATGCCTTGGAGGGGCCCTGTTCGTGTTGGTTCGTGAAGCTTGTCCAGGCGAGCGCGGTGATCGCCGTGAAGATTATGAGAGGAGAGTCGAGGAGGATCAGTCGGGACTGGGTAACAAGCGCGTTGTCTACAATGGTCAGTAAACGCGTACAAGTAAAGAAGTAGAAGTCTTACCAAAAATGACGAGACCCGCGCCCAAGGCTGCAGTTGTTGTACGGCAACCAGCAGCCTTGAGCGTCAAGAACATGGTAGGAATGGTAAGGACACCACAGATAGCGGGAAGAAGACGCATGGCGACGTACGGGACACCGGGCTCCAAGTAGTCCATGCCAATGTCCTTGAAGTCGAAACTGCCATCAAATCCACCCAACCATCCCGTCAGGGTGATCAGGAGCTTTGCGAGTGGGGGATGCACGTCCATGAAGAACTTGCCCTTGATGTACTTGGTCGCAAATCCACCGAAGCTGGGCGATGTTAGTGTCTAGGTGTGCTCATCTGACAACTTTTTGACTTACTGGACTTCGTCGAAGACGACACTACTGGGCTGAGCTATCCTGAACAATCGCACCACAGCTGCTACGACAACTAGGAGACCCAGCAACTGCCAATCTGAGCCCGGGAGGTTTAAGATGTCATAGTCTTTCACCCCTTCGGATGCGTAGCTCTTGGGCTGCACTTTCTGCTGTTGCTTGCGTCCATTTGACGCTGGCGACCTTGCGGGCGAACGTGCCGGAGAGCGTGCTGGTGATCGCGAGGGCGACTTTCCTGAGCGGCGCGTATTCGGCTTCTCGCTCAGGTACTGGTTCGTTGCCTGTCGGCTCGCCATGATGGCGTAGTGTGGGGACGTATTGCGGTCGATCAAGTGGTGGGCTGAAGCTGCGACGAGCGTCGTAATAGCTCCAAGATTACGGAAACCAAATGTGAGCTCTCCCTAAAACATCAAGGGAAGTTAAAGAGAGTATGAAGAAGAGGCCCAGCAATTGGGAGGTGGGCGGCGTTGCAATGGTTTTGAACAGCTAGGGGGGCAGCAGTCCCGCGTAGTGAGGTAACCCTTGTCCTTGCGTTCGAGGAAAGTCCACCGTGTCGTTCCAGGTTGCAAAGCGCGCTAGCGAGGAGAGCTGAGAATAGTTACGAGCTCGTCGCCTAGTGCACTCAACGACGGAAATAACATGAATTTCTTCACGATGCTATTGTATGTAGTTGATGACACCGCAATGCTTCCGAATTCAGTTTGACAGCCGTTGCACAATTTGATACGGTTCACTACTGCACTGGATGCTTCATGATGTTGCTGCGCTTGGCAGAGGACTGGCCCGTGCGCCTCCCGTGCCTCCAGATTTCCTGCAACAAACTCACCTCCGCAACCTCTCAATTGTCGATCGCATCTCGAATCCGCTGCAGTCATGGCAAACTCAAACGGTGACGCGCCCCCAAGCTACGAGCTCACCGTCAAACCCCCGCCGAGTCTGACGATCCCCCCGCCTGGTGTACGCGAGAGTGTCGCAAAAACGGCCGACTACGTCGCACGCCGCGGCGATGGCATTCTCCACTCCATGAAGGAGCGCGTTGCGGGCGATCCGAAGAGCGCATTGCACTTTGTTGTTGACGAGGACCCGTACTTCCCGTACTTTGCCTGGTACGTGCAAATGCTAAAGGAAGGCAAAGGCAAGACCACCCAGCAGTCTGCTCAGCACGTAATCGACAACACGCCCAAAGGCCCCCCGGAGCCAGCGCAGTTCCGATTCTCCGCGCGTATGCCCAACATTAGTGCCAAGGATCTCGACGTGTTGAAGACGACGGCTCTCTACACTGCGCGCGTGGGTGAAAACTGGCTCAAGGAGCTGCGCACCCGCGAAGCTGGCAACCCACAGTTCGAGTGGCTGCGCGTCAACCACAGCTTCTTCCCGTTCTTCCGCTCCCTTGTTGAGCAGTACAAGATCCTCCTTGAAGAAGAGAAGACGGTCGAGGCACGCAAGGAAGAGCTACGCCGCAACATCGAAAACCGCTTCCATGTACTCGACCGAGCGAAGCAGCGTGCAGAATACGTCAAGTTCGTTAGCGCGCAGAAGGAAAAGGAAGAAAAGAAGGCCGAGGACGAGAAGAAAGAGTATGCCACCATTGACTGGCAAGATTTCGCTGTTATTGCAACCGTCTTGTTTGATGAAGTCGATGACAACGCAGATCTCCCTCCGCCCGCGCTTCTCAACGACCTGCAGTCTCAATCACTCGAACAGAAGGCGGAGGTGTCGCTTTCCACGAGGCGTCTGGAAGAAGCTGCGCCTGACGAACAGACGTACTACAACGTGACCCAGCAATACGTGCCCCCGCCGATGCATCCTGCGTATCCCATGGCGCCCGCTGTTCAGGCCCCGTACGGCGCATATGCACCTCCACCACATGATTACAGGTCGCCAGCCGAGAGGGCGCGCGAGGAGGAGCAGGCACGACAACAGGCTGAGCAAGACCAGAGAGCTCGCGCACAAGCTGCGACGAGGGGCGCTCCTGGTCGCATTGTTACAGACTACGTTCCCCGCGCAGCCGCAAAGAAGGCCAACGTTGCGCTAGCCGTGTGCCCTAACTGCAAGCAGAGCATTCCTGCGAACGAGATGGACGAGCATATCCGAAGTGAGTAGCGCCTTGCAATTACGCCAAGAATCCTTTGCTAACATGTTGTTCTAGTCGAACTGCTTGACCCTCGCTGGAAAGAACAGCGCGACAAGATGGAAGCTCGTTACTCGACCACGATCAACACCGCCGAAGTTGCGAACAACCTCAAACGCTTTGCCAGTCAGCGTGAGGACATTTATGATGGCGTCAGCGGCAACAACGTCTCGCCAGAGGAAGAAGCGCGTAGGAAGAAGGCAGCTCTGTCCTATGATGGACATGTCGATCCCAACAAGGTGGCGCAAATGCAGAACGTTAATCTGCAAGATCAGCTTCGCGGGATCCAGGAAAAATACCGACAGTAAGCGTGAGTATTTTCCATGCAGCGGTTCTTTCCTTTGTTTGTGCATTCTGCCTTTACACGAGCGAGTCTTTCATCAATGCATTGGGCGGCGTTTTGGAAGCATACAGTGGTGTGAATACCCGGAGGACGAAGGAAGCGAAAAGAATGGTACTGGAAGTGCATGCGCACGGTCGAGGAGGAAAGTGACAGACGTGAAGGCTTGTCAGCTCTAGACAGGAGGGAAGCTGCATTAATCTGGGTACGATGGCTATGGGATTCGCAAAGAGGCGCAGCGTACCGCAGCATGGGGAAGACCGAGCAGAAAAGCGATTGATGGTCGGTTCTCGACCAGTGGATGCTGAGCTGGTCCGCTGTGGTGGTATGACGCAGAGCGCAGTGTATAACAACAGGACTTTGGGCCCAGATCGCTTGTCCTAGACATTCAAAAGTAATTGAACGGAGCGTCTTCAAAATCGGTTTGATCAGTGATGTTCCCATGCGTGTCGCTGCAATTCCCCGCAGAGCTTGTCCGCGTCCACTAGACTCGGAGTATTAGGCTCACCTCCGATGTCAAGCCAGCCTATGTCATAGTCGACATTTATTTCCCATGCGACACCTCCACACATAACACACCCCACACTATGTCATTAACACAGGCAACAAAAGGCGACATGCCCTACCAAGTGCGATCCCTTGTACGTCCCACCTTACTGTCGACGACTTTTCCGTCGCTATCCCAATCGCCGCATTGCACGCCAGAATCGATGCAGCCCACCACCACCGCAACCCACGGCGAACGCATAGATAGCGACGCACGATAAACGGCGAATTCATGGCTGACTTGCGCGTCTAGTATCGATCCCTCCTGAGACAAGGCGGACAGTTTGCCGCCTACAACTTCCGCGAGTACGCCAAACGAAGGACGCGCGATGCGTTCCGGGAAGCAAAGAGTGAGACAGAGGAGAGGCGGGTGCAAGAGCTTATGCAGAAGGGGCTGAAGGAGCTGCAAATGTTGAAGGTGTGTCTCTGCAATAGCCCGTGGGTCCTCGAGGCCACTGGAGGTCCAGGTTTCGGCGCGGAGGATGTGTGGCGAGAACACCAGCGACCTCATGGGCCTGTATACATCCGTGGCTGTCCTGAATAGACATTGGCAAGGTCTCATCGTCGAGAGGTACGGCTGCTGACTTTCGGAACAGAGACAAACCGTCATATCACAATTTTACCAGCTCGACCGGTTAGTCGTCGAGGGCGGCAAGCAAGGAAAGCAGACTGGCAACAAGGGAGACATCGTAAGGCAGAAGGACCAAGGGTGAGTAGACTCTTTATCTACCGCAACACAGGCTAACAAGATTAGGTGGGATTGAACCATCATGTAGTTGTTGATGAAGTCATGAATGTTGATCTTTCGATCATGTAACACTATTCACACTCCTCTCGTATGACTGAGCACGCGTGTATAAAATTAGGATGGCGATTCTACATGGGCAGTATGTTATCGCACTTCCACAAAGGACAGGTTATCAATGAAGAGTGGTCGGTGCCACGTGCTCATACAGCCATCTACCATATGTACAAAATCATACATTCACCCAAAAGTCACATGTGTTTCTGCGATGCTTTTGACAGTGTTACCCAGCCTTTCTTTCGCCATGCTCAAAAAACAGTCTCGGTGGCTGAATCTGTGGCGTGTAGCGAATCAGCGCGCCCAAACGCACGAGCCACGCAGTCGCAACTTCACGTCCGACGCGCCTTCCCTTCACCACACCGCGACTTCCCGCTGCAGACCCTCGCGCCTGCCTCCACCCGATCTGCGCGCTACCGTCTACCCAGGCAGCTGCATAGCACCATGGCTCCGGTAAGTGTGACGAGATGTTTCTACTTGGTGTTACTCGGACATCTACATGTTCTGTTTCGCGACGCGTGCTGCTTTCACGTGCACGTTGCCATTCTTATCGTCGCACTCTATCCAACAAATCATCCTCTTTCATCTCGTTATACGCCATGCCCAGAAAGGTGATGTGCTTTGCAATGAGATGGCCGTCATCCTACAGTAGCTTCCAATACCCTACATCCATGCACCCAACACGAACTGGTCCTCCGCATCAAATCCATCAAGATCCATCATCACTTCGTCAATTGCTTCCTCGCACATTATGTGTAGTTCATGTCAAAACGCCAATGCTAACAGCATGATTAGTTTCGGAACAGAGACCGGTCCAATAGGTCAGGACGCGGTCAAATAGAGCACAATGTACTAGAAGGACTTCCAATCAACCAGTATCGAGAGGTCGAGGTCACCATCGGGGCCAATACGGATGATCATAGGCCAGCCGACAAGGATGCATGGCCTGAACTTCCCATGCCACGAGACTCTCACATGTTACCGGAGCATTCCCAACAGCTGTTGCGTGCTGCACGTGCTGGGCGCGTCTACAAGTTGCCAGCTCCGGTCGAAGATGACAACGACGTAGAAGATGAGGAGAAAGAGCAGAAAGAGGTCCAAACTGGATTCACTGTCAAGAAGTATGTCAAGGTCGCGCGCCACCTCGAAGCGACCGAGCCGGAGTATCTGGCGAAGAGGCGGAAAGGACTCCCATCTCAGTATGTCATGAATGGAGTAGCACAGCCAGCATTGCGAGAAACGAAGGTAAAAAAGCTGGATGCGGAGGGAAATGCCACTGTGTACAAAGTCCTTGTTCCAGAAGGGCAAGCTGTTGCTGGCGAGGTCCAGCCTACGGACGATGCGATGGAAGTTGCGCCGGCCACAGCCGCTCCCGGAACTATTGTAGAGGGAGTTGGTGTCGTGAATGCACAGGGTGTTGTGGTAGCCAACGACATTTTGACGCAAACACCGCCCCGAAGACGGCCCCCGCCTCCCAAGAAGAAGCGTGGAGGCCCAGGTCGTGGCAGGAAGAGAGTAAATTTTGTGGAGGGAGCAGCAGAGCAAGGAACGCCTGCGCCCAACGCCGGCGGTGATCACCTTGCTGTGCCCGGTTTGAAGCAAGAAGGCGGCTCCGTGGAACCATCCGATGGCGATACACCAATGGCTGATGCTGGCGGGGAGGATGACGAGGGCTCTGGCGATGAAGGCTCAGATGAGGAAGACCACGATGGTGAACATGCTTCACATCCAGCGACTCCAGTGACACCTTTGAGACCGGCACCACCGCCAACGAGCGCGCCAAACTTGGAGACCACTGAGATACCGACTCTGGACGCCGCAATTACTTCATCCACAACCGCCGCGATCGCTCCAGAAGCCACCTCACAGCCGTCTGCAAAACAAGAATCACCCTTGCCGCCTGCAAAACAAGAATCGCCCTTACCGCCTGCAGACGCGTCCAAGGCGACCGAGCCAAGCGCGATGCGTGATGCTTCTAGCTCGCCCGATCTACCGCTGTCGACAATGTCACATAGCCGGCAAAATTCGCTGAATCAAATCCCAACTTCTGCGACTGTCGACGAACCAGAACCTATGGCTATCGACACGACTGAGGCAACTGAAACCGTTGAGCCTCAACCTAAGCCTGAGCCCGAGTCTGCCCTCGCCCCTGCGGTGGCTCCAGTATCTGAATCTGCAGCTGTGGGCGCGACCGAGCCTGAGGCCAGCCAAGCGCCGTCCACAGAGGAACGTTCCGCTCCACCATCTGAGCCTGATCTGATGGCTAGCCTGGACAGGCATCTCGAGAAGGACAGCGAAGACATTGCAGGTTCTTGAAATGAGTCGCATTGTGGGGTTACTGGCTGACTATCTTCATGAACACAGCTAAGCTTGCGCGCACCTAGGCCGAGGTCAATCACAGTTCTGCAGACTTTACGCGATCTCGTCCGGGCTCTCCGTTAAATTCTTTCTCATAGATTACCAGTTTTCTTCCGGCGTTCTCACCAAAACACCTGTTGTGTTTGGATACACTGTGCACTATGGTAAGGAAGGTTGGAACTTAAATACATTTATCATCATCCACAGACGTAGTATCGAAGAATCATTCATATCTTCTTCTTATTCTCCTGCGTGTTCGGGTCATGAAGATCATCTAACGGCAAGCTGTACCGAACCCCACGTTCATTGGTCCGATACGTCATTAGACCTATCTCCGTCGGGAAAGCTGCATACCCCTCCCAACTCTCTCGCAACGACATCGGCGTACTCTTACAACGCGAAAAAGAAGTGCTACTCCGCAGATACGGCAGTCGAATGATTGCTCCAAATATCTTCTGGTTAATACTGTGATAAGCTTGACTGAACAGGACTGCACATACACTACTCACAATACATAACTCACCATATCGAAAGTCAATATATCAAACTATCCACCATGCCTTCAATAGCAGAAACAATCAAAACGCACCGCCCAAACCTAACATCCTACGAAGAACTCTGTACGTTCCAACACTTATCTTCCCTTCCGCTCGCCCACCTGACCCAACGAAGACAAATACTTCCACGCCAACCCCGAACTCAGCTTCCAAGAAGAATCTACCGCTGCCTCAATTGTCAAGCACCTGGAGTCACTCAACGTGTATGCCATCCACGCGTCCATCGGCGGTCACGGCATCGCCGCGGTGCTAAAGAATGGGCCGGGTAAGACGCTTTTGTTGCGCGCGGACATTGATGCGCTGCCTGTAGAGGAGAGAACAGGCCTGGCGTATGCGAGTACGAAGCGCATGAAAGATTTGGAGGGTGTGGAGAAGGGAGTCATGCATGCTTGTGGACATGATATGTAAGTGGTGTCATGTGATTTGATGCTTGGACTAATGGTTTGTTGCTAGGCATATCACAGCGCTTCTTGGTGCGGCGGAGACCTTGGCGAAAGCGAAAGATGCATGGAGTGGGACGCTGGTGTTGGTGTTTCAACCGGCGGAGGAGAAGGCGGGTGGGGCGCAGGCGATGGTTGATGGTGGATTGTATGATCGAGTACCTGTGCCGGATGTTGTTGTGGGCGCGCATGTCATGCCTGAGAGAGCTGGTATGTGGGTGATTTATCAGGCGGAGAGAAAGTGAGCTAACTATTTGCAGGAGTTATTGGGACAAAGAGAGGGCTGATTGCTAGTGCGGCGGATTCGTTTCAGTAAGTATGGGAGTGATAGAATATACCTGTGAGCTGACTTGAAGCAGGCTCAAGATTGAAGGACGGCAAGCGCATGCTTCGACACCTCACCGGGGTATTGATCCGATCGTACAAGCTGCATCCACCGTCACGAGACTTCAAACCATCGTAGCTCGTGAAGTCGATCCGCTAGATTTTGCAGTGGTAACAGTATCTGCATTCCATGCAGGCGATGCAGAGAACATCATCCCGGAAGAGGCGAACCTGAAACTCAACATCCGCACTGCACGACCAGAAACCCGCGACCATGTTCTTAGGAGCGTCAGGACGATCATCGACGCCGAGGCCACCGCATCCTCAAACCCTACTCAACCCGTGCTCACTCCAACAACACGCTTCCCCTTCCTCTTCAACGACGCAGACATCACCAGTGCCTTGGAGCAGAGTTTCGCGGAGTACTTCAAGCCCGGCAAAAACAGCTATCAAAGCGATATTTCGCGCCTCCAAGGCAGTGAGGATTTCGGTATTCTAGCCACAGCTGTGGGGAAGCCGAGCTGTTTCTTCTTGTATGGCGGTGTCGACCCTGAGGTATATGACAAGGCGGAGAAGGAAGGCAAGATGAAGGAACTGCCTGGAAATCATAGTCCGTTCTTTGCGCCGGTCATTCAGCCGACGTTGACTAAGGGGATTGATGGATATGTTGTTTCTGCGCTGACATTTCTTGGGAAGTAATGATGGCCAATCTTATTATACCTTATACGCAACCTGACTCCATTTGGTGCTGATGTCAGGATCTGCTATTAAATCAAGTTAGCCAGCTTCTGCGCGCAGTATTCTGGCACGGGCAAGGCAAACATAAGCCAGTGAAGATTATTGTGGAGTGTATCCCAGCTCTGCAACTGCGTTCAAGACTCTATGTACCGCCTTACGACTTTGAGCAGCTGTGGAAGATGTTCTTATCTCCCGGTCGCTTGAGCGAGAACTAATGGGAGTAGTGAAAGGAAAACGCGTGCAAGTAGCACTAGTCAGGCCTTGGCACCCGCGCAAACGCTCATACACACTTATGCACCGGCCTTGCTCAGAAACACTCTGCTACGGCGCTCACGACTTTGTTGTTTTGATCAGTTACGCGGCTAAACAAGTCAACCGCATTGCGTCAATCGGCAGTCGCCACTAGCAATCGAAAGCATGTCCTTTAGTAAGCTATCCACAGAGCTCGACCCTAACATTGCCGCACACCTTTTCGGCGATACTCACGGCTTGAGTACCTTCTCAAAGGTCTCGAAATACTTTCGCAACATCGTGGAGTCATATCTGTACCGGGACATCGCCTTCCATGATCGTGACACCTACTATATCAGATGTTAGCTAGTCGCTATCCTCGACTGCCCAAGTGTTGCTTTGCAGATCAATCAGTTCAGTCTTGCCCATGATGGGAATATGTGGAGAGAAGCCGATGCGCATGCAGTCAATCTTGCGCAAGAAGCTTTGGGACTGAGCCAATCAAATTCGAGACAGGGTCGATCAAGTTATGCGTCCCTTTCCAGAAGAGATCTAGAGAACTGCTGGTATTCAAGCCGTTGATTTCTGTCACGAGTGTCCCGGATCATGCTACAGATCTCTCACTGCAGATTAAGTGGCTGCTCTTATCATGTGCATTGCGCAAAACCTCGATTCCGTGTCACTCCGCGAAGGGGAACAATTGCTCTCGACGCGATTCCAACTTGGTGAGGAAGGCTTCACATGGCACCTATCTATTCATTTTTCTTATCGGCCTCACATCAGCGAAAAGTCTCTGCTCTTAATTGCACCAGCCCCAGACAAAACATTGCGCGCGTATCTAGTCGTTGTAAACTTGCATTGCTAGTAAAGATCGTGGTTCCCACCTATCGCACAAACACTTTAATCCCGTCGCACCATGTTGAATATTTACATCTCGAAAGCTCTCCTCCAACACATCACCGTGTCTCTTATGTCTTGTTCACCTAAGGTCCTGTCACTTAGTCGTCCTTCTCGCGGCACTGCAAGAACTGTCCCTTAGCAGCACCCTCGTGGGTCCAGAGCCCGATGAACTCCGCGTCATCCGAATCACCTGAGTGTAGGTACATGACACGCTCAGGCTTTGCTGGCCGTTGACCGTTGAAAGCGCCCTTTCCGTTCTTCATGGGAAAGTGCTGTACATTCTGTAATGGTGTACGAAGTCAGTGCGTATTCGTATTTGCAGGCAAGTTTTCCATAAATTCACTTACCTTGGCGTCTTTGTATTTGTCCGGGATACCTGGCAGGGAGCTAGGAGTTCCGATGGGGGCTATAACAGCATTATTGGTATGGTTGTAACCGAAGGAGGTGAGTGTGTGACTTACAGGGAAACGGGTTGTCGTTGCCGTTGCTGACTTGTTTGCCATCTTTGGCAAGTTCAACGCCCTTCGTAATCGCGGCATTGATTTCGTTCTTTTTGTAAGTTACCGTCTTGCCGTCCTTACCGGGACACACCCAGTCCTCTTCTGGCTTGTTGTCAATGTCAACGCCTCGGGCCTGAAGGGCAGAGACACCTCCAACTGGTGGCTGAGGGATAGCGGATGCAAGTGCCAATGAGGCATAAAGAGCTGCGGTAAAGATCTGGAACTTCATATTGAAAGCTGTAGTCGGGTATATTGTGGTATTGTATGAGTTGGATTAGGTGTGAAGAGTGAAGATGTGATGGTTTGATGATGATGTTGGGTACAAGATTGCCCTTATAACTCAATCCAGAACTCACCGACCTGCGTATCCTTCAGGCCATCATCCAACACTGCTGGATTCCCTGATCGGCAAGGACTTCAAGGCACACATTGGACGGGTACTCCAAGTCTCAACATGAGATGCCGTAGCGACGGGAGTCCTGAGGCTGAGTGACGCGCACGCGGAAGGACGAAAAGAGCCGACCCGCAAATGCCAAAGCCTTACCAGAATGAGCGCGAACTTTTGCAAACCCACAGGACTATGCTCTACTTTTTGCGCTACGCACGCATTTAGAGTCACATGAAACAGTATTTGAGGATCTATAATCAAAGACTAGGTAATATTCTACAGTCCTGCCTTCCTAGATGTCCCCTTCATCGCCCATACGTCAAATTAAGCATAATGCTGCAAGGCGGTTCGGGAACCCGCTGTTTCTTTCCTTCCGCGTGCCGCGCTGACGATGCAAGCTGAAGCTACACAGCCTCGCGTAAGGCCCCCAGCTGGTTGGGTGCCTTACTCGGATGATGCCGCTGTAGTACATGACGGTACGCAACTCCATCGCCATCTAGAATTTAGGTGCCAGTCAAAATCCTTTTGATGGTGGCCTGTGTTTGATCGGCAGCTGAAGGCTGGCTTGCACGGACATGAAGAAGCCTCACTACGTAAGTACGGAGTTGTATCATGGTCGCCTTAACGCTGTACAACGGTGATCACTATCACTTGGTGTTTCGATAAAAATACATACCCCACAAATCCTGCCCCTGTCTATCTTTCCGGACTGCGAACTCCAAAGCTCATGTTCGGTGCAATATGACGTCAGTGGTTGCCTACTCCAGCACCATGGTACTCGGGCCATATTCACGTTTGCACTGCCCCGTCAAGTATTTGAGCACTCATCACTGAGAGTCTACTTAAGCGTTGTCGCGCGCTTATCTCGGAATCTGCTCACCTTCCCGCACGAATACACACTCAAGATGTCGAACTCCAAAGCAGAACTGCCAACACTGGCAGGGAATTGGGAACAATTCTCCGAAGGCGATGTAGTGCACGACCAGCTCTCAGCACTGAAGCAGCATCTCGTAAGAAGCTCCACAATGCGAAGCTACTAAGCACTCAAGATCGCACGGCTGACATTCCCAGGCTGGTAAAATAACAGCCGACTCATGCGCCCAGCAAATCTCATCTACAGTCCCAAAAGCCATGGTAGACGGCACCGCGGCCAACGATGAAGACGACTCTGAAGACGACTACGATGCTGTGTATTCTGCCGTATACAGCATTTTCACCAACCTTCAACACGCCGCCATCACGAACCCCCAGTACCAAGCGCCCATCATCACTCTTCTTCACGCTATAAAGCGCCTCCCCACACAAACAGTATGCAAGACACTACGCATTGCAAATGTAAGTCGAGTCAGGCACTGACTTCTTAATACAGGTCCATGCACCCACACTGCGCAAACACGCAGACCCCGGCCCCGAAGCCATTAAATGGGCAGAACTCCCAAACTTCAGCGGGCAGATCCTTGACCGATACGAGTACGCCAAACTCCAATTCGACAAATCCCCGTCCGACCATGCCGCGGAGTGGGCCAGCATCAATGCGTGGATTGCGCGCCTCGTGGCCACAGATCTGAAAGGTCCCAAGGATATGGACTACTTCATGCACCGTGCGAGCTATAATTTCCTGTACGTGCTAGATATCCGCGGGCACCCGAGTTCTACGGCAGCAGTGCCGGCGGCGGCAAACCTGTTTCGGTTTGCGGGGCCTGTGGTGTGGAGGTTGTGTCAGGATGAGACGCCGTGTTCGGGTCCGCTGATAGGGATCTATTCTGAAAAGGAGGTGGAGAGAGTGAGGGTGGGTGGAGAAGTGGTATTTAAGGGGCTGGGTTACTCGATGGAGAGGTGGGGGTGGTGGAAGGAGCGATGGGGGCAGTTGGCTAGTGATGATGGTCTTGGGGAGGATGGAAAGGCGCACGCGAGAGAGGCGCTGGAGGCTATGCGGGAGGCGGAGAGTAGCTCTTAAAAGGTCGAAATACACTCTGTGGTATGGCCATGCTCAGTTCCCTCCGTGTTATAATGAGAGTCACATTTCGCGTGCAATATAAGCCCCTGTTTTCGTTACAAGTGCTTCAACGCGTAGAAGCGGCATAAACTTTCGCATATGTGCTGGGTTTAGGAGCTGTTGTGGGTGATTTGCTTAAAGTCGTTGTGTTTCTAGGTTACTCATGAAGTTCCTGAACCGCTCACTGTTGTCAGTGAAAAAGACAGTAATTATCCTTTTATTCCAAAATTACGTATTGTAACGATAGTAACCTTCACATGTGTTGTAAACATCGCAATAGCACCTCTCAAGCGCGGGACAGCTTATCAAAGTTAGCAGCCGCACATCCTATTCTTAATTCTTTGAGTACTTACTAAACGGGATCTTGACCGAACAATACATGCCAAAGATACTCAAACACCCGCCCACTCGTCTCGTCTTTTAGCGGAGTTTCCATCAACCACGTGTAGTACTTTTTGTATTCTTCCAACGACCGCTTCTGTACTTGATCCCTCGACACGGCAAATTGCGCACAGCAAGGAGTGGCCAGTACTTGCGGTACATTTGTATTGTTGAACAAGTCTCTCCACGCATCTGGCATTGCTGCTTCGATTGTTCGATGGTCCTCAGGCGGGTCTCGGAACGGCATCACTTCATTCGGACAGCCGGGCTCCGGATTACAACGCAAATTTGCGTAGCCATTGCTCTGGATGAAGTTCAGGTTGAGAGTCTTCAAAGAGACTACGTTGGAATGTTCTTCGTTGTCTGTATGCCAGGCGATTGGGTAGCCTTCTTTGTGTGGATGAAGAAATGCGATTGTCGAAGGGAGGTTGTTGTAATTCTGTACGATGTATGCGAGGTATGCATTTGCTTCCATTCCTTTGTTTCGAAGGGTGCGCAGTGTACCGTTCGTAAGCGGGTCCAGAGTCGATGTGCTGTGCGGAGTTTCGGTGTCGATATCGTAAATGGCTGATTGCCAGTCTTGCAGATCCGTTTGTACCCAGCTTGTGTCGTCTGTGGGAAGCTTTGCCATTACCACGACGCGATCAGGGAGCAATGGGCTAGGTGTTGCGACGACTGTGTTTCGCATCAATGCGCTTGTATGTTGAGGAGTCGTAGACGCCGGTGATGTCCCCTCTTTCGTGCTGCCATGCACAATTTTCTGTTCAAGTATCTTTTGCTGCTCTTTAACTTCTGTTGCCCCATATCGCCATGGTCTCCTAGCAATGCCGGTCTCTACAGCTGATTGGACATCATTTAAGTGGGCGTTAAAGAGGAACCATGCGCCGAGCATGAACATTGCTACCAACACCAAGAATTCAATTCTCCTGCGGGACCGCGTCATTGCTCAATGAAAAATGGTTGGGGTACTCGAGAGGGGATCGAATTGTACAGGCGACGGCCTGTTCTATAGAATTGGTAGATTTGTCCAAACAGGATCTCGTGAGAACTGAATGATTGCCTCGCGCGCACATACGCAGCTGATTAAGGTGTCTAGGAGAGATATGGGCGACCACGAGTTGAAGAGCGACTGGACCGCGCGGCCTAAAGCAAGTTCTCAGAGGAGACGTGAATTGTGCCTTTGAAACGATCAAAAGGAAGGCTTTGTTGCAGCCTGCAGTCTGGCGATGGGGCAATGGGGCACAGCTCAGCTATTATGAAGACACGTACAAGGGAGTCCGCGCGCGCGGGACAGGCGCTTATCCTACCACTCATCCATAACCTGAGTGCAACAGCATGCTACAAGCAGGCAACGCCCGACCCATTTGTTGATTCACCCTCGGAGTTGAAGAATGTTCTGGGTTGGCGCTAAGCGGCGTTCGCTGGTTGGCGGATTCATGTTCCTGGCGCTAAACCTAGGTGATCGCGATGCAGGAGACCACGAGCAGGACTGCAGTACAACACCAAGTTGAGATGGATGTGACAAGCCGCTTATTTAAGAGCTATCGCCCGAGACCATCTCGTGGCTTTATTGTTCCCTACACCGGCAGATCGCTCTTTCGTCCTCCCTCACGTCGCAACCTTCAACATTGAGCATTCGAATGGGTCTGTTCCCACTGTTTCTGGGAGTTTCACACTTCGTGGCTATTGCGAAGAGTCAGTGTTAGTCACAGCCCGTTGTCGCACCTATCCAGAATGTATCTTTGCCCAACGGAGCCTTTGTAAGAGGGATTTCTATGACTGTTGGCTCCAACAACCAGAACATATCATTCTTCGCTAGCGGGTAAGTCTTGATATATAGAACACAACTTTTGTTACCCCGATTGTAACGAGTTGTGCCACAACCTCGAAGAGCTTAGGAATTTGGGTTGGCTAACTAGAGCCGCTTGTAGTGATTACAACGAGACCTACATTTACGGAACATATGGATTCTGTATGGGCTACTCATCTGGAGCATGCGTGAAATTCCGTGGCGGCGCATATGACGCATCAAAATCATCTACGGACAAATCAATCGGTAATCGAAAGGCCAGTGATGGCTTCGAAGCGAATTGGACAGAAGACAGTTTAAGCCTGGGCAGCAACATCTCACTGTCTTCATTTGGATTCGGCGTTCCAAAACAGGATCTCAACCAAGCTTTCACCAGCCAGTCTCAACTGGGCCTAGGTAGGAACTCATCCTTCCTGCGAGCACTCGTCTCCGCCGGCGATATAGGTACAAAAGCATACTCCTTGTTTTGGGGACTCGTCGGCGGTCCTGTGGAAAAGCAGACTAGGGGATCATTGGCCCTCGGTGGCTTGGACAAATCGTTGATCGCAGATCAAAATGACAATTTCACGGCGTCGCTGTTCTATGGCAGTAGATGTGGGACAGGCATGGTGGTAATGATCAGCGACATCCTTCTGAACTGGCCGGATGGTACCGATACCAGCATCTTCATGGGATCGCAATCAGCGGTCATGCAAGCGAGTATCAGTCCCAGTTTCGTAGGGCTGATGTCCCTTCCATTAAGCTACTACAACAGCTTTTGGTCGCTCGCAGGCGTTCCGCCTGCGGATAACAAGAGTGAGGCGAGAAGCCTCGGTATTAATTACTTCACAATGCTCTTTGACCCAAAAGATGTGTAGGTGCCGCGTCGATTCTGTTCGAAAGGCATACAGCTAAAAGCCATGATGTAGTCACTACGGTGGCCTGACAATCAAGCTTCAAAATAGCATCTCCGTAGAAGTTCCTAACACCGAACTAGTCGTTCCCGACACATATATCGCGTCAAACGGCGCAGTTCAGACTAATACCTCGGTCCGCAACATCGTAATCAATTCCGTTCAGCTCGACAATAACAACGATCTACCAGTCCTTGGCCGACTGTTTATGAGTTCGGCCTACGTGATGGTTAATCAAGAAGCTGGGAAATTTCCCGTATGGCAAGCAAATACGGGATCGAAGAATTCCGAGATTGTCGCAGTGGATAGGCAAAATAATATGGTCAGTGAATTCTGCGCCAATTCTACGGGCGGCTCATCAAGTGCTCCATCCCTGCCCACATCATCCACCGCATCGTCTCCACAAAATGAAGGATCAAAATTGTCAGGCGGCGCGATCGGTGGGATTGTTGCTGGTGCGCTGGGAGGTTTTGCCATTTTGGGCATCATTGGCTTCTTTTGGTACCGGAGACGAAGATCAGGCAGCGCTGCAGCAGAAGTGGCACAAGAACCAGAGTTGCAGAGAGTAGATGCGAAAGTGACTACGTATAGCATGGTGCAAGCCGCACCTCAGGAGCTTCCTGTAGACCAGTATGATGCACCAGAGCTGGATAGTAGAGCCATCAATAAGAATAGATATTAGCATAATAATTAATTGGTCAATGTAGATGCATCATTTCTCCTGGCTCCATGCAAATGAGTAATTTTGGCGTGCCGAAGTAAGCGCTTTCGAACGCTGCCCTTCATCGAACCGTGCTGGATCGCACTGAAATCTTCAAGAATGCCCTTGAAGCCACGCCGCAACGACTTCTTTCACGAAGAATTGCTGTACCAACTTCTGATTGTAGGAACTAGCGAGTTTTGAACGCCTCTGAAAAAAAAAAAGTGGACTTCACAGTTAGATGGCTGCTAAATTCGCAGGCTATCCTGCGCACGAGAATACCTATCGCCATTTGTATGAAATGTCTTAAGAATGATAGCCTAATAATATAACATATCTACCTTTATGCAGTGCCCTTCGCGAGGACTACTATTCCAAGGAAACGAGTGTACAATCTAAACTTGTGAACCCTCAAAGTAAAAGTAAAAGTAATTCTTATTACTAATTACGTAGTGTTTCTGCTGCATGTTCGGCGTATCCATGATCTTTAGTTCCTTGTCTCCCTTTTTGGATGATGTACGGGCTTTTCAAGAGCCTACGTGCGAACATAGATTCCTACCATTGAACGTCCAGGTACACACATCGCCCCAGATACTCATTTTGATCCACATCGCCACCCATACCGCCTCTTGTCATTCCCTTCCATCAATTAAGCACACCAAGCGCTCCCACCCTCTTGCTTATCTGTCCCCTCCTCATTCTCGCCCATCAGACCCGCCATCTTCAGCAAATTGCTACTGACATGGGCACCCGCAAACTCAACCTTATCGCCTTCCGCCTGCGGCTTCCAGTTGTCGCGCAGCTCGGTCGCTTCCTCCGCCTTCAAGCCGCCGGTAGCAAGAGCCTGCATCTTCATCTTCTCAACCTTAGTCTCCTGCCTGGCGATGCGCTCGGCGAGCTTAGTGCGACCTTCCTGCAACTCAGGATTGCTTGTGGGAGTAACGCTAAGCGCGAATTTCATCTGTTCAAGTTGCTCCCTCGCCATGTCGAGCTCGGCCTGTTCGGGGGACATCTCGGGTGGAAGTGACAGGAAGTCAGCAACGTACGGGTCGTCTGGGTCGAGCGCGAGGGGATTATCAAGAGAGGGTTGGGGAACAGCAGTGTAGGGCTTGAAGTTGGGGTTGCTGTAGTTGGAGGGGTCTTGGGCGACTTGTTCGAAGAATTCGAGGATAGCATGCTGCACGGCAAAGTCGGTGAGGATACACTCGCCAGCGGAGTCGCGGCCGCCTGCAAAGGTAGGGCAGGTAGGTGCTATACTGTTTGACCAGCTATCAGAGGCAGACGAGTCAACAGGAGCGTCTTCGACTTCCTTTGACAAAGCCGTGTCGACCACGAGACTGTGGAGGGCGTTGGTAATGGTAGCCAAGACGCTGGTTTTAGGAACCTTTTCGTTCCAATCGATGTGGTGAGTGACCTGGGTATTGGATGGTGTGTCTTGGCGTGGACTGTAGCCTTTAGGCAGCTCCATGCAGTCTTTCGGACTGATGCTGAGATCCGAGTACCTCCACTCACAGGCACGCCGGCAGAGAAAGGCTCGGATGTTGGGGTCCTTGACCTGCAGATCATCAACGAGAGAATGGACCAGTGCCATGGCGGTGACACGGCCGGCGTATTTCTTGACTGTTGCTGTTAGTGTGGTCGATCAAACAGCGAACATGTGACTCACAGTCTCTCTCAAGCAGATTCAACATATACTCTGATCCACCCTCGATTGCAATGACGTACACCTCAGCATCGGGTGCAATCCGGTCAGGGTCACAGATGATGTTGTCGAAGACGGACATAACGTGCTCTCTCGGGTCGCGGTGACCTTCAATGCGGTTCTCCACGTCATGGATCCTGATCATGTCGTGTGATACAGACTTGCGCGGCATTGCGGACCAGCTGCGCATGGTCATGGCCTTCTCGTACTTGTGGGAGTATAGCAGCTGTCCAGTGTTCATGACCACCAGAGCGGGGGTGTTGTTGTCATCCTCCAGCCTGAAGCCATCCTTGAAGATGTTGTCGTACTTTGCAGCTTCAGCCCCAGTAGCCGATCGCTTGACGATCTCTTTGATAAAATTCACCACGGAGCCGCCGTTCAAACCAAGATCACGCTGCATGTGTCGATAGGCTAGAACACCAAGGTCCTGCACGGCGTCGTTGACGATGACGATAACGCGCTTGCGGGTCTTGAGGATCTCAGGCGAAGGCGCCAGGATCGGCACGGCCTTGCCCTTAGGCTTGACCGTGGTGAAGTCGGGAAGATAGATGCGGTTGATGCCTAGGGCGGATACACGCTTCTCTGTCTCTTGACACATGCAGTCTGCATTACATTAGCGAGCGCCTGGTCATACTCTGGTCTCTCTTACCCCACATGGCCTCTCGCCGCACTTCATTGACACGATCGTCGTTGGTAGAGTAGTAGACAAAGTCTTTTGCTGGCGCTCCGACCATGCGAACTTGGCCGACATCGTTGACGAAGAAGCTGCAAATTGCAGGCATCAGTGTTGAGCTTCCCGATAATAGCTCTTATTCTTACCCAAGCTTCTTGAGGTTGGCTTCATATTGGTGATCAGGCGCCATAGTAGCTTCCTTTCGACGGAACATGATGTCGACTTGTGGTCGGTCGTAGCAGTCCACCTGGTACGAGCCTTGTCCTGCTTGTCAATCGTTCTACTGCTGCTGTCGTGCTTGCAGGCGGGGGAGTGGAGTGTCTGCGGTGCAAGCGAGGCTGACGGATGTTATATATGTTGAGGCATCGTGCTCGTTTGCGCGGTGGGTAGCCACGCGGGTTCCTGCCGTGAGGGGTGAGAGAGCGCGTGGGGAAGGAGCAACGGGTCACGGAACGGACGCCTTGAGTGGCAGGTAATTGTTGAGCCGTATGATATTCCATGCGCAAACTCCGCCCAATGAGGCATGTCGCCTTGCAGTAATATACATATAATATAGCAAAGACGCCAGTTTGCCTTCTCTTTACCAACTCGCCTTCTTCACACCGGGCAAGTTGCCAGCCAGCGCGTTTATTCGGAATTGGTACTGCGATTTTGTCAGGAACGTTCTTGAAGCAATACCATCTATCACGTACTCGTCCGAGTCTGAAGTCGCTGAATACACCTCTTCCCTTGCCTCCCATTATACACCTGTTCTTGATCTGTGTGAACCGGGTGTAGCAGTGCATTTGCGATAGCTGGAGCTGAGCCTGTGCGCGGACTCGCTGCGGGAGTGTGGTGTTTCGGATGATGTATCGGAGAGCTTGTCTATGGGTGGGGGACTATGATCAGCTATGACCTGTGTGAAGAAGTTGGAGGCATACCGTTCTGGCTCATTTTCCATGTAGACCTTGCGCTTGGTGTGGTCGCGAATATTGCGGATCTTCGCGAAGCATCCGATGTCGAGTTTTGCCGCGCGGAATTGAGACATGATGGCTGTCGTTGAGTCACAATGCGCTTTCTGCGAAATGTCGATGAACCGATGATGAGGTGAGGATGCCCGGCGCGGGCGGTCAAGTGCAGCGGGCAGAACTCTTTGATTCGCTTGGCTCACTAGCACTGCACCTGTGGATATTCCGCGCCACGACCACGGTTCACCTTGAACACTATCAATATGATGATTTCTACTCGCCTTCACAATTCTACGTTGCCCTGAGGTGCCAAACACGAGCGGTGACTTGTATGCTTAAGATCACACTTGTTGTTTCCCAGCCTGAGCTCTAGCTCGACTTTGGTTCAAGTGCATCTACAGTAGAACACCATGTTTTCCATTGAAGACATTCGTGAATTCAGCCAGGCCTTCCCCCCTCCCACAAGCCACCATGGACTGCCGCCGTCGCTAGTACTGGATGCTAGCGGTCAGGGTTTCATCACATTCGAACAACTGCGGATTGACTACGAACGACATGTAGCAAACGGTAAGGCTCATCACGTCATTGTCAGATATGATAATAACAAATTCAAAGAAATAAAGCGCATCCCAGTCTCTCAATTAGCTTCCGAGTTGGACCTGACCTCAGACACACTTCGAACTCTTGTCCGCACAGGACGTCCGCTGGTCCTGCTCAGCAACGATGAGAGCGAAATCATTCCTATCCAGGAAGTGGAAGCCAGTCTAGAGAAGCTGCGAGAGGAACTTCGTACAAGTATTGTTTCCATGTCTGAAATCAAATCTGAGTATGGCATCAGCAACCAACATCGACTTTGGGACGAATTGGGCGATGTAGTCATGTTTGATGATCATGCTTGCACCCGGGCGTATGATGAGGAAATCTCAAAGCAAGCTCTCAGCGTTGTGAATCGCGCGGTGGAAGGCGTCACGTAGGTCGCTCTCCTCCACAACTCACCAGTATCATACTGATCATCCGAAGCAATATCGATGTATCAGCCAAAGATCTAGAGGACCTACCAGGGTCACCGCCCAAATGGCGCTTCCTCCACCATCTGAAAGCCCTCGCAGATTCCTCCGAGTATGCGGATAAAGTCTTCGTCCGCGAAACTCGCGACTGCATTCGTGTACAGTCGAAGCAGATGCGGCAGCGTGTCTTCCAAGAGTGGTCTGATTTGCTATCTTCAGGCGAAATTGCGTATGTCGATATAGAGCCACTCGTGTCCGACCATGCCGTCTACGACAGTACGAGCGAAGCCATAAACGACTTCAAGAAGCTCACCGACGTCGAAATCGTCGACGAATTTGCGATCTCAGAAGCCTGGTTCTCTAACTTCGTCAAAGACAAGTTACAAGTGATCCAGAAAGAAGACATGTGGGGAGTGGATATTGCAAACGGCCTGAGCGAGCGCGTTAAGAGTAGTACTAAGAGCAAGAGAAGCATGCCCGAAAGCCTGTATAACCATATACAACGCAAAGCCGAGCAACACCTGACCACCGCGCTCACTCAGAGGAGCAATGACGATCATCGTCGTTATGGCATGCTTGTGCTTACCGCCGAAGGATACCGCGGCGAGGAGTGCACGCTCAGCTCCCAGGCCAGTAAAAACGCTGAAAGGCAATGGGCGTACCTCAAATGCAATCCAGCCGGCGACATCAAGTTCTTAATGAACAACATCATACTTCCCAACAACGCTATCCAAGCTGCATTAGCCAACGACAAAGCCCTTGCGAAAACCTGCGAGAGAAGTTTCTGGGCTACTATTCAATCTCTGGAAACATTGGACGAAGCAGACTTCGCCACCTACTGGACTGACCGCGTCACATCGCGCCTTGAAATGTACACCACCGGCCTCGAGTCCATTCCAGACTTGAAGCTCAAAGAGCAACTCAACACGCTCCTAGCAACATACCTGCAGTCCGATATGCTCCCTGACGCCCTGTCAAAAGCGCGCGCCCAGAACCTCGTCATGTCCCGTAAAACCCGGAAAAACATTGACAAACTTGAGACTGCACTCAAGGCAACAAAAGATCTATCTCACATCCTCTCCACGCTCGAAAAGTTCACGACAAAGCAATCCATCTCCCCTCTCCTCGCTCGCACCTCCCCTAAAAAGAGCATGCTCGCCGACATGCAGCGACGCATGGCCAAGACTTCAGACCCTCCTGTCTTATTCCTCACGCTAGTGGTGCTGCTGTACGCGCGGTATTATCCGGGCGTTGTGTACGCGACCGGCAAGTTCGCGCCCAAGCTGATGAAGTTGTTGAGGGAGAAGGTGAGTGCGGAGGAGTACGCGGTGTTGGAGGGGTGGAAGGAAGGGGCGAAGAAGGGCGAGTTAGGAGAGGAGGATAGGGAGGGAATGAGAGCGATGGCTAAGGGGCAGGGAGAGGGTGAAGGGGAGGTGTAGATTTGGCTGGAGTAGCAATCCGACTGGTCCACGTGCATGTGTATGAGCACTGAGAGGTGTTTTATTGCCGGAAAGTGCGCACGCACGTGCTGGCTCGTGTGTGTTCGTAAACGTGCGCCGTATACATGCCATATCTGTCGACCGAAATATGTGTAAGAATGATCATGTGGATTGAAGTCTCCAGTCCTCCTCTTCGCTTGTCGCGGATGCAGCTGAATGGCCATTTCGAAGTTACGTCCTCTTATTAGCAGCATGCATCGATATGCACAATGATTGTTTCATGTGCTTACAACGGGTATTCATGCTTTCGAAGTCCACAAGTATGTGGCAATGCGTTCCTGGGCATATGTAATCATACAGTTAAAGTCGTGAGCAGATCTGACGTTCATGACGTAGCAATACCGAATCAACGGCCTTCAATGCCCTGACCTGACCTATACTTGTGCACTGTACCATTGGGTGTATGTACTTCGACGGTACCCGAGAGCCCGCTGATCTGAGCAGTGCGGTGCAGAAGGTGGTCTCAGCTACGCTGGGTACATTGGTGCCTTACAGGCGTGCCATGTCGCGTGAGGTACCAATGAGCCTCTGATCCTGTGCAAAGACGTTGTTGTGGCTTTACAAGCGGTCTGACAGACATGAAGCCGGTTCAAACGACCGACTTCAATACCGATTGGTGTTGATGGTGGTTGGCTGCCAATTGGCGACGAATTGGGCGGTTACGTTAGACGAAGCGGTGGAGCAGCGGAAAAGCTTGTCTCGAGTGTGTAAAAGACAATTGGCATTCCTGTGGAGCTTCCCGCACGCTATGATGTCACCAAAGATATCGCAGACAGCCCGGGGCAGTCCTTGGTAACCAAGATTCGAGGTAGCAATCAAATGCTGAAAGGCGCCGAGTTCCGCCCGTGATTGGAGCGGGGCGACCGGTTTGGTGCTGCTTTTGCTGCCCAACACGACTGACCTGGAAATTATGAACAACACAACTGCGACTCTACTCACCGCTTGGTGGGGCCGCAATTGAGTCGCCTGAAATGTTGCTTCTCCGCAAGGGATGAAGTCGCACGGCATGTCAGTACGATACGATAGGCGAGTTTGCAGTGGAACGGTTAATAAGCGATGGACCCCGAACGCAAGGGTCCGCGACGCGAGCATACGTGCATCCTGGCATTTTGGTTGTTCGAAGCTGTGCGGGCTGTAGCGAGGTGATTTGAGATATATGAGGATTCAGTCAGCACTTGTGCTGCAAATAGCGAGTAACCCCGTGGGGCAACGCCCATCGCACGGTTTAGACAGAGCGGTGAGCGTTGAACAAAGCCGGAGCATGCCATATCCGTTACACGGCAGGAAGGCCAAACCATCGAGATACCAAAATCGGAGGCGGAAGGGCCCAGACCAGGTTGCTGGGGGCGAGAATGTAGCAAAAGGGATTGAGGATGTTGCAGCATTTGGGGTGGTTTGCGTGATCTAGCTAGCGCAAGGTGTGGCACCCCATCGTGAGGTTGCCATGTGAAGTCGTGTGCATGAGCCATGGTGTTGAGGGGCATCCGACATGCAAGGATGTGGTGCATGGGCGAGTTCCTTGGTGTCGCGGAAAGGGAAAGTGGGGGTGGAGATGGACTTTGGGACGTCCGGCAGCAAACACGACAACGTGCTTTGAGCCTCAAGTGTGCGGTCGCGAGTCAGCCCAGACGACAATGATGTCGTCTTCGTTCGCCTCGATACCCAGTGCGCGACGTGGTGCCCAATTGCTGTGCACTGGGTGATCTGAGGCTGCCGGCAGCATGTCATCTCGCAGCACACGTCCACGCTGTCCACTCGCGTACTGCGACCCATGTCGAGCTCGTCGGCCCGTGCATAGCTCCCAAGAGTGAAGAGGTTATGTGTGGCTCTACATCGCTAGCGCCCACAGGTTGGTGTCGCGCTACCAACGCTGTCTGATGTGCAAGCCCGGTACTACAGGTTGCGGATATCAGCATGCTGCCCCGCGATAGCCGCAATCTGAGTCGAGATTTGGCCACGGGTCAGATGAGGACCAGCTGCTCTGTCGAAGCCAAGCTGCATATCAGCGGGCGCAGGTTTAAGGTTCGACGAGGCACGGTAACCGCGGGAAAGGGTCCAGGTAATCCAGTCGCGACGCGGTTGCACGTTCAGCTTTTTTTCTCATGTGACGCAAATGCCGGTGGGTTTGAATGCAACAGCTTCGCGGCGCCAGTGTCCTTGCCGCACACCACAGAAGCTTTCGCCGCAACCATTTGTGCGGCGCGGTGAGCACTGCCCACTGTCGTGTAGCGCTATGGCGTCAAATTGGTGCCGGATAACTGTTCGTTTCGTCCCATGTTGGCCCGAGCGAACCAAGCATCGCACCCACTGCTGGTTAGCGCATGCAGGCGGTCCTCGGCAATGCGGCATCCTGGACGATACCTGGACGATAGAACGATAGTCGCAACTCCATGTCGTGGAAGAGACTTGCGAACGAATGCGATCGTGGTGGTGTGCTGTCAGCTGTCAGGGCGGCCATTGGCGGCCATTGGTACTGTGTAGACATCGAGGACAGGCCAGAGCAACGGCGATGATCCCGTACGACGTCAAACACCAGATAGTGCCGCCAGCTTCGGGCGTCGCATCAACGGCGGTGATCGTTCCAAGAGGGCAAAGATAGGTGTACTCGAGGAAAGGTAGCGGACTGTGCTGAGATGCGAGGACAGGGCCCTCGTCGCGCTAGGCCTCTCTCAGCTATGCAGGCCAATCACGCGCGTGAAGGGTCCGAAATTCCTGTGACCGACGCAACCTTGCCAGGACCTCCATGGTGGTCGCAGAGCCCTTTGGACGCTTCCAGCTTCCCAGTGCACACCGCGCTTCTCTTCGCCCTCAGCGCTCTACCTGACGGACATGGTCTCCTAGCCCAACCGTCGCGCTGCTCAGATTGTCGTAATCCGCTCTCACAGCCGGCGGTGCAGGCCGTTGTTGGTGTTGATATTGATATTGACATTGACTCCGGCGACCAAACTCGGCAGCCGTATCTAATTTCCTCAGCAGCCCACCAGCGCCCGTCTATTGTTGTCCTCGACGACACAACCCCTGCGCGATACCGCTGCCGCCTCTCATTTTTTTCTGCCTGCAGCACCAGCCAGTGTGTGCTTCGGGTAGCCTTTTTTTCCTGGCCAGTATCGCTATTCTGGCCGCTAGCTGCACCTCTCCGTGGCCCGCGTCTGAAGCACGTCTCTTGGCCTGCTCGTTCTGTGTTACTGCCCGCCGCCAGTGGGCTCAACTCCCTACGCACCCGCTGCACATTATCTATCGCTGGTGTCCGCCGTCGTTTGCTCCCAGCTCTGCCTAGGCCACCAGGAGGCACAATACCGGCGCAATCCAGCTCCCCGAGTCCTCCACCCCGCCCCGCCAAGAGTGTACGCATACCACTTTCTCCGTGACAGTCGCTGCACAGTGCAGTCACCACGCCCCCAGACAGTGCTGACTGGCCACCACAGGAGTCGGCCGCATTATAGAGTAGGTGCGCTGCATCGTCTGCGACAGCACTTCTGGTAAAACCCTCCCAACGCAAAACCCCCTCTGCGGGTTCCCGGTCGCGGTCGCTCCAGGACCTTCCACGATTCCACGCGGCCCTATATGCAGCGGTGGTCTGCACGGCAGCTACGATGGACACCGAAGATGGAACCATCTTCATAAGGGTATGAGGCACAATCTTCTGGCTGGAAACGAGGTCGGTACTAACATGTGCTAAGAACCTGGCCTACTTCGTTCGGACGCACGAGAAAGCGCTCGCTAACGCGCTCCAATTGCACCGACGAGCATCCAGCCATGGACAGCCGGCCGTCACCTCTCCTTCTTCGCCCACGGGCCCGGGCAGTCCGCCCTCGACCTCCTCCTCGAGCGTCTGGGCAGCAGCACTGTCTCTGCCCTCACTGACCTTTACATCTCAAGCGATCAAGCCCGCGAAGCTCACGCTGACGCCTCACCACCTATTCTACCTCCTCTCCCGCTTCGAAGATCTCGGCATACCCGTTGGGCCCATGAATGTGCGCCTGGAGAACATCCACACAGACGCATCCCCCACCAACTATGTCTCGTTTCTCAGCTCCGCGCAGCGAAACAAGCAAAAGTCCTCGGACCGCGACTCGATACATTCAGTATCCAGCGTGCGCAGCGTCATGTCGGGCATGTCCTCGCTTTGGTCCTCGCTCCGCATGGGCTCCAACAGCTCCGCCAAATTGGAGAGGCAAAAGGTGCAAATCCAAGAAGACCTCAGATACCTGTACTCTGCATTCACCAAAATACCGTGCTTGCGGCTTGCACCCGATCACAAAGCACGCCTAATCGCCGGCTATGAAGAATTCCCGTTCGATACTGCAGTGCCCTTGTTCGCATTCAAGAATGTCACAGCGCTCGAGATTTACGATATGGACTTTCGTCAGTTCTACGGCTGGGACAGGATGGCCGAGAACCTGCGCAGCTTGACCGTCAAGCGAGCCGGCGTCGACGACCCAGCTGACATTCTCATCAACATTGTTCTTGACGACATTGACAAGCGCCGCAGAAGGTCTGCCAAGGCTCCTACATCGCCGTCAGCTGCCTGGAACACCGCAAGCCCTGGTCCAAAGCATGCGCAACTATCTAGATCTGACTCTCCGCCACTCTCTCCGGCTGGGAAGCAGAGTACGAGCCCAAGGAACACAACGGGTCACCAACGACAACGGAGCACCTCGCCCACCCGGCCGCCCAGCTCCCGCCATGGCTCAGCTCATGTCTACGGCAGGAACAGCACACCAAACATTCGCAGATCGTCGGGAAGTTCGGGCTCGAGCGTGCGCTCGACTACTCCACGTGGCAGCTCCTCCAATCTCCTGTCAATGGGCTGGTTCCCATCGACGAAATGGAGATTCTTGAGGCATCTCAGTCTGGCCGACAATGCTCTCACACACATCACTGCAGCCAGCATTGCTCCTTTGGCCAACACCCTACAGTCCCTTGACCTTTCGACGAATCTCTTCACTGAGATTCCGGACAGTCTAGCTACTCTGACGTCCCTGCGCGCACTGAACCTCTCCAACTGCATGATCGAGGGTCTTCATTCTCTCGGTCGCAATCCCTTGCCCGCAATTACTACCCTCAATCTGCGCTCCAACCGCTTGAACTCACTCGCAGGTGTAGAGCGTCTGCTCTCTCTCGAACGCGTCGACTTCAGAGACAACAAGCTGACCGATCCGACTGAGCTTGCAAGGCTCACGTGTGTACCTGATCTCTCTGAGATCTACGTGTATCGCAACCCGTTCTGCAAGACCCATCCGGCGTACCGCGTCACCATCTTTAACTTGTTCCGGAAGACACCTGGGTACACGGACGATGTCGTTATTGACTCTACGGGACCTACTGCCGGCGAGAAAAAACAGCTTATCGACAGGGCACCAGAAGCGCCAGGTGTCCCCATAGTCCGTCCGCCACCGGAGGATGATGCGCATATTGCGCCTTACGTACCGCCGAAGGTAGTCAAGGCTATCGACAGCCCTATGGAGGGACCCGAAATCCTCCAGCGCACCAGCTCAATGCATCGCACCAAGAGTGGACGTGATCCACACGGCTCGCAGCGTAAAAAGAAGGGCCCCAAGCGGAGGATTGTTGAGCTTTCCCAAACCGATGCGGTCCAGCGGGTCTCACAGTCAGGCCTTACTAGCCTCTCTTACGACGACGTACCTGCAGGGCAAGCGCCCAGGATCCTAAAGAAACCGGAAGTTGCACCCGTTGACACCAATAGCCTTCGCTTTGAGGAGCCCTCGAAGGCACATGTGTCGGGCGATCCTTCGAAGAAGCCGAGACAGGATGACCGGGCTGTCACTGATGATACCCACACAATTCAACAACAATTACCACCAATTGATACCACGACGATCGGCAAGCCTGGAGAGCCCCAGCAAGACGAGTTCGATGCAGGCAACGATCTGTACAAGAAGAAAATAGAGGCACTTCGACAGGACTTTGGCAACACGTGGCTTAGTGCTCTCGGAGATGATAACTGGGACTCTACGTCTGTCACTAGCTTCCCGTCTGAACGCGGTGGTTACAATTCTCCCACCATCCGTCCAACACTACCTCGTACTCCCAGCCAAAGCCAAGGGATTGTTTCCGGCGGTCGAACGCTAGGGTGATATTCTTTTTCACTCGATTCTACTTACTTTGCGATACCCAAAAGATTTGTCTAGCAGTTTTACGCTTTTGTAATACGCTGCAGCGTTCCAGGATTCCGTTTTCGACTTCATGTCTGTTTCTTGTCACTGGCTGTTATGCATGGCGCTGGACGGATCAGATACACTGAGCGTTGTCGTGACGCTCAATGCGTCGCCATAATCTACCAGCATCGGACTCCTTTTCTTCAACTCTCTGGCGGCACTTCTGCATCTTTTATAAAAGGTGGTCTATTGCTTGCATTTTTTGCGCTCTCGTTTCTGTTTGCTTTTGGGGTTGTTCTGTACCATATCCATATCCAGGCGTTTCGTGGTGTCGTTATACCAATAATCTTAGCGACGATCCAACGGCCTATTCTCCGCTTACACACGAAATTTCATTGCGGTGGACGGCCTCAGGAGGACGACGGGAAGTCATTTCAATTTCCGTTGCATAGTGAGGAGCAAAGCGTGGGGTACGATCTTGGTAGATATTCGCGGAAATGTCAAAATGACTACATTTGTTCAACATGTGTCCAACTTCCGAATCGCGGTGACGTGGTGTTGGCATGACTAGACAACACATGCAGTTTCTCACCCAAGTATATGCTTGACCACAAGTGTTAAAGTGCTGCGCCCACGAACGACATAAACGTGATATGCAGTTCGCAAACAGCATCGGCTGGCCGCGGGATATAGTCCGATTCGGTGAATATCAGCGCACTGGCATTGGAATTAATTGGTCCGTAGCATAAATGACGAGCACTTCTGGTACGTGGCTGTGTACCGGGTCCGCGCAAGGGTAACCGTCGCAGGGAGTGAACCGTACTCCAAGTGTTTGGGAGCCGACGCGCCCGAGCCTAGAACTGGCAATCGACGCGCATAGCCGTTGTCGAACTGCTTGATGAACACACAACGGAGGTTTCAAGGTGTAGCCGAGGGAGTGAGCATGTGCACAATGTGAAGACTATGACAAAGATAGAGGGCATTGGACTGCTTGGTAATGCAAAATTGCGTGCATGATTTTACAACGTTGGGTCGACATGTCTAATGAATGAGAGGCAAGGTTACAGGGAATCACACGGATGGGCTGGCTTACTAGTGCCCATGCCATAGCGTCGTGAAAGGCTTGCTCCTGCCTACCCACGGCCTTCTGCACCTATTGATACTCAGTCTTTTTTTCACATTTCCTCCTGCACGCCCCAACTCGGTCAAGCACTTGTCTCGCAAAATCTCTCTCCTGTCGTCGACGCGCGTCTAAAGCGGGACTAGCTCACAGCCCGCCAAGCCTCTGCCCTTCGAACCGACGAAAGTCTTCAGCGCTGTTGCGACTCTCTGACACAACACCACCCCGACGACGAAATACCCGCAGCCGCACAATCTCGCTCTCCTCTGCTCTGCAGTCCCGAGCAGTATTGTCGTCACTCTAGTGCCCCGCCTCACAAATTTGCGCCGTCCCGCCAGAGCAGGCGGTGAAGTCACCCACGCAGCATCCCACTCGAAAGGCTCCGGCCACAACAACGCCTCGCGCCCCGCTCCCCTCGCGCACCCAACTGCCCCCGCGCAACCCGCACAGGTACATTGCTATCAACCTGACCCATTGACGAGCGCATCAAAAAGTCGCACCTGCCGTCCCGTGATCCAAATCCACGCCGCCAGGCATCTCTGAGGGGCTTCGAGCCATTCTTCCGACAGCGACCATCGTCGATCCTCTGTGGACCAGATAGCCCAGCTCATTGAGACAAGAGGTATGTCCTGCTTTTCCTGCACGCCGTGGCCGCGCACGCGATGCTTCCACGCTGCTGTGTTTGCACTCAGCGGCGACGTAACACAAGCTGCGCCGTTTCAGACGCCATGTTCTGGCATAGAAATCCCTGCTAACTAGCCGCCAGAGAGGGTACCAGCCGCCAAACGACGCGCATCTCTTTTTCTCCACCGCGCGAGGTCCTCCCTTGCTCCTGACTATCTACACGAGCCAGCAGCCAGTCACAGCTATGGCGGAAAACGAGGTAGATTTGGACTCTATCATAGACAGGCTTCTCGAAGTCAGGGGCAGCAGGCCCGGCAAGCAGGTCCAGCTGCTCGAGACTGAGATCCGCTATCTGTGCACCAAGGCACGAGAAATCTTCATCTCACAGCCTATCCTCCTCGAGCTTGAGGCACCGATAAAGGTAAGTCTGTGCTGGACCTGACTCTTTGTACAATCATACTGACTCCTGCCTCCTAGATCTGTGGTGACATTCATGGCCAGTACTACGATCTGCTCCGTTTGTTCGAGTACGGCGGTTTCCCACCCGAGGCCAACTACCTCTTCCTCGGCGACTACGTAGACCGTGGCAAGCAGTCGCTCGAGACCATCTGCCTGCTCCTTGCATACAAGATCAAGTACCCCGAGAACTTCTTCGTCCTGCGTGGCAACCACGAGTGCGCATCAATCAACCGCATCTACGGCTTCTACGACGAGTGCAAGCGGAGATACAACATCAAGCTATGGAAGACGTTCACCGACTGCTTCAACTGCCTGCCCATTGCCGCAATCATCGACGAGAAGATCTTCACGATGCACGGTGGTCTGAGTCCCGACCTGAACTCCATGGAGCAGATCAGGCGTGTAATGCGACCAACTGATGTAAGTGACATCAGTAGTTCTATTAGAGAATGCCTGTGATTGGTGCATAGACTAACGCATGCAGATTCCGGATTGTGGCCTACTGTGTGATCTCCTATGGTCTGATCCTGACAAGGACATTACCGGATGGAGCGAGAACGACAGAGGTGTCAGCTTCACATTCGGCCCCGACGTTGTATCTCGTTTCCTACAAAAACACGATATGGATCTCATATGCCGTGCCCATCAAGTCGTGGAAGACGGCTACGAGTTCTTCTCCAAGCGTCAGCTCGTAACACTGTTCAGCGCTCCCAACTACTGTGGTGAATTCGACAATGCGGGTGCGATGATGAGCGTTGACGAGAGCTTGTTGTGCTCCTTCCAGGTATGCCGAGTCATGTCGCAAACGTTTGAGCACACACTGACGATTTGAGTGCAGATCCTGAAACCTGCCGAGAAGAAACAAAAGTACGTTCCCAAACTTGGCGGCAGCAGACCAACGTCTCCTGGCAACAAGAAGCCTTAGAGCAGTCAAACAAGCCCCTACATTCAGAATGCATACGAACTTCTTTACAGCAGGTTTGGGCGTCGTTAGACGATGGTACATCGCTAAGCCCTCGACGAGACGGACCCTGAATTACCTTTGCGACCTCGAGCCACACCCCACCCTTGTATCGTTTTCGCCCTCGACGACCCGGACACCCTTCGACATGTATACACAAAACTCTCCCTTAGGTTTTTGTTTGCGCGTAATGCGGCGCGGCCGACTGTGACGACCTCTTCGACCGCGCTCCTTCCCTAGCATGTCTGTACGAGCCAGTACTGGCTGTTGCGCTTACCTTTATCCTCGTGGTCGCTGGCGAGACTTGGGGCGTCGAAGGCTGGCAACAATGGTCAAATATTCTCAACGTCGAAAAGAAGGAACAAGATGATACGAGTTACGGCTAGGCTACGATTCACGGTTGTCTGCATCATCTATAAGAGCTTTTCTCGAAACGTCAATTTTGGTACCGGGTTGCGGGGAGTGGAAGCGTTCAATCTGTCGCCGATGGGGCGCTCCAAAGTTGTCTCGACCTTGGTCCTGTGGACGACTGCTACTTTTTTTGTGCTCCCCAGGTTATGGTGGGCGGCTAACACCTGCTAATGTCAGTCATTTCTTTTTGTTGCGTTTCACGTCAGCAGTGTTAGGGGATGTAAGCTATGCAAAGTCGTTTTTGCAATCCACACGGTCGACGAGACGTTTATCACAGTCTCATTTCCCCCTTTGAAGATTACGTTCTGTGCACTATGTGTCCTTGCACCTTGCACCTTGCACCGTGATGGGACGTTGCGGTGGTAGCACGCAACTCTCTGTGAATATGCAAAGTCAATGGGCATCTCCGAGGCGACGGTCAAGCTCTTCTCCAAGGAGGCCCCTGATGCGAATATGCGAGCCCAACGATGGGCGCCGGGATCGACCCAGAACGTATCCATGGCCGGCATATTTGGCGTAAACAGCATGTTCACGGCCTCACAGACATGGTTCGCATTTTGATGTTCGTGAAACCAGCAGAACGCGTCATGACAGCTGTCAGGTCTCGGGTGTGGGTGATGGTAGTTCCCGGATGCGGATGATGCAAGTGGGCCACAAGCGAGCACCGGGGGTGGTTTCGTTTTGGATGCGCCGGACAGAGTGAAGAGCGGCGGTGCTGGAATGCCGCAAGCTGAATACGAAATGCAGGGCTTGCACTCGGCGGCCAATAGTGCGGTGCCAGGGTAGAAATCGCGTGCCATGAATGGCGGGCTCGTCGCCGTCTTCGCCGAGCGGCCTGGAGCAGCCTCGTTGGGGCATCGTGGATTTTGCAATGGGGCTCAGCAAGATGGTGGCGGCCGGCAGGCTGTGATCCATGCGTAAGCGCCGTCCAGAGATCCGGTCTTTCCACAGTTAAGCAGCCAACACCTTCCCGTTCGGGCTCGACATCGTCACTGTCCTCTTCGTCTGCACCTCGCTCTCGCTGTCCCGTTCTACATTCCCACGACCCACGACCCACGACCCACGACGACGAGTGCGCATCGATTGCTGTTGGCCGCCTCGCTCAATGTGTTCGCTCTCGTAGCGCCCGTCAGGATACCCCGGTGCTGCTCGACCGTCGTCACTCCTTTGCCAGCCACACCGTCCGAACCCGCTGCATCGCCCGCCGGAGCTGGATATTGCCGACTGTGATGCTCTGCAGCGGAAAGCAGTAGGAGGCCGGGTTACTACATCGCCATCAACATGGCCGAGTTTGCGTACGTCCACGGCGGCTAGGCACGGTGCACCGCTTAGCGATGACACCTGCCACCACCATCTCTCCCACGGCCGACCCTCTCTGACCGCCTCTCTAGCTTCTTAACTCACAGCACCGCCCCATGGGTCAACCACGGGTCCGGCAGCATGACACCCTCACGCTTGCGCTCCTTGTCCCCCATGCCCAAGGAAGTCACCCGCTCTGTTTCGGTACCCCAACTGCCGAAATTCACCCAGTCCCAAACCGAAAGCGATGGCATGAACACCATTCCGGACCCACGTGCGGCTACACCACAACCTGCAATCTCGCGCCAGCACTCAAACGACTCGCAACACCCCGACCTGAGCCAGGAAGTCTCCATGCTTAGCACGAAGCTCATCAACGCAATCAACCACTCGACCATGCTTGACGACTCGTTGCAGCAGACCAGACACGAGCTGGAGACGGCGCGAGAGCAGCTGGCAGGACTGGAGGCCAAAGTGCAAGAGCATGAGAAGCAGGTGTCGCGGGGCTTGCTGGTCGAGAAGGTTGTTTACGATAAGATGGAGAAGCAACTTGGCATAGAGCTGCAAGAGGAGCGGAACCGGAGGATAGCCGCCGAGGCAGCGAAGCGGAAGACGGACAGCGAGGTCGAAGCTCTGACAGCCGCGCTGTTCGAAGAGGCTAATGTGGTAAGAAAGGCTGGACCCGATGCACTAGCCAAGCTAACAACTTCTAGATGGTTGCCGCTGCACGCAAAGAGACTGAAGCCTCAGAGAAGCGTGGGGAGCACTTCAAGCAACAGATCGCCGACGCCGAAGTACTCCAACATTCCCTCCAGGAGCAACTGCAGGACCTCAAGGGCGTCGTGGAGAAAATGAGCATACATGGGGACGACTCCGAAAGCAATCCTCTCGGCACGAACACTGCACCTTCCACACCTGGTCTGACTCCAGCCGATAAGATGAGCAAACTGTTAGAAGCCGTCAATCTCACACCGAACACGCCTGGGACAGAAGACTTCAGCCCAGAACACCCGCTGCATTTTTCGCATCTCATTCATCCTGTTCTACGATCCGATCTTGTAGCATTCCAGGAGTTCCAGGACATGCTCAAGATCAGTTCCCGCTCTTCCGCACCGCCCAGTCGGGTATCCAGCGGGAGCTACGGCAGTTTGAATGTGCTCGGTCTCGGCTCACTAACGAACCACTCGAGCAGCTCCTTACCAGCAACCGCCAAGTCGCCCACCTCAGTTGGAAACAACTCGCCTCGAGAGTCTTTGACTGGTTTCAGCATGCCGAACTTGAAGGACGAGAAGTTCTACAAGCGAGCCTTGGTTGAGGATATCGAACCCACATTACGTCTGGACATTGCGCCTGGGTTATCATGGATGGCTCGACGTACCGTACTCAACAGCATCACCGCTGGATCGTTGGTGGTTGAGCCCAACCCTCCGTCAATATCACGATTCCGAAGCCCAGTCTTCCCTTGTTCTCTGTGTGGAGAAACACGGAAGGGCGAACCATATGCCCGGAAGTACCGCTTCAAGCCAGCCGACACAGAAGACTCGCAACGCTATCCGCTTTGTGACTGGTGTCTTGGTCGAGTCCGCGCCACGTGCGACTACATTGGTTTCTTGCGCATGGTCGCAGCAGGTCACTGGCGTGCCGAGACGGAGGATGAGAAGAAGACTGCTTGGGAGGAAAGTGTGCGGTTACGAGAACGCATGTTCTGGACGCGAATCGGTGGAGGAGTTGTCCCATCTTTCATACCTCTACGAGACAGCCCACGAAGCCCGACATTTGGCAACAGGACACCAATCACTGAGGTCACCGAAGCAGAGGAGCGACAAAGTGAGGAAAGCGAAATGGTTCTCGAACCAGTCGATATTTCTGTGGACGGCCCTGTTGCAGACCGCAAGAGCGAAGACGACCCGTTCCAATCAAAAGACGAAGACAAGGTCAAGCGCGTATCGATAGGCAACACCGTCATCTCGAGTGACCGCGACAGCACGCAGACCCTGACTCAAGACGAGGAGAAAAAGATTGAACAACAGGCCGAAGAACAAATCCATGATGAAGTCCAGAAGTCGCTGGAGGTGAAGACGGAAACACTAGAGAAACCTCAGTTGCAACGACAGAGGTCCGATGGTCGAATCCGCCACCCAAGCTGTCGGTGAGAAAGAAGGATGAGCGGTTGAGTCTGCAGATTCCGGGGTCTTTTGACGCCTAGATGTTTTGAAGGAGCGAGATGTTACATTGTTATTGGAATGTTGTTGAGCAGGCGAGCGTTGCAGCTTAATCTATCGCGTCGTATCTATTTATATAGCATAATCTTACTCACACGGCGTTGAGAGGAGAGGGATCGTTGGATTTGGGCGCTTCGTGGGGCTTTGTTAGATACCAGGCGTTTATTTGGATTCTTGGATGGGGGGTGGGCGGTTAATGTAATATTATTATATCGAAGGAGGGTTTTATATAGATTAGCATGAGAGATGTAGGTACGGGGATGGAAGAACGAATGAAAGAAGTAACATACGATCACTTGAGTCCATTCGAGAAACATTGCTTGTGAATGTAGAGGTCAAGGGTATCATTCTGTCTATCAACGCAATACGTTATGCCACTCATTACTTTGAATCCAAGTACATGCATGCTCTCATTCATGTCGTTGAGATGCTTCCTTCGCAGACCTTGCTCTCTATCTTCCTCCCTATACTCATGTCCGCGTGTACACATTTGTTTTCGGCACCAAGCTCTCTTTTATCGTACACTCGCAATTTCCAACGCACTCACTTCGACTTCCTCGGCCGTCCGCGCTTCTTTGGCGCCTCTGCCTCTTCACCACCCGTATTCGCACCGGCCTTTTTACTCCGCGTTGTTCGCGTTGGTGTGGCAGTTTCTTGCTCAGCTTCGTCTGCGCTCGCCTTGTTCTTCTTGCCGCGCTGTTTTCTCTTCGGGCGGGTGGACGCTGGCTCGGCCTCATCGTCTTGAGCTTCTGCGGCTTCCTGCGATGGTTCTTGCGACTCGATATCTGCATCAGACGTCTCCGTGGACTTGCTCTTCTTCTTCCCGCGCTTGGATTTCCGGGGTCTGGGCTGCGAGGCTGCAGAGTCGCCATCCACTTCCATATCTGCCTCCTCTGCGAGTTTGGGCTTCTTGGACGGCGCGTCCTCGAGGCCAGTCAACATTTCACCATCATCCTCCTCGGCCACGACTTCGTCAGCGCCCCTCTTCTTCGGCGCAATATATTCCCTTCCCTCCTCATCGAACTTCTTGTTGATCTGCCGTGCTTTCAACTGCGCCCTCGCCCGCTCCTTCGCCATCCGCTCCGCGCGCTCCAGATCGTACTTCTCATTACCCGCCAGACCATGCTTGATAAACCGTGCCGCAGCACTAACGTCCAGCTTCGACTTGGGTACAACAGGTCGCTCTTCCACATGCTTGATTTTCCCAAAGTAGCCCTTCAGCCGCGCCAATTCCTTGAATATCGGGTGTTCTTTGGCATTGACGCCGCTGGCTTGTAGCGTTGAGTACAGCAGCGATTCGATGCTGTATGCGGCGAGGACGTAGAGTTTTGCCTTATCGAGGAGGGGCAGGGAGGATGCGGTTGTGGGGAGTTGGGTGCTGAGGAGGGGTGCGAGCGTGGTAGTGAGTTCGTCGATGTTTACTTCGAGGTCTTCGACGAGATCGGGGAGGTCAGTTTGGGGGTCCATTTTGGCGGTTTGTGGGTCGCGATGACTCCTGCTGTCGATAGTATGCAGGGTTTGCGGTAATTCGTCGAAAGGCGAAGTTGATGTCGTTGTTGCGCAGGTCAAAGGATCGAGGACGAGTAAGTTGAAAAGTTGCGCACGGACAGTTTTGTCGCGCGTTAGCTCCGCAGCTCAGTTCCGCCCTCACGGCGTCATTCACTCGATATCTCGGTTTTGATACTTCTCGTGGCGCCACATATATTCGACTTGTACATACATGTGACCTCTTCCGCTTTCAAGCTGTCTTTCTTTCCACTTCCACATCACATATTCAGGCTTCGGCCTCGGATACCACACATACGAGCACCATGCAACTCCGGTAGCAATTGCGTGAGCCGGGTGGCTGCAATCCAGAAGAGAGGTTTCATGGCCAGTCGCAAGGCATTTGGCGGCGAGTCAGCGGAAGATGGGGAAAAGAATACGTGCGCATGTCCTACAACCGAATCGAACGGCAGCTCACAAGTCGCAGTGAACCCAATTCAAGAGCAAACGGATCGCCACAAGTCCTTTCGCAGTGCAGCCGACTTCTACCGCGCGAAACCTACGCTCGATCGGCGGATACACCATTTTGGGCGTCGGCCAATGTTGGAAGCTTCATTGCCCATGCGCTGCGGGGGATACCTGACCCACCTCCGGTGACACTCATCTTCTCCGAGATTGGGATAAGTTGAACGAATGGAATGAATCGCAAAAGAGATTGACTCTGGTTACCGATGGTGATGCAGAGATCCGCGAAGGCTATGATGCTGAGATAGCAATCCCACGAATACGGTACCATCACAAGGAAGTAGGATTGAATGCGTCTTCTGCAGTGCCACTCGAAGACGGGTCGCGAGAAGAGATACTGTCCGGCGAGTCGACAGAACCTATTCGATCATTGATTATATGTTCCAAGGCTGCAAGTGTTTTGCAGGGAATATCTTCAGTGAAGCACCGACTGGACAAGGATTCCGTCATTCTCTTCCTTCAAAATGGCATGGGCATCGTGGAAGAAGTCAGCAGGGAAATATTCCCAGATCCTGCGACACGACCATACTATATGCTCGGTATCAATTCTCACGGAGTCAACAATTCTTCAGGTGGGAAGTTCACGACTACTCATGCCGGTTTTGGTACCATCTTGCTAGGCATCCTGCCTCACGAAAGAGATCGAAATCCCAATTCTCCTTACGAACCTGATGTAAAATTCTCGCCAGGAGGAAAAGTGGGAGCCACGCCAACAAACCAACCCTCTCCTGCAGACGAGATCAATTCCGAATACCCACCCCCAACCTCCGCAAAATTCAAATGGACGCCCAACCAGCGCTATCTCCTTCGCACGCTCCTCCGTGCTCCTGTCCTCGGTGCAGCCGCATACTCACCACCAGACCTTCTCCAAATCCAACTCGAAAAGCTCGTAGCCAACTGCATCATCAACCCACTCACCGTACTCCTTGACGCCCGCAATGGTGCCATACTCTACAACTACGCCCTAACCCGCACGATGCGGCTCCTCCTCTCTGAAATCAGCCTCGTCATCCGCTCTCTACCCGAGCTGCAATACATCCCCAACGTGTCCTCGCGCTTCGACCCGGGGCGACTCGAAACGCTCGTCGTCAGCATCGCGAACAAGACAAAAGACAATGTCAGCAGTATGTTGGCCAGATGCGGAGGGCGGGCAGGCAGACGGAGATTGAGTATATTAATGGGTGGATTGTGAAGAGGGGCGAGGAGTTGGGGATTGTCTGTGCGTTGAATTATATGGTTGTGCAGATGGTCAAGGGGAAGGTGGCGATGGTGGCGAGGGAGTTGGGCGATGGAGTGCCGTTTGTGGAGGGCGGGGATGTGGAGGTGAAGGAGGGCGTTGCGCAGACGAATGAGGAGGAGGAGAAGAGGTAGGTATTGCGGATCGCCTACTTATATCATTATGTTCTACCACCAGTTTTTCAGCTTGCGGGAGCTTCTTGCCAATCAGCCCGTGTATTGCTTTGCATAAGCGAGTTGAGGCGTTGCGCATGTTGCAGCTGATGTCACGTGCCAGGCTGAGAATTTGGGAAGCTGCCGCCTAGTCTTGTTCTTATGTCGACCGTGCTTGTACTCCTTCTTCTTATTCATCTTCCCGACAAGCTTCTTCTTCTCTTACTTCACTGCGCCACCTGATCAGACAGCTTTACAGCGATTGCCCGGCACGCGCTATGGCTGCGTCCATCCCAGGCGCCGAGGCCATACCCCAATATCTCCAGTGGAAGATAGAAAGCCAAAGGACGGATATCAACTTGGATAAGAAGTTGGAAGAAGCGAACAAGGTACTTCACAATCGTATCTTGAAGATGCGCGAAGGGAAGCTATGCACGGGTTGTGTACTGTTTGTCGGCCGCGATCATAAGTCACATTGGGGTTTTGCAGGTGCTTTGTGGTCACGCTTTGAAGTTGTGCCGGGTTCAACAGAAGAAGCATCGTTGCTCGCAAAGAAACCAAGACTAAATTGGAACATCATTGCTGGAAAGTCGGTTACATGCACACTTTGCAAGGCATTCCTCGAGGCAGCATTGCCCTTGCTACCAGAGGAGTCGAACATGGTCAGGCCAAACCAGCTATCTATCGATTTGCATCGTGGAGCCTTAACGCTTCCTCGGATGAATTCAAAAGTAAGCTTTACTATCACTGGTTAATTATGATTATGGGAATGACCTGAGCCTCAGACATGTAAGCATAGATCTCATAAAGCAAATGAGTGGCATGGTCTGACTGCCACGTTCACTTGGAATGGACAGTCTGATGACGCAGTCAAGTACACCATCTGGCCAAACAGTGGCTCGAGCCAGAGCAACTCCAATGACACACCGCATCATTGTATATGGCATCGCGACGTTCGACCTACAGTCGACTTCGATTTAGTGGCAGGTTGGCTTAAAGCATGCGATGAAACACATGGACACCACCCAGGCTCGCAGGGGCGAGAGCGAGCGCTTGACGGCATTCGATTCATCGATTTGCAGCAACGCTGTATCGTCCGAAGAAACCGAAATGTACGTTACGCGGCATTAAGTTACACCTGGGGCTCGAGAGAGCAATACTGCTTGACGAAGAAGAATATGCTATTGCTCGAAGAAAATGGCGGTCTTTCAAGTCTGGAAGGAAAATTTCGCCCTGTTGTTACAGATGCGATGCAAGTCTGTCGCCGTTTAGACATTTCGTACTTGTGGATTGACTGCCTATGCATTGTCCAAGATGACGAAGCAAGCAAGCATAGTCAAATTCAGAACATGGACCTTGTGTATGCCAATGCATACATCACGCTGGTTGCCGCTTCAGAGCAAGCTACGGATCCACACGTCGTCAATCAGAGTACCAATGAAGGCATAGATGAAGGACTAGCGAGAGTTTCGGTACCAGTCACCACAAACAGAGTGAATTTGCCCTTAAATGGCATGTCGTATACATGTTCAGCTGATGATATCAACACACTTTGCTCTTCGTTTTCAGGCTCACTGTGGTTCTCCCGTGGGTGGTAAGTCATATAATCCAGAGACCTTCAATATCTTTATCACTAACACAATCAAGGACTTTTCAAGAGCTCGTTTGTGCCCGCCGCATTCTCGTGTTCACAGCTAAGCAAGCTTTTCTCTACTGTCCAGAAGGATTACTAACAGAGAGCTTCCATCATGGAGAAGACCAATTTAAAGCCTTTCATGTTCCTCCTCAGCGAAAAGATGTCAGTCTTTGTGGCTCGTTAAATGAAAATTTTAACAGGGGCAGTATGCTCAGTATTTCGGATATCATCGCCGAATATCAAGATAGTTATGTGCCACTTGTTAAGGCATACATGGAGAGAAACTTGAGTTACGACAGCGATGGACTGAATGCCTTTTCTGGAATCATCAGTGCAGCATCTCGAACTCTTGGTCCGTTCCACTGGGGCTTGCCCTTAAAGACAATTGCTAGAGCTTTGCTTCTGGATCTACACGGGCATGACAGACCATCCGATCCACCAAACCGGAAGCTATGCTTCCCTTCGTGGTCCTGGCTTGGTTGGGCATCTGGATCGGTATCTGACGCATTCGATGATCGCTATCAACTCGTGCCACTAGTGCATATCTAAGCATATGACGGACGCATCGAGACGAAGCTTCTCGCTGGGCCTCGGAATAACTCCGTTGGCGTCGAGGGGTATATCGCGGCGGACATCGAGGCCTATAATCAAGCCACAGATGTGCAACTTCCCCTGCAACCAGCTATTGAGTACTCTCCATCGCTTCCAGCCCAACCTAAGGATATTACTCAGGTCCTTGTCTTTTGGAGCCATGTCGCTTGCCTTTTGGCCGACAACCGAGAAATGTCAATGCTAACTGTATAAGTTTAGATATTCACAGACTTCCCTGACGTCGTCGCTCTCAGAGGCGATAAGCTGCGTAATGTCGTAGTGAGAGCCTTTGTTCTCCTTGCGTTAAGCGTTTAGTGTGCCGCGTCAGCGTACAGATACTCCCTTGTTATAGAGATAATTAGGGTTATCAAGAACCCTACTGCGGTTAAGGTCCGCGCCGTTATCGCGGGTGTATTGCAGAGGATGCTTAAAAGAAAGGTATTCTAGCATCAGAAAGCAGATCGCCCCAGAAGCCGAATCGAGGTGTACTCTTGCACAGCATATCCAGATCTTGCTGATATTCTTCTGTCTTTTCCGGATTGGCGATCATATCGTTAAGATGGAAGCTCAAAGCCAGTATTACAACAACTGAAGAAAATTAATTTCATCACCAATATGCCTTCTTAAGTATCCCTAGTCTTTGCTGAAATATAGATGTCATGTTGTTACAGGCGCTTACCTTAGGGACGATGCCAGCTGCACAAGAATAGCAGAAACCAACTCGTTCGTTGAAGAGATATGTATAAGTGCTCTCGAGATACCCCTCGTTGCTACAGAACATAGATATTGTGTTGTTTTAGCACATCGGGCGCCCTACTCCGGGCCTGAGTGCTAACACCGCTCATAGCCTAGCGCCAATATCGCATATTTAGGTAGCCACCATTTAGAGCTACATCTGAAACTACATTGTTATACCACGACTCTATTGTCTGAAACACTTAAGCCTTGGCAGCCCTTCATTACACTACACCTCGCGCAACTCTCTGTCTCTTATCCTGAAGCCACAATTACCGCGACACTTTCTAATTCATCTCCGGCGAATAGAACAGACCACGATGGCATCGCTGACATTGCTACCTGATGAGCTACTCCTATCGATCCTCACCGAAGCTGCCTATGTCCGCAGTATCAAACGCGCTCTACGGTTGCGACTCGTCAGCAGTTAGTTTTCCATGTCCCAGATTAAGCGTTGAGTGCGATATTAAATAGACTAATCTGCCAGAACGCTTCGCCAATCTCGCCACCACAGCCATTTTCAACTCCGGCATTCTCAATCGTGAAGAAATTTCCGGCCACATCTACAGAGCACCGGAGTTATGGGCCGAGTACTTTACATACCTCACACTCAAGCCTACAACACGAAAAAGTCAGGAGTTCAGAAAACTATTTCTTATTGCGCAGCATATCTGTCGCTATCGTCATGCAAAGGCAGATGGACCCTATCTTGATGCAGGGGCCATTATCGACGAAGAACTCAGGGAATGTGTACTGGAACTTTGTCGGATGGTGACTGTTCCGATCTGCGGCGGGTACATGATTGTAAATTGGCCCACTGCTGCGTCCGCATACGTCACTGAAGGACCGTTGGACGAATCAGCCCTCGATTTCAGACGCCATCTCCTCAGCGCTGCAGCTTGGTTGGGCGAAGAAAGTCTTGTTATCAAACTACTTAAAGAAGGCTGCAATTGGTTTGATGGCCCGTAAGCACCCTCTACTAGATGCTTGTTTTGCATTTCACTGACATTTAATTCCCTAGCTCTCTGTTCTTGGAACCCATCCGCGCCGCATCTCATCGCGGCCACATCAACATCGTCAAAATTTTAATGGTTGACAGTTCCATCAACGTCTTCCATGTGAGAATTTGCCCCACTTACATTGCCAATTTCTTCAACGATCATACCCCACTACTTGATGTTATTCTCGGTCCTTCTTGGCAGAGGTGTGAGGTTGCGCCAGAAGACATACACGAACTACGAAGGCTTGCATTGAATGGAACTCGTACTCTGGAAACACTTAAACGGCTCTTAAAGGATGCAAAACCGCATATTATCGACGATGATCGGTACTGGCTCTGCAGACGAACTTATGAAGCCATAAAAGGAGGTCAAGCGGATATTGTGAAGTATATGATTGAGGAAGAGGGGGTCGAATTCAACGATAACAAATCTATTGACACATCCATGTTCCTGTCTCGCCACCCCGTGGAATTCGAAAAAGGCAGTAGGCTTTGGTATAGGGACGCTGCTTTCCTCAGTATGGCTGCCAGACGCGGGCATTCAGAGATTGTCAAGTTTCTGCTCGACGCCGGAGCTTATCCTGATCATGCCATCGAGTTTGCAGCAATGAGTGGATCGAGAACAATCATCAGGGTACTCTGGGAACACAATGAGTATGAAAATGATGCTGTACAGGGGGCTTTTGTGTTAGCAGTAGACCGAGAGGACACTGCGGTATTCAACCTTTTAAAAGAGCTTGGAGCTAAGCTCGATGATGACGTGAGAGTTGCCCTGATCGAGAGAGCGCAGAATGAGGGGCTGGATTCGATGGTCAGGTTACTCGATGAGGACGCACTGATCTCTTGATTGATGAGGTTGAAGTACGAGCGTTCAATCGGGGACACGTTATTCTACTCTACATTCATATATATCCATCAATGCGTAAATATGCTAGAATTAGTATTCCGATGTGATCTGTTTCATCGAGGATCTTGCAGTGCAATATAGACGGAGGTGCGAAGAACAGAATTCGTAGCAAGGTGCGATGCGGAGAAGAACATTCTAGCAAAGCATAAAATGACTGTTTCTTTTTCTTTTAGAAAAAAAACTCCGCGGTTTCAAATACCTCTTGATAGCCTCGCGCACTCACAACCAGCTCGACAAACTTTCATGAGTGGAGTAGTAGCACGCGATTAAGCCGGATGTAGCTTTGTCAAGAAAATGGAAAACAACTAGTATTTATACATCGTATCCGACTTGACAAACGGTGTAAGGTATTCCCCGGCGCCCCGAATCACATTTTCAATTCAGCTTGCGTTACAAGTCGAACTTTCGGTGTGAGATATCCCAGGAAATTGCGGTCTGGAGCAGCAACAAGAAATTGCTGATGTCCGGGATATACTTGTATCACTCCATCGGGGCAAAAGCACGAACACTCTGCCAATCAGCTGACAGCGGAGTGCACCAAGATCTGCAGCTTGCGTGTCTTACTGGCTGAAGTGGGTTTTATCAAGCACCAGAAGCGGGATAGCGCAAGGAGCATTGGGGCCAAAAGCGCTGAACATTGCTTTCGAACCATTCGTTTGGTAATTCTCGGCTGAACGCCATATATGCCCGGACGGGCATTCGACCTACTCGTGATGCACAAAAATGTTTGTGGAATATGCATCATCTTGGCCCAGTGTACATACCAGATTTCCTAGTTGCTCGCTTTTGTTTAGAGTTCAGCTCCGAGCCACGTAGTGCCTGATATTGATAGGCCGTGGTAATAAAATTGCATCAGCAAGTCACACTGTATTGTCAGGCGGCCGTAAGACGCTTGAAAGCTAGAGATTGACGAGCTGACCTGGAAGCTGGCTGTGCTGTTCGCCCATACACGTGTTTGATGCATCTGAGTACACTAACTCAACCATGAAGCTAGTGCTGACTATCCTGATCGGCGACTTGCCCGTTCTCATCGTACTTTGCAGACAGAGCCCAGCTATTCGGTAGCATAGGGCTTTAGCAGCTGGAATGTTTGTGATGAGGCTGGAGCTGCATCGCTAGTGGTGAAATACCTTCCGAGATCCAGTGAGATGAAGTCGGATGAGTGCATGCGAAACACTGACTGTGTACATACAAGCTACTTCCCCCGCAAGGCCTGCCAGCTGTGGCAACCCCGGACGTCGCATGAAGACGGGAGTGACTGAAGTCCGTCCTGCACGCAGCCTATACATCTCGATATCAAATCTGGAGCGCTACCTGCATCATCTAAATGCATGATGCACTGATCAAAGCGAAGGAAATATGACTAGAGAATACTGTGATCGAATTTGACTGTAGGATTGGGGGTCTAACGGTTCGCCGCTGTAGTGCCGATAACATGAGCTTCAAGACATCGTAATAAGCTGACGACCAGTTACAGCATGATCGCTGGGTCCGAGGATGTGTATGCGTTACCGGCTACAGGCCCATTTAGTCCGCCATTTTCGGTTGGGGCCACTGCAGCGGTAGTGGGCGTGCGCCTCTGCCCCTTACCATGATGCTGCGGCCCAGATCCTCAGCTCTGGATTAAAGGATTAGGATCCCTTCCTACGGGCCCCGAGGTTTGCGATGCTCACTCTATGCGAAGCAGCCCATAAGACTACTCTTGCCGCCAGTCAATAAGATACTGCAATCATTAGCCAATCACTGTCAAAATGGACTATACGTACTTCGCCACACCGCAGCAGCCCTATCATCATTTTATAGAAGCGCTATCAGATAACTTTCCGCACGTTGGGATCAACTCGGAAACAAATCGAAGCATTGTATGTTTTCCCACGCTCGCATTGGGTGCAGTGTCAGACTGTGGCCCCGCACTTCAGCCTTGTGGATACCGGTTGAACATGACTAATCCGAACATCACATGGCACAGGAACCTCTCGACGCTTCCATCTTCCCAGCACCTTACGATGCATTTGCATTTCACGGTCTGCCAACTCCACAACAAGGATCACCCGAAGCTACAGTACCGCTCACGCCTATGCCCGTCGGTAGCGTGGATTCGGGCCTGGGAGGCGACATAGATGAAAGCCGGGATGGCCGGATGCGCAGCAGCAGTGAAGAGAAGGAGAATCTCACGCCTGCTCAAAGCAGGCGGAAAGCGCAAAATAGAGCAGCGTATGTGCTCGTGACATGATTGAGATGATGAATCAATAATTGACTTTGATGCAGACAACGAGCATTCCGCGAGCGCAAGGAGCGGCACGTGAAGGAACTGGAGAACAAACTCTCCGCACTCGAGTCTAGCACACAGTCTCTCCAGTCCGACAATGAGCGCCTCAAACTCGCATTACAACGCGCGCAGACTGAAAATGAGATTCTGCGTGCAACTGCAGGACATTCGCCGGCTCCGTCTTGTGCTGTATCAGTAAGCTATCCGTCACCAGGCGCGCATCTCCCAGATGAGGATCTCAATGACAACGAATATAACGTCCAATCACTCCAAAATGGCAGCGTGATCAATGCTGCAGATAAGGACCATGCCGCCTCTCGACGCAAGACCAAAGGAAAGGAGATTCCCGCTGCCCAGGCCTGGGACTTCATCCAGCAACATCCTCTCGTCAAACAGGGCCTCGTCGACATCGCTGATGTGTGTGAGCGATTAAAAGGAGCAGCAAAGTGCGATGGCCATGGGCCTGTCTTTGAAGAAGAAACGATATGGCAGGTCGTAGAGGAGTCGAGACGAAGTGGTGGTGACGAACTCATTTAACCGTTGAACTTGCTGTGGAACTCCGGCGGCAGAACAACGTGCTTCTTATACCCACATACGCGCATCATGCGTACTTTATCATGACTTAACTACGGCGTCTGGAGTTGAAAGAAATAGCTTTTCCTGCCTGGCGCTGATATGCAAATGGCAGCAAGATCATAGCGAGGTGGCTATCGCGCTACGGTCTCAGCTAAACTTCTACTTAGTGCAGAACAATCAATGACAATAGTGCAAGAGTTTGTGATTGAGGCAGACATGCTGCGGCATTTGTAAATCTTTTGTGATTGCATGGAATGCAGCTCGTGAGTCTTGTTCATCTACAAATCGGTTCAACGTAAGATGAAGCTATTGTAACGCTGTAACACAACCAGTTTGGCGCGTACATACAGCGCTTCTGCCACCGCCTCTTTTTGTGGACAGAGTTAATGCGTATCAACGTGCTGAAATCGGCACCGGAACCACAACCAAGACGAGTTGTTTCGAATCGGTCAGCCGATGTAGACAAGCAAGTATAGGTGCACCAGCGCATCACATGATGCTGTATCCTTGATGCACGATCGAGATTACTTCTTCCCCATCAATCCCAATCACTATCCTCGTCGTCTCCCGTCGTCTTACCCTGCCTTATCTTCCCCTTTGGTTCATCCTCAACATCCTTCTTCTTCTGCAACCGCTGATCGTTAAGTTTGACCGCCCCAAGATCCACTAAAACTTTCTCAACATCTACAACAAAGGTGTCAGTACGCAAACCCAAAATAACGAACAACGAATACGCACCCTGTGTACTCGTCCTCACGCCACCCAACTCCCTCAACGTAACAATCTGCCTCTTAATATCCCCATCCTTGTACACCAGCACCGTGGGTGTATTCTTATCCGGATATCCCTCGATGCACAAATCCGCGCGCATCTGGCAGAACTTGACGTCGCCAAACCGCTTCGCCAGCTCCCGCCATATCTCAATCAGCACGCGCGACTCGGTGTTCGTACCCTGTGACGACGTGAGCAGGACAAACACAAACGCCGCTTTCGACGCGTCCGTCACGTCGCGCGAGTAGTCTGGTTTCTGGAGGTGGTAGACTTGGTTGTATATCGACGCAGCGGTGGTGGTCGCGAGTTCGGCCATGCGTTTTTGCCTGTTCACAAGAGTAAGCCCTCATCCCATCACGCCAATGCTAGGGCATATGTTACCGATATGATTCCAAAAAGTCCTCGTCTTCTTCGTCTTCGAGCGCATCCAGTTCTTCCAGGTCTTTGCCTTCGAGGCGGTTTTCGTGGGCGAGGCGGCGGGCTTCTTCGAGGGCTTCTTGGATCATGGGCGTAGGCGACGGTGGCTTCTCGGGGATCACGCCGTGCTTGCGGAGGATGTCGTTCCTGAGTAAGAGGTCAGATGGGTGTGTGGGGTTGCGAGGCTTCCACTGACCATTCTGTGTCTGCGTTGGGGTCGTCCACAGGGACCTCCATGGGCATGTCTGGCATCTGCATTGTCGCGGTCGGGGGAGGGGTACTGAACGGCGGGCGCGTGGAGGATGGGCGAAGTGAGGGCGGGCGGGGTTATGCGCAGTATTCAAGGCCGTTTAGGAAGAAGTATGCTTTGTAGATACGCTCAATGGCAGGTTGTCGAAGACGCGCGGCGCAGAATTGTGATGCCTAGAAATGCGCGTCCGAACTTTTCGAAGCTCAGCTCGCGTGGCCCCTGCATACTCACCCCGCCCCCACCTGCCCGATCCTGTGGAGTATCGAATGACGTATGCGGCTCTGAGGTTGAACGCACTTGGGACGACTGTGCTCTACTTCATGCTCTAGAATTCTGAACTAGCCGTCCAAGACCAGCAGCTTGCAGGCAGAGGAGTGTGTACTGGTAGCACCACAGGTAGACCACGATGACAAGTAATCACACGAATTAATGAGCGTTCAGTATTCTTCATATATACTTATATCCAGCAAATATGTAATCTCCTCACAATATTTTCATCCAGTCTCCAACTCCACATTTCCCCGCTTCATCCCACACTTCAACTCGCCTTGTTCTACGCCACAGAGAGTTCTCAAAAGAATTTTCCCTTGTGAGATACGACACTGCCATGCTCGAGCACCGCGTCATTCTCCTGCTCGTCAAACGCACCAAGACGTGCCGTATGTCTCGGAACCGGCTTGTCGAACGCATCGAATCGATGACCCTTGACTCTTGCCATGATCCAGAGAAAGCCAATGCGAAGCGCACAAGCGCCAAAAGCCCAGAGAAGGCCACCGAATGGGGCAGCAACGAAAGCACCTATTTCCTATTAGCCAGACACACCAGTAGTCAGAATTGCCGTTGACTTGCCAAAAGCGCTCCAGTCGTTCGCATATAGTCCGTTTTCCAAGAGGAGTAATTTACCGGCTTGAGTGACATCACCATCATAGTACACCAGTCCAAACAGGAAGATGGTGAAAATGCCTCCGAGACCACCGATCACGAAGTCAAAGCCGCGGTACCAGTAGAACTTCTCAGAGAGTCCGATGACCAAACACGGCACCACTGCTGCACTGACCAAGTCGCTGATCAGGAAAATTTGCAGGATGTCTGGACTGCGTAGCGCCACGACGACGACTGGGATAATGATGAGGACTACGCAGCCTCTAATCACCCAGATGTTGAGCTTGTTGCGGAACAAGTCGTTGGATCCCGTGCTGACCATGGCGGATTGGAAGCTGTCGAATGCGGCGGTGGACAGAGACATGACCATGACGAGTACGACGCCAACTACCCACGAGGGGAGTTGCTGCAGCAAGAGAAAAAGGGAGATGTATCCCCCCTCTGCATCACCAAGTTGCAACGCGCCGGACCACGCAGCCAGCAAACCTGCCACACCAACCAGCGTCAAGATAACCAGCACGCCAAAACTCGCAAGACTCACGCCGATCCACAGATCCTTGTCAGTGCGTGCGGCGAATGTGCGGAGCCAGAAGCCAGACAGAAAGAAGTCGTTAGTTAGAATGGCAACGGGCAGGATATAGATGAGTTGCCAGCCGAGAAGACTGGGTTTGAGATAGCCCGACTGATCAATGAGGGAGCGATCGATGTTTGTTTCGACACCAACGGCGATGACGCCCATGATGATGAGGCCGAGGACCATGACGCCTTGGATGTTGTCGGTGAGGAAGGAGACTTTGAATCCGCCGAGAGCTTGCATGTCCCATGTTAGCAACCATTTCTTCTGTTCATCAAGTACACGGGGACCTACAGGTGTAAATGGTAGTGACAGCGCACTCCACGATGACGACTGGAAGCCCATTCAATCCCGTCAACAGCGTGACAATTTGCTGCAAAGCAGACAACTCAGCCACCATGTACAGAAACATAGTAATCAGTGTACACGCGCTGAGGAACAAGCCTGCAACAGCCCCATACCGCTGCCTCGTCCATTCAGTCAACACAAACCCCTCAGGACACTTGCGTCTGATGATCGGGCCCAGCGCGCCGAAAACCAATAACGGCAGCGACGACGACAATGCGTACACCAGAAGCCCCTGGACTCCCGCGATTGTCGCGATTTGGGGATACGTAAACAGGATACCGGATCCCAGCGCTTCAGGATGCCTATGTCAGCTGATGTTTCCGAGGTGGAGGGGGGTAGGGGAATGGGAAGATAGCGGCAGCACGTTCCTCACGCAAGTATTATCTTGATCGAGTTCTGACGGTACTTCTCAGCTCCACTCTCAAACCGGCGCAAGACCAAGTTTAAAAGCGTCGCGCCCGCAGTGTTAAGCCGCACAGAAAGCCCTACCCTCATGACTGACCACGAGAACGTAATCAAGCCATGATAGGTAGGAACTCCCGTTCGAAATACTCAATACGAACCTGATCATCGGTCTTCCTCATCGACCTTAATACTTTGAATTGCGCTTTTTGTTTTTCCTCTTGCTTCCAAACGTCGTTGCCGCTGCTCTTTCACACATGTGCGCGGAGGCACTCACCCGAAGCGATGAAGTTCAGAGCAAGCGGTACACCTATGTTTCGTCAGCATCTTCCTATTGCGATCCAAACTTTTTGAGGAAAGAGAGTAGTGCGTGTTTTTGCTAACCCTTTTGTGTCCGATTACTCGCCAGCCAGTCTAGCTTAGACTGGTTGCGCAGGCGGAATGCAATGTAGCACCCGACGACTCTGGTCTTGTTAATCGTTACATCACTGTCGGCTTCCTGCATGGATCTTACAAGAAGGCGCCAAGGGTCAGGTAGATGATGGCATTTGATGCCGGTTGCGATGGGATGCCCATGATGCTAACAATCTCGTTTGTTTGAAGATGCAAGAATTTGGAGGGAGGACATGCAGGGTTTAAAGCTCCAAGATGCTGGGAAAGATTTTTGGGGCGAGAACCCCGCGCTTTCCTGGTTATGGTGCTAGCGCGGGCTGGCGAACGGTTCGGTCATCATGTCAAAATGGTTAGGAAGCGTTCTAGTCTTGTCTACTACGGGGTGTCTCCGTGGGGGTACGGGTGTGGAGGTTAGTCATGCATATGTCAACCGATTGCTCAATGTTGCCGAGAAGAAAGATGATTGTTCGAGAGAGCGGTATAATGCTTCTGAAGTGCTCAGACGTGATATTCATTTCTCCCGCTGTGAAGGGCACGTGGACTAGAATACTAAAACCAACAATAACGCCTCGAACGCTCCATACCGCAGAAAATGCCGCGCCCTAGGGATTTTCATACCTTTCGTCTGCCATAATCATCCAGCATCCGAATCCCCGTTCCGTCGCGTGCGTAGAGAAAACGTGGGCGAGATACTACTCCCCCGTCTTCCTCACCAAGCATGTCTGTCCCAATTCGGATCTGTCCATGTATTAGCCCTATCCCAATCCGTAATTCACCCAAAACACACCCTGCACAAAAGCCGCCAACACCTTACTCCCTGTCTGCAACAGCGGATGCCCGACAACAATCTGCAGGAAGCGCTGCAGCCCCTCTCTTCTATGCTCAATAACATCGTCGGAGAAGCGATTCGTCAGCACCTTTCCAGGCAGCGGAGGGATTGTGACGCGCGCAGATTCGCGCTCGAGGATGTCGCGGAAGGCTTCGAACTCGTTATAGCGCCGCCGGACGGACGAGGACTTGAGCTTGAATGCGGGGATGTTGGTGCGCATTACGATCTCGTAGGTGGTGTACATGCCGCGGCCGACGCCTATTGATCTCTATTAGCACTCGCCATCCCATGGAAATGTATTCCTTGGGACGTACCATGTGTCATTGGATTGCGAACCTTGTGCACGCGACAACGTGAGCTCAGCAGTTCCGTCGCGGGTGGTGGGTCAACATACCTCGATTTCAAGAAAGTTCTCGGGGGGCCCGTAGAGCTCCTCGAACGACTGGGAGCGCGCATCAGGAAGCGACTGCATCTTTGGCGGCGGTGATGGCGGGTGGAGGGAGGTATGGCGCAATGAGGGCAGTTGGGAGCTTGACATGGGCGGGGCTAAGCCTGCGTTCGCGCGCTATTGGCCCGGCGCACGTGTCAGGCCCTGCGTCAAAGACGTCGCTGCCAGCATGTTCGGAGCAGTTTGGCAACACTTGGGATGGCTCGCTGTGATAGTTGCTCGCTTATCGGAGTGAATTCCTACTTCTCGGCCCTTTCTTACAGCCACGACGTCACGCTAATCCAACGTCAAACCCTTTCTATCAGCAACAACGGACTACAACTGCGAAGCACATACCGACGTTGTCGAAAAGCAGGAACATCACACTAAAGAGCAAAGATTGAAGAGATGATTCAAGTTCATTAACTATGATACACGGATTTCAAAGTACTCGATGGTACTGGGGTACTATGGGGGTATTCGTAAACTTCATTCCTTGTGTGCCCGTTTTGCTTCCTCCGCTCCAGCAGTCCGCTTAGCGGTACGTCTGGTTTCCGCCAACAGTCTTGGAGCCGTCGAGGTCAGAGTCGACGCGAGGGTCGAGCTTGTTCAGCATGTCGCTGTTGTGGGGACCAGCAGTGGTGTTGCTGTTGCCGCTACCAACGGTGGCGCCCGTGTGGGTACCGTGAGTGCCCGCCAGACCAGCGCCGGTGGTGCCGTGAGTGTTGTGGGTGCCGTGGGTACCAGTCAGACCGGATCCAGTGGTGCCAGTGTGGGTGCTGGAGCCGTACTGGCCAGCACCGATGCCACCAGCACCAGCGGTGTTGCCAGCTGCGCCATAGCGGTCAGAGTCGACACGAGGGTCGGCCTTGTTGCCAAGGTGCGTTGAGTGAGGACCAGTTGGGTCGCTGTAGCCGGTTCTGTGGGTGGTGTTGCCGGTCAGACCAGCGCCGGTGGTGCCATGAGTGTTGTGGGTACCCGTGAGGCCTGAGCCAGTGGTGCCGTGAGTGTTGTGGCTACCAGTGAGGCCTGAGCCAGTGGTTCCGTGGGTGGTGGTTGAACCGTAGCCGCCTGCGCCGGCAGTGTTGCCAGCAGGGCCGACACGGTCAGAGTCAACGCGGGGGTCGAGCTTGTTGGCGAGCTTCGAGTCGTGGGGACCAGTGGGGTCCGAGTGGTGAGTGTTGCCGTGGGTGCCCGTTACACCGGTGTTGTGGGTGTTGTGGGTGGTGTGGGCGCCAGTGAGGCCAGTGGTGCCGTGAGTGTTGTGGCTGCCCGCGAGGCCGGGTCCGGTGTGAGTAGTGTTGGAGCCATACTGGCCAGCACCAACACCACCGGCGCCAGCAGTGTTGCCAACAGTGCCGATGCGGTCGCTATCAACGCGGGGATCCGCAGAGTTGGCAGCGTGGGAAGAGTGAGGGCCGGTGGGGTCGCTGTGAGTCTTGTCCTTGTGGAGGACGTTGTCGACCTTAGCCTTGATCTTGTCCATAGTTCCAGCCATGTTGTATAATAGGTTGGTAGTGGGGAATTGGTTGTTTTTTGAAGTGTTTGCTTGAAGTGTTGAGTTATGGTTGTAGTGTGATGGAGGAAAACCCTCGAGCCGGCATCCCCTTATATACAGCAGTAAAGGCAGGAGCTCCAGATCTTTGCTACGTCATTGCATCACAAGGCAGTTGCACAAACAGAGGGGAGGTAGTCGGCTGGGCTGAATCCCTGTTCCACGACTGCTTCGTCTTCATGCGGCAGGCTTGATTCAAACGCAGCATCTGTAAAACGTCATAGTCACTCAAAGAGGTGCAAGCTCTACGGTGAGACAAGCTCTGCGGCCAGAACTCGGTTCTTCTTCCCTTTTGATCATCCAAGCCCTGGCATTTCTTAGGGTATGGTTGTAGCAGCCACACGCATTGGCTGCTCCCGCCGCCACAGACCCTGTTTACAGTAAGGTTAAGGTGCCAAAGCTAGCTTACAGTCCAATTTAGGCGCCAGCGGGGAACCGCACGTGGATCGCGCTGCGTCATTTTCTCGATAATGTGCATGGAAATGTGGGGAAAGCACAGCTTAATTGTGACCTCAGATCCTGCTTTGCTCCGTTTTTTATCAGATTCTTGCGTGGCCGTGCATGATTGATCATCGAGATCAATTGAGGATCCCTGCTGAACACAGCCATCTGTGGCGGTGCTGACGGCTGATGTGAGTTCACCTGCAGGTCTAGAATGCGTTGGTTCGGAAACGCATAGTACGTCGGATGCAGCGCCTTAGAAATGCATGTCTGATCGTATCTGGATAGGTGGATGATTTGCCTCTAAGTGGTTCCCATGCACATTTGGGTCTTGGTTCCTTGAAATTGCCATCAAGTGCTCTGCCATGCTGTCGCAGTGTGAATGACGATTCGTGACGTACCCTTGCAACTTTTCTTGAACTTTTCGTTCTAGAATTCATCGCAACGTCGCCAACTGCCAGGTTTCAGGTCCCGGGACGTCTCCCCGGAGGATCAATTGGCGGTCTGTGTCGATTGCGTGCTCAGATCTCCCTTGCTTGCTCGTGCTGTCGCGAGATTGCATTAAAATGTGACTTTGCCATGACAAGTGAGCTTGGGCCGCCGATGACGTCGTAGCAAACTTACCACCCCTCCAACACATGTGCGTTCCACCGTCTATCACGACTGACCTATCCTTACCCAACTCCTACGATCTTCAATTCGGCCCGAATCATCCGTCGTCACCATGTCTGAGAGAGTTTCCAACAAAGTGAAAGAGGTCGCGAAGGAGGACTTTGATCAGGCCAAAGCTCTCGCTCAGGATGCGATCCGCTCAGCCGCGTATCTATACCCGTTCAAGGCATGCGGCTCCGAGCTCAAACATGGAAGACCCCACTAACTTCATTAACAGGGCATCTACTACTTCTGCGCAAACCGCACACTATGGCGACCTCTCGCGGCCAAGCTGGTCCCGACCATCTCGCTTGGATTGGGCGTGACCGTCTTCATGTTCGCCGTCACATATGTCCCGCAGGCGGCGATGCTCACCATCTTCAATGGTCCGCTTGCCATCTTCACAACCGTTCTGCTCGTGCTCAGTGAAGCCTCAACCATCTTCTCCGTGCTGAGCAAGAACTTCCTGATCGATGACGCGCTCATCGACACGTTCGATGGTACGCTTTTGTGTCGCAATCTACACTCCCTGGTCGAGAATGAGCGCCAGGTCAAGTCTGGAGGCGACCCCGTTGCGAAGTTGGGCAAGCTTGTCTCCAAGCCCTTCGCCAAGTTCACCCCGGCGGCTATTGTCCGCTACTTCATGTACTTGCCGCTGAACTTCATCCCGATTGTTGGGACAGTGCTGTTCGTCATTCTCCAGGGCCGCAAGTTTGGCCCCACTGCACATGCGCGGTACTTCCAGCTCAAGCAGATGAAGAAGCAGGAGAAGGACCAGTTTGTCGAGAAGCGTCGCGCTGCATATGCCAGGTTAGTCTCTTCCACACTACGTTCCGCTTCAAGTCGGCTAAAATGCAAGTAGCTTCGGTGTCCCAGCCGTCTTGCTGGAGCTTGTCCCCATTGCCGGCATCTTCTTCTCCTTCACGAACACTGTGGGTGCAGCACTCTGGGCTGCTGATATGGAGCAGAACCAGCAGAGCGGCGGAAGCTCCACTGCGCCCAACCTGCGCAACCAGGCTGAGCGCGCCAGGAAGGAGTTGTGAGATACCTGATGTGTTCTTCGAGATTACGTTTGACATGGTGCTGATTGCTCAACCGAAGAGATTTTGATACGTATGTCCGCTATGGGCCAGAAGGCCAATATCGTTATCCTTGGAAGCCTCCGTAGGCACGAGGCAATATGCTTGGGTGGCCATGATCCGGTCTGAGACATGTATATCAAGCCATGATGCCACATTCGAAGCGTGTGCTTTGGATGCCATGGAAGGGGCGCATGATAGTATACCCGTCACATGCGATACCTAAGTAGCATTAATAGTGTAATGATACATACCTAACGATCACCGCGAATATGGGATATGTGACCAGGAATGTCATTGCTTTGAATCGCTAAGCAAAATTGATGGGCATAGATGTTGTCGAAGAAATTGCATTATCGTCTTGCTAAGATCACTTGCTGGAGTACACAATGTGCTCGTACCCGAATCGCGAACATCTCGAAATTGAAGTGCTTCATCTTCATCTAGAGCCGCGAGAATGATAAGCTGTCGTGGTCTCTTCGATCTCATCTTCAGAACTAGACTAGCGCAGCTCAACCGCCTTTCCCATAACCAACTTCCGCAAGGCCAGTAAAGCACCCATGGGCTTTTGCCGCTTGATAAACCCTCTTCTTCTTCTCGAATCCGCACCAAAGGCCCCTAGACATCGTACATCGAATCCACCCACGGCTTGACACTACAAAGCCCAAACTCCACCGCCTCCTCCGTGCGAATAGTCCGACTGCCCTGACCGGGCACAAGATTGACCCACTTGTCAAACAGTGTATCCGCGTTCTTCTTGCCCAATCCTTTCGCCACAAGCTCCGGATCGTTCGCTACAGCTGGCTCGATGCCTGCAACGCCACCGAACACGAGCAAAAGGTGTTTGAAGGGCTCCAGGACTTTGTTATGCGAGGAGGAAGCGTTGTCGGGCAGGATAGAGTGTATTGGTATACCGCGTTCGGAGGTTCCAATCGTGTAGTCGTAGCCGGAAGGATACTCGCATTCTGAGAATACTGATGAAAGCGAGGGGGCGCGGCGTACAGTGTAACCCCAGTAGTAACCACCTTCTTCACGCGGAAGGCTGTTCGCGCAGGCGATAGCATCGATGGAATCACAGTCAGACTTTGACATGTTGGGCCATGATGCTAGTGGGTCTGGGTTGCTGAACCGCACGGTGGTGCGCATGCCTTCTTCGACCGGTGATCCTGCAGGAATGGGTACGCGGATGGGGTAAGGCAGGCCAACCTCTACGTAGGCGTAGTCTAGAGTATCTTGACTTTTCTTGCCCTTCTGTGTCGGTGCAGGTGCTGGAGCTGGGCCGATGACCATGCCCTCACGATACTGGCACCACTCATGACTTCTAAGGTGATGTGGCATATCCATGCTAGGCAGCATGCCTGCTTGCTCCAGGTTCTTGTGGCGAGGGAAGAGCTTCATGCGGAGATGAGGCGGGCATTCTGCATATGACAGTACATGGTAGAGAAACTGATCCGGGTTCTGCCAGGGCTCATCCTCTTCCAGAATAGAGTCCATGACTTCTTGCTTAGACAGCTGCTTCCCCTTCTTGCGCATGTACTTCGGAGCCACTACGCTAGGGACGTTGACTGGATCATCGTCGAAAACCACAATCTCGTCGACGCAGAATACAGCTGCAGCACGCGCAATCCGACCGACTTGAGCAGTCTTGTGATCGGGCTTCTTGGCGTTGTTGAGCCAGCTACCGGGCAATGCGATGCTGACTGTCCAGTCGCGGGCCCCTTTTGGGGTGAAGACTGCAGTGGGTCGTGATGTGTCGATTTCTTCTTCTTCTTTGTCTTCGTTTGCCCTCCTCTTCTTCATAGGGCTGCTGCTGCTCTCGCCATTTTGATTCTGGTGGATGACGACAGTTGATGCCTTGCGCTTCTGCCTTTATATTAGCTCTATAGCCTTATATACACTGTTTAATAGAAAAGTATGCGCAGATAGGTAAATGTGTTTAAAGTGCCTTAGAGCATATAGTTACTGAAGTAGTCTAGCCTTACAGCTATACAGCCTCTTCTTATTAAATATGTAGAGAGACATTGCCTCTACATTTATTCTTAGTAATACACTGTTTTAACTTACTTTGCTTCCTACGCCTGTCTCCTCACCAGCGCTGTTCTTCGTCCTTAGCTTGGTGTTCACGACAGTGCTATCGCCATCTTTCGCCATCGCGTTCGTGATTCAGTCTCTGTTCTGAGGAGCGATAATTTTAAAGTCAAAGATTAGTTATAATGAGATAGGTGTAGCGATTAGGGCGGAGTAGACATATGCGCTGAAGTCAGGTGCCCGCTAATATCAAGGTAAAGGTAGCTTAGGTAAAGGCAGACAGGTGAGAGAAAATTCCGCGATGTTCAATCGCAAATCGCACGAGTCATGCGCGTCCTGCATTAGCGCCCGCTCAGCATCCTTGTCTGGCGACCAGGATTAGGCAACCGCGACACGGCGCAGCAAACTCCAAAGTCGTCTGCGCCTTTACTTTAACTTGACCTTCCCTCCTATACGCCGCTTTAACAAACTCATATGCAAAGAGTATAGGAGAAGATATACTTGCGCAACTCACTATGGAAGCACCACCGTACGTCTAAGCGTCCCCTGCATTCCTCCCCTCACACTAACACCATGCAGTAAATCCCCCCTCACCTCCCTCACAAGCACCCTAACATCCTTCTTCGCCCTCTACTTCACTACCCTCTTCAGTCTCGACTCATACACTGCCGCGCGCAACTCGCCATTCCGACCTGCTAACCAAACCCTCCCACCCGCCAACTCCACACAAACCGGCGCGCGGTCAGAGTACCAGGCGGGCATGCACGGCAGGGGACGTAGAGGCCCGGGTGGAGGTGAGCCGCCGAGGGGAGGACGGGACGTTGGCGGTATGAGGGACTCGGGGCCCGCGGTGGGAATGGGGGCGAATACGTCGTGTGGGGCATGCATGACTTGAGGAGCGTAGGAGGTTGTATATGCGGGTTGGGGAAATAAACATTGGGGAATTTTGGCGACGAGATTTTGGCGCACACATGGACATGGAACCACGGCGGCGTAAGGCGTTCACAAAGACGTAAACTGGTCACAAGACTTCGATCTGAAGAGTTGGCTTGCTTCATGACTTTTCGCGCAGTGCTACTCGGTACGGTGGGTTGGATTGATATTATGTACAATGCAAATCATGCGCCTCGTCTGACATTCGTGCTCATCAGCGTGATCTTCTTGCCCTTCTTCTTCTTGCCACCGGCCTGCTTCTTAGGCGCTTCCTCATCACCTAAAGACATGGCTTGCACCTGGGCGATGACATCGTCCTCTTGGAGCAAGTCCTTCTCCCAGCCCTGTAGCCATCCATCATCAGCGTCATTATCTATCTGTGGTCCCATCGATGGCGATGCAGCTGCAATAGCTGCAGTGCCCCAGACAGTGCGCGGGGCAGACGGGCTGGTCGATGGGGAAGCTAGGGAGGCGAAGCCCTCGCCACGCCTGGTCGGCCACGGCGGTGAAGTCGAGTTGAGATCGCCATCAACACCATGCGCATCTGAGACACTACTAGGCTGCAGCGGCTGGAAGTCGTCCGCTGAGAACCTCTCAGAGATGCTTGGACGCTTCCTACGCCCTGATGCAAACTCGGCATACTCTGCCTTTTCGGCTCGTAACCGTGCTTTTTCTTCTCGATTATCCTTCTCCGTATGTTTTTTCCTCCGCCGCTCAATCTCGGGTTTAAACTTTTCCAAGACTTCGGGCGAGACAGTATCGGTCCAGTCGCATTCTAGGAAACCTACTTCGCAGCCATATGGGAGATGTGCCAAGTACTTGGTCCGCTTTCGTAGCTCGTCATCAACGACATGACCAGTCGAGACATGCTCGACCCTGGGCAGGATGGTTGCTGGGAATGAAGCGAAATTGCCAAAGGCGGCTTTGAGGATGCGAATGTCGAGCGGCGAAAGGTAGTAATGGAACAATGCTTGATAAAAGAAATACTCCGATGGCGTGTTGTGGTGTTCGTGCTGTTGTCGATTCCGGATCTCAGCGAGCGTGGCCGGTATGCTAGTCCTTGAGGAGTGAGACGACATTGACATAGTCCGTTGCTGACCTGGAGCAGGCGCAGCTTCTGATGATGGAGCAGGCGACGTAAAGTCCTGTCCAGACTTGGTAGCATTCTGGATGCTGTACATCTCCGGCACTGCAGCGGAATCTTCGTTGAACACAATGGGTGCACGCTTGATCTTGGGCTCTGTAGGCTTGGTAGGCATCTCGGGAGGGTTGCCAATACCTTTGGTCTTCTCTTTCGACTCCCGTATGCTCCGCACGGCCTTGCGCATCCATTCAATGTTGTCTTCGCCGAACATAACTTCGTCTTCCTTCTCTTGCTGCTGCAGTCTTGCAATCTCCTGGTCAAACTGCTCCATCATGTAGTCTTCTCCACCGCGCATGACGCGCGCATAGTCCATAACTTCAGCGGCGAAGTGCCAGGGTATATCTTCGTCCTTGCCCAGCGCATCTGCCCCATCACGCGGCATGGCCAGCGTGCTTCCAGCTGGTCGCACCACCAAGCGAAGGACAACGTCGCCGCCTTCCCGCGGCGGCTCGCCCTCCTGCCCAATGTACCACCGGACAGGACGAGTTTCGGTAATGTAGACTGTGTCAAAGCACAGGGGGCACTTCTTTGAACGCGCTCTTTTCTCGGGAGCCTTGCCATCGTCCTCAGAATGCATGTAGCGAATAAGGCAAGGCAAGCAGAATATGTGACCACATCTGGCCATCCTCGGGGCTACCGGAGTCCCGAGGCAGATGGGACAGGAAGCCTCTTGCGAAAGTTCGGACGCCAAGATCTGCAGGACATTATTCCAGTCCAGGTGGATGTCAGCATCAACGCTCTGGGCGCGATAGTCGCCACGCGGGTCGACAATAAAGCGGTAGTTGGCATGCACGTAGCGCGCCTTGTCTACGGCATGATAGCCCGAACCCAGACCCCAAGTCGGATTCCGGCGGTTGTTCCTGCCATAGCCGTGCGATTGGTGGTTCTGAGGCCGTGGCGGCAGACTGAAGTTCATCAGGTGAGTGATGGACGTCTGTCCCTTGCGGTTGTTGAATGGACGCATGGCGAGCTATGTACTCCTGTCAGCCACTCGTCACACTACTATGCGCGCTCAGTACTTACTGACTCAACAATAGCATCCTCGTCGGTCGCCCTGAAGCGCTTGGAGCCCTTGTGCTGCTTCTTGCCCTGCTGGTTATTCCGAGGCGTGGGAGAAGCGCGACTCGAGGCCCCTGTTCCGGAGCTACCCCGCTGCTGGCCAAAGAAGTTGACGGTGTTGAGGGTGAGGGGCTGGTTCTGCGAGGGAGAGGTGGGGCCAGAGGATGCAGAAGCTTTCGAAGAAGACGCGACTGGCGGGGGGTTGGAGGACATCGTGTTGCCCAATCAAGGGTCCACGATGGGTGCGCGACGATGACGATGACGCTCTAGAGCGCTTGATACTGCTGTCGTCAAAGCGAGGGCGAGATGGAGAGCGTCGCGCGGGAGGGGAGGAGAATGAAGGAAAGGTTCACGGCGGTTCACGACTGATTGGTTTGGTGTAGTGTCTGGGTCCCCCAAAGGGTGACTTAGGGAGATGGAGTCAGAGAGTGGCGGCCGGATAGATGACATCGGACGGACGAAGTCACGTGTGCGCAACGACGTTTGCGAATGCAGCAAGCGTAGCCGGTGCAGCTTCTGCAAAGGATTCTGGGCTGCGATTCGACATCAACGACTAAACATCTGCGCACTTTGCAAGCAGCCCCACGTCACCTGCACCAAAGGGCGTGTTTCTCTGCTCCGAGTACCGCGTGTCAAACTCAGTGGGAGTCTCTGACGCTCTGACCGGGCCGCCGCACAGACGCAGTTTGGGAGATCCGAGAGCTGCTCGCGACCTTCGAACTCTTTCCATTTGACATTGATTACCACGCCGCCCACCACATCTCCCCCTTTCACGCACACCTCGCGCTCCTTCCCGCGGGCAGGCTCTGCTGCGCTCATGTCGTGCTGATACAATGACCCCGCGCTCCGCCAACTGCCCCGCTACCTGTAGTAGTCGCCCTCCGCCGCAAGCCCTCGTCGCGCGACCTCCATCCGCACCCCAGCAATAATTATCAACTGCGCGCCTTCCCGCACTGCGCCCGCGCCCGCGCCCATCACGTCCGAACGTGATACTGGATACCCAGCAGCTCGCCTTCTTCTTGCCCTTTCCGTTGCCTCACACGTTGGCCGCTTGGTCTCTCTGGCCGGCGACCGACTGTGAAGGCAACACTGCCGCCCGCTCATCATGATGCCCGGCCCTCATGGCCCGCCTTCGGCGATCCGCCATGCACCAGGGACGCAGGCAGGAGCATCCCGTACTACCACCACATCCCGCCCACAGACACACTCGCCGGTGCACCATAACCCATATGCGCAGTACCACCACCCCCAGCACTATGGCCCCCCCTACGGCTATCCACAGCACATGCAGCAGATGCCACAATGGAACCCTTACCATCAGCCACAGGCACAGTACGTGATGCCGCCGCGCCAGTTCCAGCCTCACGCGTCGCCCGTGGTCGTCTCTTCGCATCCCCACATGCCCATCCCCCCGGTTAACCGCGCAATGGGGCAAACACCGCCCATTGTGCACTCTCATACGCCGCCAGTCCAGCGCATGCACACGCCCCAGCCGGCACCGTCGACACCGTCAGCACACTCTCAGACTTATATGTCTGCTTACAACACCTCCGACGAACAACACGGTAGACACGCCCCCTCCGGTAGTTGAGTCGAAGCCTGCCCAGGGCACGCCTCCGACGCCTGTTCAAACGACCGTTCGCAAGTCCTTCTACCCGCCACTTCCCTGGCTTTCTGTTCCTGGCCCCTTTCCCCCGCGTGCTGCGGGACGACGGAGACGGAGGCGGGCGCCCGTAGCTGCTGAGGAGGAGGGCCTCGCTCTTCCCTCTCGTGAGCAGGCGGTCGAGGACGATGTCGCGGAGTCTACCGGAGAAGTTGATGACGGCGACCAGACACCGACTGAAGAGCCGACCGAGTCGCTGGCTTCCACCGCCGCACTCCCTTCCGATGCAGAAGTTGATACTCCATCCACATCCCACCCTCCTTCCGAAGTCGACCTGGCGCATGTTACAACCCCTTCTGCTGTGTCTCAGCAAGCGCCACCAACAGCTCCGGTTGCGAAGCACGCACGCACTGCTACTATTCCTGCCATCCCGCTTATTCCTATCAAGTCGGCAAAGGCACCCAGTGCAACTTCTACCACCCAGAAATCGGTCAAGTCACCAGCGCCCAAGACCGAGGACACTTCGGCAGATGTTGAGGCCGAGGCGACACCCAAGGCATCACCGCCCAAGCCATCTGCACCAAAGTCATGGGCCGAGCTGTTGAGGGCGAAGAATGCTCCTGCTGCCGCCCAACCCGCGGCAGTAGCATCAGCACCTCCTGCCACCAACGGCGTAGCTGCTACGAACGGTCCCGTAGCTCCTCGCAGCAACACTTTAGCCGATGTTCTCGCGTCTTTTTCTGTCGACTCGGAGAAGAAGGTTACTTTTCTTGAGCCCCGTGGCCTTGTAAATACGGGCAATCTGTGTTATATGAATTCTGTAAGCGGCTGCCTTCTTTCTAGCAATTACAACCAGCTAACGCTTGCCCAGATTCTTCAAGTCCTTCTCTTCTGCGTGCCATTTTACGACTTCCTCGACCAGGTCGCGAAGCGCGCTGTGCATAGCTTCAAGTCCGAGACCCCTCTCGTCGACGCTTTGTGAGTGTTTTCACCTATCCGCTGTGCATTGTGCTAATTTTTTTAGAATCATGTTTATGCGAGACTTCAAGCTCATCGACTCTGCTGCTACCGTTGAGAAGCTCCGCCTTCGTCTGAAAGACAAGGAGCTCGAGCAATATGGCGACCCACTCACACCGGAGTATGTCTACGACGTCATCCGACGCCTGCCTCGATTCGATAACATGAAGCGAGGACAGCAAGAGGATGCTGAGGAATTTCTGGGTTTCCTGCTTGCCGGGCTACACGATGAAGCTGCACACATCATCAAGAGTGACAAGCAAAATCAGGTATCAAACGGAGTAACATCGCCTTCTGCAGAACAATCGGAGTCAGTTGATGGCGGGTGGATGGAAGTCGGTGCAAAGCAGAAGTCAGCCAACACCCAATCTTCTGGCGCGATTGAGTTCGAAACGCCTATTACCAAGATCTTTGGCGGCAAATTGCGTTCCGAATACAAGAAACCTGGAGAGAAGGCCTCTGTGACCCTTGAACCATATCAGCCTCTCCAATTGGACATCGGTGAACCGAACATCAACAACATCTCGGACGCCCTGAAGAACTTGACCCGTTTGGAGACGCTCGATGGCGCTGTTCGAGGCGCTCGTGCTTCGACCAAGCAAGTGCACATTGAGTCGCTTCCTCCTGTCCTAATACTCCACCTGAAGCGATTCCACTACGACGCACAAGGACCGCAAAAGATATGGAAGAAGGTCGGATACCCATTGGAGCTCGAGATTCCAAAGGAGGTGTTTCCGCCACACAAGCGAAACAGCTACATGACCCATGGCGCATTCCCACGCTACAGGCTGATTTCCGTCGTCTACCACCATGGCAAGAATGCAAGTGGTGGGCACTACACAGTCGACCTCCGTCGACAAGAAGGTAATGAGTGGATCCGCATGGATGATACCACTCTTCGCCGTATTCGCGCAGAAGATGTGGCCGAGGGAGGTGCTGAGGAAGACCCGAAGGTACTCGCTGCTGCGCTGGAGCAACACAAGAATGATGCCGGCAAGAGCAAGAACTTTTTCGCTCAAATCGACATGGAAGAAGAAGAGGCAGACAAGGGAGCGTGGAGCCAAGTGAATGGCACAGAAAAGAAAGAAAATCCGAAGAAATGGGCTGGCATCGTCAACGGTACAGCAACACCCAACTCCGCGGGCAAGAGGACGCCGATGCCCAAGGAGAACGTCAGGGACAACAAGGTGGCATACATACTGTTCTACCAGCGCATTGAGACTTGAGGCAAGTCGTTTACGAGGTAGGGCATACGACATGTGCGCATTTGCCAGGCGTACAGACTACACTGGCATGTCCGCAACGATCAAAAGTTATCTAAAAGCATTTGCGATGGCGATAATGAGGAGCATTTACCGTGATACCAGTACCATGGTGCTATGTCTGCATCGCGGAATGTTGCGAAAAGAGCAGGAGCATTGGGGATGGGAGGACGGTTGCTTTGATACCCTGAACCGGGTGTCTAGGATAGTGACCAATAATGATGATACAATTCCAACTTTGCTTCATGTGCCACGCGTGATGTAGGCCTCTCAATGTGATAGATGCTTTCCACGCAAGCACCATTAAAAGTTAAGATTCTAGGGAGTGTAGTTGTTGCTCGATAAGTGGACCGTGCATTCAAGCTATCAATTGCCCCTCCACCCCCACCTTCCTCCCAGAGCTTCCCAAAACACCAAAGCTCCCAAAGTTAGTAAATACCATAGAACACAAGATGCTCATCACAGAGACGCATAAGGATGTGCCTACAAAGGCGGGTGGTGATATGAGTGAGCACATTGGAATACTTCGAAAGAACAAGGCAAGCTAACTTTCTAGGGATCTTCCTCTTCCATCCAAGTATTCCAAATTATCCGAAGGCCAAGTTTCCTGGCGTCGTCGTGTTTAGTGAAATCTATCAAGGTGAGATGCTCGAGATGGGCTTGATTCTGTTTCTTTTAGGACAAGTCAAAGCTACACTATTCCCGTTTTCGTACTTCGGTTCTCTACATGTATTTGGGATAGCCTGTCATGTTACCTTGCGTCTGCTCTCTTTTTTTTTTGAACTCATCCACTACCCTGAATACATACTCACAAATCTCCAGTGACTGGCCCCGTCGCCCGCTTCGCCAGACAAATTGCTTCCCAAGGATACATTGTCGCCGCACCGTCTTCGTACCATGAATTCACGGGCCCTGAAGCGCTCGCATACGATGGTCCAGGAACCGACAAGGGAAATGAGTGGAAAATCACAAAGACGGTTGAAGCATACGATGAAGATGCAACGTTGAGTATCGATACGTTACTGGCATTGGAGACGTGTAATGGACGTGTTGGCGCCACCGGTACTCACCCTTTCCTTTCTCTCCAATTCGCATCCTTATCATATCCTTTACATGCTGACATCCCTCAGGAATGTGTCTAGGCGGGCATCTTGCCTATCGCTGTGCCCTTGACCCACGCATCTCCTCCGCCATCTGCTACTTCGCAACCGACATCCACTCGCGCACTCTCGGCGCTGGGAAATCCGACAACAGCCTCTCCCGCGCCCGCGACATCAAAGGCGAACTCGTCATGATCTTCGGCAAACTGGACAACCACGTCCCTCCCGAGGGGCGCGATCTGATCCGCAAGACGCTGCACGAGGCGGGCGTGACGTTCAGCTTCTATGAGCACGCGTGGGCCCAGCATGCGTTCATCAGGGATGAGCTGAGTAAGGGACGATATGACGCGGCATTGACCGGTGTGTGCTTTGAGATGCTGAAGGAGCTTTTTGGTCGGACGTTGAGAAGTGAGCTTGGGCCGAGAGATGGAGCCGAAGTGGAAGTTGAGGATATTTGCTGATTTATTCTTTGCTGAAACTTCTGGACATTCGCAGCTTGCAAAGATTGCTTAAACTCGTGTCATTTAAATTGTCTCTATGATGACAGCCTAGTGCATAGAATCCTCCTTTGAAGTAGCACACCTGCCACTTTACCTTGGCCTAGCAGCCGGGTGTGCATGTTCCTCTATAGCAGTAACAAACTTGTCTCATGTCAAGTGTGGCCTTAATAGAGGAGAAATGGTCTCAAAGTGTTGCGACGACAGCAGTTGCGCAGCAACAAGAGGATTGCAGGGACAACATATAAAACCGGTATGACAATCAAAAGAGTGAACAATCTTGTTCGGGTATTGAAACCTTGTGCAGGGATACCAGGTTGATAACTGGAGGATGTGGGAGGACAGTGCGGACATGAAAGAGGTAGGATGTTCTTGTATTGATACAGCTCTAGAGAGCGATTAGATACACAAGCAGATGACTAAGTAGGTGACGAGAAATGAAGTGAGATGCAGTTCATAGTGTATCGTGTGAACGGAGTTGCCAGGCTGACATAGTGCGTACTGCCAGGAACAGTACGGATCAGATCTACAGTGTCAGGATGTCTAAAGAGTATACCATGGAAGTTGCGTACTCTTACAAAGCGCATTTGTAAGACTCCGCTTTTGTCGTATCCAGGTCGGCGGACACAAGACGTGTTTTTTCTGGGTAAGGGCACAATATCCTCTCGTACTGCGTCCCATTTGTGTCCTTGAAGTTAATCGGCAGCGTGTCTGGACGGACGCCTTTCTCCACCCAGTCGACCAGTGCTTGGAAAGTTGCTGTTGGCTGTCCTCCCACTCCACCATTACAGTGCCCTAATCCTGGGACTTCAAAGTAGCGGAAGAAGTCCTTGATGTCCGGCGTCTGCTCCGTGGCACGAGTGTAGTATTCGTTGGTTCCTTGTCTGGGAATGACGGTGTCGGCCTTCATCGTCATTCAAGTCAGCATGAAAGTAATGTGTGCGCGACAGACTCTAAAGATATAAAAGAGGAGATTCTGGAGTTGTAACTCACCATGCCATGAAAAGTAATCATTTTGCCACCCGCGTCGCGAAATGTAGAGAGGTCGGTATCAAACGTTCCAATGATCGATTCAAACTCCTGCACGGAAGCCTTAAACAGGCGCGCGTATTCCTCGACCGAGGCGATCTTAGAAAAGTCCCAATCAGGATCCTTCTTGACCATGAATTTCAGCCAGGCTTCTCCGAGTCCAGTAGGCATTCCTACACAAGTTTCATTCGAATTACAAGTTGTCATCGCTAGGCCCGGAGATTCAATGGAGCTTGGATCTCCAAAGCTGGTAAGTCGAGACTGGTAATCGACACCGTAAAAAAGAAAATCCCCACTGGCTTTTCGGGGCCCCGTCCAGGTGAGGTTGGCGATGGTAGCTGCTGCGTTACTAATCGTGGTAGTTTCGTTGTTGCAATTGACAATTTTGCCAACCATGGAAAAGGGATCGAAGGAGCAGGCATCTGGATCACTAATGATGCCATCGGTGACATCATCTTGGGAATCGCAAGTTGCAATGGCACCAGCTGTAAGCGCGTCTAATTCGCATTTCGGAGGAAATTGCCCAAGGACTTCCATCATGACCTGTGGCCACGCAAGCGCAGGTATGAGACGGGCCCAGTTGAGAGCTGGAGCCGAGGCAGCAATGCCATCATACGCCTCTGGATAGCGCTGGGCAAGCATCATTCCTTGACGACCACCTTGTGAACAACCTGACCAATATGAGTACTCCGCAGGCTGGCCGTAGAATTCCTTGATGAGTTCTTTCGCAACGATAGCCTAGAATGGGGGATTAGCGATGGCCATTACAGCTCGAAGTCTTTTTGTACGTACCTGATCCTTTAAAGAGACGGAAGCAAAATTTTGGAGAGCATACAGATCTACATTTCCTGGACTGTTGAGAGCCCACAGATCTGGTTTATAGCTCATACCGATACCCGCGTCGGTAGTGGTTGCAACATAGCCGTTTCCAAGAGCTCTAGCCATAGCAGCATATGATACGTCGAACCGACCAGCCAGCCAGCCGCCACCTCCAACTGCCTGGAGACGTCCATTCCAGTTCTTCATTGGGAGCCATTTCTCAACGTTGATTGTGTCGTTCTGACCGGGATGTGTATATGTGACAGTGATGTTGCAGTAGTCAATGTTCCTCACACTGATAGGAGGACTGTCGAATAAGTACTGGTCGGATAATTCTTGAGAGTAGTTTTGGACAAGATTGGCTGAGAGGTTTAGGATCTCAGCACCGAACACCATAGGATACGGGATTGCGCTTTCAGCACATACTGAAGCTGGGATCGAAGAGACGTTCATTTTGCCAAACAGGAATGATAAAAGGTGAACACGTCAGTTCAAAGAATAGGCGAAGAGACACTAGATAAGAAATCTGCAAGTCTGCATCTTTATATCAAAGGTGCCAAGGGATGCGAATCGTATCTAGTATCCTATCTGAATTATTAATTTGGCCAAACCCTAGCAGTGTGCCTCCCATTGATCCTGTACGAAGTCTGCTGGTCAACTTCAGAAAGTGGAACGTATACGCGCTGATCGTTGCGCGTACACATAACAAGACGTATTAAGAATACGACGTATTGCGACCTCAATGTAGGTAAAATATGTGACCCATTGTGGCTCGCAAGCATACCTTGTGCTAGACATTAGATCTCCCAGTGGATCATTGCATAAGGTTAGATCCCTGCCGTGAAGGAGATTCGGCGTTGGGAAATTAACTTAAGTTGGCGATTAGTTGAGTTGCGTGTTGTTGAATCTGCGTATACGTCGTATCTAAAATTCTAAAATTATACGGCAACGAAGATAGCGCCACCACTATCTCCTATTGGACCTAAGGGCCCTCGCTCGACTTATAATTGGATGAAACGATCGCCAAGATGAACAAGCGCTCAACCGAGGCCTCGATCGTCGTATTCGTAAAAGGCCTCTCTCTGGCTCTCGTCTTCCTCGGTTCTCCAGCTCACTTTTCTCCTTGTTTTCGCTCATTTGCCATTGCGTATACGCCGTACTTTTCTTGCTATTCGTCGCAGAGCCAGCGACTGCCGGCGACACGGTTGACGGTCGCCATGCCGCCTCGCAGGGCCTTGCGCAGGCCGCACAAGAAGTCTAGGCTTGGATGCGAAGAGTGTAAACGTCGCCATGTCAAGGTACGCAACCTGCCCTGTTTCTCATCCTCAATCTGCCCATTGGTAGTAGTCGCTAACGTACCTGTACGTTTTTCCTTCAGTGCGATGAGGCCCGTCCCAATTGCACCAATTGCTTGACCGTTTCTCGGACCTGCATTTATCAGTCTTCGTCGTCAAGCACGACTCGATCATCCTCTGCCCCAATTCCCCGTTCGTCCTCATCCACCGCTGCCGACTCAACTGTCACAACACCTGTGACCGTCCCACCTACGCTGGTCTCCTTAGGCCTGTTGTCTAACGTTTCGACGCCATCGCTATCCATAACCTCTATTCCTGGCCCAGATTCCACAACACCACCATCGGTGCAATGTGGCGCGTTGTGTTCACCTGTCAACATTCATCATATGGAGCTTTTCAGCCAGTTCCTCCTCGACACAGGTCCGAGCCTTTACGAGGGAGGGAGTACTGATTATAAGCGTTTCCATGCTATTGTGCCTATTGCGCTCTCTGCTCCGTATGCCATGTATCAAATACTGGCGATTTCTGCCCTGCACTTGAGCCATATAAGGACTGCCCAAGCGAGTCATTATCACGAGGAAGCCACGGCCCTCCAAACCGAGGCATTAAGTCGGTTTAATGATGTCTTGCCCGAAATCACGATTGATAGTTGTGCACCTATGCTGCTATTCTCGACCCTTCTCAGCCTTCATACCCTTGAGGAAGCAGTCACAGCCTCGGAAACGGATGCAGGTGGATTCTTGGACAGGTTCGTCATGTATCTGGATCTTCACAGGGGCGTGCGTGCCGTTACTAGCGAATCATGGCAGTTGCTGTTGCACTCTAACATTTCGTCTCCGCTTCGTCATGCGGAACGCGCATTAGAATCTGCCTCTTTACAATCTAATGAGCAAGCCACTTTCGTCGCTGACCGACTGCATGTCCTGGTTAACGACGCTGATATGGGACCAGAATCCGAGCAAGCATGCCGTGAAGCTGTGGAGAGTCTACAGCTCGTTTATCGGTCTACATCCTCGATAGGAAAGACATCTCCCGAGAGTGACCCTGGCGTGGTTTGGGCATGGCCTACCTTGCTGTCAGGCGTTTTCACTAAACTTCTTATAAAACGAAACCCCGAGGCACTCATCATTCTTTGCCACTACGCAGTTCTCCTTCATCGAAGACGTCACATATGGCTCGTACGCAATGCTGGTCAGATGCTCATTTCTGAGATCACACGGTTTCTTGGCACGTATTGGTCAGACTGGCTCGACTGGCCGAACAAGGTACTCCCAGACCTTCTCTGAGCGCTTTGAGCTGCTTGCTGGAATGAGACTAGGCTTATTAAGCTTGCGCTGCATGTCAGAGTTGAAATAATGCTCTTGTTGATATGAAAGCCCAGCATTTCATTCTGTTCTTTCTAAGTGCGTTTCAGAAGTTTTGGAATTAGGCATCTGTATTATTCTTGCGATCCTCTATCACTATACATAGGTCAATCCTTGGACTGTATACACAACAGCCTTCTCGTCACATTTCAAACTCTCTCGCGTGCGCGGGATCTACAAGTAGACTGTAGCTTCTTATTCATTAATGAGATTTGCGGATGTTTGTAGCTTTAAAAAGTCACTTGAATATCTATGCCGCTCATATTCTATTTAATGACAGCCTGGCGTACAGACTCCTCCGTAGCAGTAGCACACTTGCCTCTTCACTTTGTCGTGGCAGCCGGGTGTGCATGTTCCTCCGTAACAGTAGCAGACTTGTCTCTTGTCGATTGCCTAGTTGCGCTGTTAGCCTCCTCGTCTCTCGCAGAGTACAAGGTAGTAACTGAAACGTACCAGGCCTTCAACGATGGCATTGGTTTGCGAGTCGCGGACCTCGATGGTGGTGGATTCTGCAACTGGCCGTTAATACTGGGATTTGGATGGGATCTAAGAAGGTAAAATACCAGTCGGAGCTGTAAAAGCGGTGCTCATGAGAGCGAAGGTCGTGAAGAGAGGGGCGATGAATCTCATTGTGACTGATTGAAGATATCTGACACGAGTGTTTACTTGGGATTAGGTTAAGATGAGATGCTCAGTGATGACGGTGGTATCCAACGCGCTGGTCGATGGATCTTATATAGACAAACTTTTGCCGCACTGGCATTACTGCAGTCTTTTCGTACTATCTTGCCCCGAGTTCCTGTACTACTCCATACCAAGAGTACATTGCTGCACTTTGGGGCTGCAAGGCAGTGCCTTCGTCTGTCAAAGTTACAAAATCGCACCAATTATGTGGTTCCATCGCCTACCAACGTACGACCTACGAGCCCACATAAGACCCAGCCATCTTCCACGAAACCAAGTATAATGCACATCTTTCCCACAAAAGACCTAGAAAGCATCAAATCCGCGTCTTAGATCGCTACTCGGTGTTAATACCTGCCCGTACTGGACAAGGAGCGTGTTGGATCTCCATAACGACGAATGGACCAACTTCTACCCCGCAAGACACTTACACCCCGTGCGACTCTGCGCCAATGATCATGCTTGAAAAGACTGCATAGAGTTAGATATGGCGGGCCTGTCCTTCGTCCGCGCGGGACGCCTTACGCCACTTACGGGAAGTCATGCTCGACATCGCTTGGCTTGAATGGTGCCGCTGAGGCGTCAAAAGTCACTCTGGATATCAACAACCGGAATGTGGAGTGAACCAAGAACTTGCGACATGAATAGGGTATTGGAAGTGTGCAGTGCGCTGCTATTGGTGCTACAACCCTCGAGCGTTGACAAAACGTTACATCTGTTAACCAGCCTGCTGCAACTGCGGTCGCAAGCATGTAAGCTACATCTTCGAGGCAGTCTTAATATCCACACTGGTGCCCCACTCCTTTAACGGCGGCGTCGCCACAAAACTCGGCCGACTCTCCCACTTCTTCATCCATGCCTCCAACTGCGGCCTGCCCTTGCTCCAGTCAATTCCCAGATGACCCATATTGCCCGTCATAGCGGTAGCCACGGCGACAGCCACCTCATCCGCCGTTGCTGGTGCTGCACTTGGGTCCGGTAATATGCCGTCCTTGGCTGCAACTTGCAGTCTATCCAAGCCACGGACAATCTTCTGCTTCTGGCCTTCGACCCACTCGTCAAAGTACAGGTTGCGTTCCTTGCGGATGCGTACTTCGTACGTGATGAGTATGGCGGCGTCCATTATGCCGTCTGCGCACGCGTGAAGTGTGTGCAACTGCCAGTATTGCGCGTCTTTTGTTCGTGTGACGGATGCCATGTGCTCCAGGTACTCGCAGATGATTCTGGAGTCGTAGATACCGTCTGGTACATTGTCCGGAACTAGGCACGGAATTTTGGTCATGGGGTTGAACACGGACACGTCGTCGTTGTTGTCGCTCCAGCCGGCAATTGGTACGGGACATACTACAACCTTCTGTAGCGTGATGTGTTTTGCCAGACCGAGTTCGTGGGCAAGCATAAAAGCTTTTCGCGTGTATGGTGACTGATGGTGGTAGATGAGACGCATCTTGGGGATCGCTTGTGCTTCGCTGATAGTAGATGGGGCTCTTGCGATGCTAGTAGAGACCTTCTTGATACTAAAGTTCCATCGCGGGAAATGCAGGTGCAGACCTTTGTCGTTCTCGATGACAACCTCGTTTGTACTCAGACCGACAAGCTTACCAACGCTGACGCCCATCTGTCCGTAGTCTGAGGGAAATATCTGGACCTCATCACCTTGTTTGAAGTCTAGTGGGTCATCGTTGATGAAGCCAATATCATCGGCAGGCGAAGAGGCGCTCAGAGTCTGACTGGCCATAGCTTCGCCATCAAGCGTTGTAGGCATAGCATACGCCTGCTTTTTCTCTGCCACGAGATCCATGAAACGCCTGACCCACGCATATACTTTCGGGTATATTCGATCATTGAAGTTCTGCTGAGGCAAGCACTCTTTCATATACGGATCAACGATCATCCACTCAAACGGCCACACCGCGTCAATGTCTGCAACAGTCGGCTCGTTCGTGCCTAGGATCCATTCCCGGCCGTCAGCGAGGAACGTGCTTTCGAACAGATCGAAAACATTGCGAATATTCTGCAAGCCATCCGGCCGGCCAGCCTCCATAGCCTCTTTTGTCATGCGCCTCCCACCCGACAACTTCTGTCGATCGTCAAGGAAGACCTTGTTCTGCAGCAGTCCCGAGTCGCTCCAATATGGCATCAGCCTTACCACATTCGCGAAGACCCCACCATCAACCGAGAGATTCTCGAATAGCTTCCGTATTCCTGCTTCACCCGGGGTAGAAGGCGTCAGAGTGCTGCCAGAATACAACTCCTCGAGCTTAGAGATGATGAGGCGCGAATCACAGTAGACGTCTTTCCCAATCGCCAGGATAGGAATCTTGCGGTAACCCACGCCGATCGAAGCAAGATCTGGACGCGGCATTACCGGAGGCTGGACGCACTCATCATACGCGATGCCACGAAGCCAGAGATACCATAGGACGCGATGAGAGTAGATTGACGGCGGATAGTGAAACAGAATCGGCTTATCAGTTGGCGCCATGTTTACGGAATGTGGTCAAATGATGTAATGCATAAAATGGTTTGTTTGCTGCGATATGTGAAACGTACGAAGTAGATGCTGTCCTTTCGGGCGTACTCTATCCTCGACAAGTGTAGTGTGGGGTGATTTTTGAGCCGAGGCTGCGTCATTGAAGCGAGTCAGCTGAGTTTGCATTGCACTTTGGAGACTGCACATCACGAAAGAGTCAGAACAACGTAGATGTTTCACGTGGAGAGATCGAGAGCGCCCCTAAGTGCAAGGTCCACGTGGGTTGCAGAGGAGCAGTCGCGATGAGGAGATGCTGCCTGTCGTGTCCGAACCAGTGAACGGGTCGATTTACACTACCCTCGATACAGTCAACTCCAAGGACACAAAGCGGTAACTTTGGAAGGTGCAACTACATTCCTAACTTTTGTTTGACCCCTATGCGCGCTTCGCCTAGACTTGCTGATCTTACACGCCGCCGCGCAGCTACTGCGTGGATCTGTTATCTCCTGGGGTCAGGTTCATCTGGGTACCATGGTTCTCGAGCATCAAGCACACTTGACAAGAACAGTCTCGCACGTACGGACCCCGCCCCGGGCAGCTACCAATAGCTTCCAGAACATTGAGGGTAACAACTCGTGATTGGTCCCTACTACCGAGAGGTTTTGGAATCGGCGAACCCCTTCTTCCACGGAATCACGTCCGCTATGACGCCACGCTTTATCTTCGTAGTCCATGTCAGGTCGAAGAACTTTAAATCAACATTTCGCCGGCCTCTCTGCGGAACTAGTTCTCATTGACACCTGCATACCAGAAATTGCATCCATAGAAGCATACCCGTTGTCGATATTCTGATACTCACCATGCCGCCGATCACACTTTACTTCCTGCAAGCCTCGCGCTGCATCCGCACTGCCTGGCTACTCGAGGAGCTTGGTCTGGACTACGAGCTTGTCTTCTCCGACCGTGTGAACCAGAAAGCACCAGAAGACTTCAAGCTTGCGTCGGGAAACCCGCTTGGAAAGTTCCCGACCATCAAAGATGGCAAGCTGACGATTGGCGAGAGTGGTGCAATCAATGAGTAGGTTTTTGACACTTTTAACAGAATCAATAGTCTTGCTGACTTATATCTTGTAGTTACCTGTGCGAGACATACGATAAAGAAGGGAAATTACTTCCTACAGATCCGGCTCAGCGCGTCAAAGTCCGTCAGTGGATTCATGCGTCGGAAGCAACCTTCGCGCTGCACGCCCTGGCCATTCTATATGCGAGGTGGAACGTCAAAGACGTGCCCGAAGGAGCCCTCGAAGCAGCGGAGGAACGTATGGCCGTCAATGTGCAGAACGACATGTCGTGGCTCGAGACTGAGCTCTCGCTTTCTCCAGGCCAATTTCTCTGCGGCGATCATGTCACGGCTGCAGATATCATGATGCAATTTTCGGCGCAATTTATCCTTGCGAGGGATTTGGGTACGCTAGGTAAAGAGTGGCCGAACATCAATAAGTGGTTGGAAGCGTGCAAGAAGACGGACAGCTATCAGCGTGCGGTCAAGAAGACAGGATATGAGTTGTGAGGAGTGTCAAGTAAGAAAATGTTCGCACTGCAAGCCCCTTTCATTTCTAAAACTAGACGTTGTTTTGTGTGAGTGAGAATGATGTAATCCCGCAGCGCGAGTTGCATGGTGGGGTACATTCGTGATGCAGGTACCGCATTCCTACCCCGAAAACTTGTCCCCGCACCACGTCAGCCAGATTGAAGTAAACTTCCATGGGTAAAACTTTGCAAATGGCCGGGATGAGCTGTCTTATTTAGTGCTGACGCCTCGCTGACAGGACGCGTGCTGAGCAACAACTGCCGATAACGGACGATATGTACCCTTTCAAGCTATTTACATTGTTGCACAGCCATATTCATGTCCAAACTGTGAACAACTTCGGAAATAGACCTGTTCCTGATTTATCTATGAAAAATTGCCATGGCTGATGAACTGGACATTGTCATTATTGGAGCCGGGCTATCAGGGCTCTCCGCCGCAGTCCAGTGCGCCCTCTCCGGCCACTCTGTCACCGTTCTGGAAAGCACAAAAGAACTCGCAGAGGTATCGCTCAATAGCACATTCGAACGCGATTTGAATGCTAACGATGTCAGGTCGGTGCTGGCCTCCAACTCACGCCGAACTCCACCAAACTCCTGCAACGATGGGGCGTCTACGACACCATCAAAGACAAAGTCTGTGAAGTCACTGCGATGACAGTGCTCAACTACAAAGGCAAAATCCTTGCGCATGAAGACAACTTTAGTCAAAACATGCGACGCAAGTATGGCGCGCCTTTTTCCGACTGCCACCGTGTGGACTTGCAACAAGCTCTCGCCAAGCGTGCTCAGGAGCTGGGCGTCAATCTGGTGCTCAATGCGAGAGTCATCAGGATAGACTGCGGTGCACACCCCGGCGACGAAGCAACCGTGATTACAGCTGCCGGGCAGGGATACATTGCAGATCTAGTACTCGGTGCCGACGGACTATGGTCAATGTGTCGATCTACACTCCTTGGAAACCACGATCCACCACAACCTACGGGCGACTTGGCCTACCGTATCGTGTTGAACATTGAGCAGATTCAAGATCAAAATCTGCGCGAAATGGTACAACAGCAGTCATGTCGGTACTGGGCAGGACCTGACTCCCAAGCCGTAGCATTCAGCCTGCGAGGCGGGACAATGTACAACGTCGCGCTCGTCACGCCGGACGACTTGGACGAAGGAGTTTCCCGCAGCGAAGGCAACATCGGCGAATTGCGGGAGATATTCTCCGCCTGGGACCCAGCGTACGATAGTGTTCCTTCACACCATGAATCACACCACGCTAACACAACGACACAGCCTGACTCAACTCCTCTCCTGCGTCTCGACCGTCGATAAATGGAAACTGATGCACCGATCTCCTCTAGACTCATGGATCAACGCGCAGTCTAACCTCGTCCTCATCGGTGACTCGTGCCATCCGATGCTTCCGTACCTTGCGCAGGGTGCAAACTCTAGCATCGAAGATGGTGCGGTGCTCGGACTCGTGCTGTCCCCTGACCACGGCTTCAGGAATAGATCGCAGCTACCACGGACCTTGAAGCTATTCGAGGATCTAAGGAAAGCGCGCAGTGAGAGCATTGCGAGCGAGACGTTCAAGCAGAGGAAAGACTTCCATTTGCGCGATGGGCCGGAGCAGGAAGCTAGGGACGAGTTGATGCTGGGCATGCTGCAGAGTGGACAAGTCGAAGCCCCGTTCCCAAGTCGATCTACCTGCCCTGAAGTGCAAGGCTGGTTGTATGGCTACGACGCTATGCAGGAAGTCTCCGCTGCGACTAAGTGCCTCAGTCCCCTCTAACTGCAGGTGCTAGATGTAAAGCAACGAACCCATCGAATCCCACCCAGAATATCACGCCATTAGTTTCCCAAGACCTCCCGTGACCCTGCTTGCCAATAAACTCTGTTTTATTTTCGATAGAGGCCCATAAGTCGCTTTGTTTCGACCACGAGCACTTGTGTATCGTGAAACCCACCATGGCCTAGTCTACCCGGCGCACGGTCCACCGCTGCGCCCCTTTGACGATCACTCCGGGGCGACCCCTGAGGCACATCACCGGCGGTTTCCACCACGCTGCTGATCGCGCGCAGGCTAGAACCGCAGTGTGGTGTTCTGACCTCGCATTGCAGCAGGCGTACTTGGCGCTGGTACCTTCATCAA